CCTCGAGTAAGTCCGCCTAAAGAAATAGTACGCGAGTCCAATGGCAACAACTCTACCGATCTGATGACGTAGTGCGCAGAATTTGCGACACACTGAGCAAGACGTTAATATACTGCGTGGCCATCTCATGACTCGATTCTCCAACACAGTGACGTACTACACAAGACATAGGATATTGTACAAATCGTATGGCGTGCCATAACCCAATGACGTAGTTCACTGTTTACCCCCCCCCCCCCCCCCCTTTTTTTTTTTTTTTTGACAAGCAGTAAACAAAAAAACATTACTGACGACTCTCATTAAGTTAATTAAGCAGCCAGAGCCGACAGCAAGCGAAATTCCAACCACTACATCTAACTAATCCTCCCCTTAATCCATCCACGTATATTCTTTCTTTATCCCTGCTCTTTCAAGATATTCGTCAAAATACCACATCTTGTTTTTATCGGAACTAAAGCATTCTCTTGTTATTATTGCATTCATTATTTCTAATAGTTCAGAACATGCTTAATATAATAGCACGTTTAAGTTTTTTTTTTTAATAAAACATTTTTATTTTTTTAGTCATTGTCTGAAACATCAAATTGCACCATACATAATTCACTTTTAACATTTATATTTTATTCTTTCATACCTCTTTTTTAATAGTTTAAAACGTGCGTTTTTACACCTCTAAATATTATATCACGTTTAAGTTATATTTTTGTTTTTAAAAACTGTTTTTTATGTGTTATTGTCTGAAACCTCAAATTTTGCTATACATAATTCATTATTAACATTTGTGTTCTCAAATCTTGTCTTACAGATTTAAAGAAAACCAAGACACCATCCTCAGTCAGCAGTGGTATCGCCTCCATCCACAACGGAAGTAAGAAAGACAGCAACAAGCACGCCTGCTACCAGCTGGGGTCGGACACCGAGGAGATCCCGGGGTCACCGACCCCCATGCTCTCGGAACCCCAGCCCTCCCCGCACTGCTACATCCGGCGCTCGTTCGACAAACTTCCGGCGCACGGGCTGGGCTACCCCGCCGGGGCGTCGTCCCGCGCTTCGCCCTCGCCATCCCTGACCAACGTCAACTACAACAGCCAGCCGCGGCACGCCAACGCCCGACTGGCCCTGTCGCAGGCGGAGACTGACGGACCTTACCGGGTGAAGAAAAACGATCAGCCGCCCCAAGTGCTGCAGACATTTTCCTCGCCATTCGCCTCGGGCGTTCCCCCCACCAACACGCACCCGGCCTGGAGACGGGCGAAGGGTCTAGACACCAGCTGGCGGTCAGCGTCCAGCTACCGAGAGGACGACGACAACACGACCACTTCCGGAAGTTACATCATCAACGCTGACGAGAACCAGGATGAGGCTTATGATCCGGACATTATGGTGTAAAACTGACCAAATGACCTCCAACTAAAACTCTTGACTATCGGGTTTTTAAGTCCCGAAGAGCATACAATGCTCCAAAGGATAAAAAGAACACATTTCGGATTGTGCCGATTTGAATTGCATAAATTCAGCGCGAAGAACAAAGTGTCCATTGTTTTTCCTCGGTTTTACTGCCTGTGCATTTTTTAGAGAAAAAAAAACAATGTTGGATAATGCAGTTATTAACTCTGACCTACATTGTGTGGATACCTTAACTGAATTGTTACTGAAATACCCGATTGCCTGACATGTACATAACTGCAACGAATGTTCCGTGCTTTTTAAAAAAAAATTATCTCCCTCACATAATCGCAGGCTACAGAAGGGACGCAACTCTTAATTTTATTAGATGGTTCCTTTATTACTCGCGTCATGGGCAATGGCGAGTGCAAAAACAAATGGCGAGAGGTGGAGTTGGTGATTAATTTGATTATACTAATCAGAAATCCCCACAAAACAGTGATTACCTTGAGCTAAATTGGTTTCCATGATAAAACAGATTGCTTTATTTTTATTCGTTCCAATAAAATTGATTTGCGAAATGCCTTTTGTGACCTTACAATAGCTTTAAAATAGCATCACGGAACGTGCTCCGATAATTATCAAACAAATTTTATTGTCCAATCACATTTGCAGTAATACTACAGTTAAATTAGATGGTTTAGCCAACAAAATAACTTCAATTAAGCTTTGATTAAGTTTTTTTTTTATGTGTAAGCCATTAACCTATACTTTAAAAAGTACATTTTACTAACGGATAAGCTCATGTTAAATGAAGGCATTTCTTTCTTAGATTAAGGTTTTAGTATTATAATTTCTATTATATGATGTGTGAATCATATTGTATAAGTACATGTACTCTACATGTGTCTGCATAAAAAGTAATGTACCATTTCAAACCTGTTGCAGTTGGGAAATTAAAGTATTTATTTTCCCTTTAAAGTCCACTTTTAAGACATGCTTACAGCACAATTAGTAATACAAAAGGTAGTGAATGGAGTGTTAATTATGTGCTGTTAAAAAAAAACTAATTAATGTATGACTAATCACTGTGTGCTTTATAACCTCACGTGTGCAGCTATTTGTTAGTAGCATATCTGTATGCTGTAACATGCAAAACTACACACTTGGCTTAACATATAGTATGTGTAGTGAGGGGGTAGGGCTTATTTTAATAATAAAAAAACATTTTGTGATGTGTGGGATTCAGACATTAAGTGATTACTGTAAACATTTGTAAATTATGTTAATAATATATATTAATGGCTAATTTGTCTCTTAATTAATTTTTTTTTTTTTTTTGCATATAGGAATTAATTTCAACAGGTATTTAATTTTACTAGCTTGGGGCAGGACCCTTAGATTTAGTTGCTTTCCTTTAGTTGATGATTCAATAAATTAGCAGTAGTTTGTTTGTGAAGGTGCAATTTTTGTTTTATAAACAGTGAATGGTAAGAATCATAAATTAATTAATTTGAATTTTTAATTATTTTTTTTTTTTGCTTATAGTATAATTTTGATCTATCTTTACTTTATTTCTATTGTGAAAATTATTGTACTTTTTAAAAATGTGGCAAAAGGACATAACAAAGCCAAAAGAAAACAGTTAAGTTGCATCCCCTTTAGATGGTGTTTATAATAGTTTTTTTTTTTTTAAAGAAACATTTGGTTTAAAAATTTCATGGTTATTGATGTTTGTGTAATCAGAATGTTTGATTTGTCACTTATTATATATAATTATTATAATTAGTATAATTGGTGCAGTTTTCTCATGGTATGGGAGTGGAAAAATCTTATGGTTGGGTGGATGTGGTAAAAAATGTCATGGTTGGGTAAATGTGGTAAACTGTCTTGGTAGTGTGAGTGAATGTAAAGTACGCTTGCGGTTTTCATGTGCCAAAATCAATGCTGCTAGCTGTGATAATCAAAAATATTAATGTACACATGTTGTACAACACACTGTCGTACACATAGTTGTCTGTTGGAGGATACTGTCTTGCCACTGTTACTCACCATTACAAATGTTTTTATATTACTTAAACATCCATCATCGTTACTGTGTAGTCTGGTTTGCCCATATAGTGTTAAAGTCCCATAATATTTTTAAAAATTTACTTTCATTGCTTTGTTGCAGTATTCACAGTGTTATTGTGAGCCTTGTGGTCTAAAATTAAGAAATTTACAATAATTTAAAATATTTTTTTGTCATAGTTTGTTTTGATTAATTTTGTTAAGACTAATATTAAAGTCTCCAACTAATTAGATGTACCCTTTTAAAGAGGAAATCGTGACTTAGTACAAAAGCTGCTATGTGCAAGCTTATTTTTCTTTTTTATAATCAGTAATTACTAAATGAATAATATGTCAATTCATATCATGTGCCTAAGAATAGAATGTTTAGCCTTATAAAAATAAGACAAATTTAATTTAAATAATTTGGTTCCAAATATATTGTAATATTGATTCATTTTTATAAATTCAAATCAAAAAAGGGTTAATTGGTTTGGTATTTTATGTTAACACTTTTATTTTAATATTTTTCTTTGCACCAAAAATTGCTAACCTGAATTTTTTTTAATTTGAATTAGCCTGGGTCTATGCTAATTTAAGCTAATTATTTTATAATTACCTGTCTGTAGAATACATGAGAACTCTAAACCAGGAAGGTGAGATGTGAAATTGCTACCTTTGCTCTGTAAGCTTTTGATTGTTATTTGCTTTGTTTCAGCATCATTCTAGTCACACGTGTACATTATGTGTAAATATTTCAACATGTAAAACATTTTAATTGCTTGAACCGGTAAATAAATCCTAACATATCCACAAGTTGTGGAGTTACATATAAATGTTTGAAAAAATTTATTCAATTTGAACAAGATTATTTGGTTTGTGGAGGGTTTATTTTTTCTTTTAAATTTAAGGATTAAGCAACAAATTTACATTGAGATTTCTGCGATTTGCCTTTTTGATAGGATTCTTAAAGTTTAATACATTTTTTTAAAACTAATTTAACTTTTTTTTAACAATATTTGTTGATTTTTTTTTAAAATTATGTAAAGCTAATTGTCAGATTAGAACACTGATTCTCATTAACTTTTTATTTCTAATTAAATTAGTGCAAATGTTTGTGTGTATACAGGGACCATTCCAACATAGATCTAGGTCACCCTAATCAATTTCATAACATCATTTTAATTAATTTTTGCTCTTGAACTTGTTAGATTGAAATTATCATTATGCATGCTGAGATGACTTGTAAAATAAAATAAATTTTTAATGAACTGTTGTTTTTTTCTCTTATTTATTTGTGCTAACTTAACAACACAAAATATTCATTTAATGCCCTAATGACAATAATTTTAAACTGTTAATCGAACATTGTTTTACTGCAATATATCTACATAACCTACCATAGGAAATACAATCAAGACATGAACTTGACCAATGGTCATTATAGGTACAACCAATAGATCAGTTCATACATGGTAATGTTAACACATTCATAACAAAGGTCAGCCTAAAGGAAGCTGGTAGACAGTACGAAATTATATTTAAAATTAACACAGATTGCAGAGTTTATATTTTCACATTATTTTTAATCAAAACATCTTTATATTACAGTAGTTTTACATTTATATCATTGTATTTATCACAACAAAAACATACACCTTTACAACTATGCACAAAGTCCCTCACATAAAAATATGTATGTTAAAGATGACTGAGGTGTTGACAAGGTTTGTATGGCAGTGCACAAATAAAGTTGCCAGCACAATGTCTCCTGACACATGCCAGATACTGATTAGGGTTGAGTTTCTCAAACCAGAGTACCCCTTTTACACACTTAATCATTTACCTACTCCATCTCTTGACTCCAGGACTAATTCAGATTACATCAAAGTTTGCCCAAGGAAAAAACATCAATACCAGGAACAAAAGTCAATAGAAAATCTTGTTTTAGAGTGCTTGTTATAAAATTATTCATTAAACAAAATATGATTGGTCACATAGTCTATAATGTTACATTTAGTGTTTATGACTTAAAGCAGGTCAGGAAAATTGGTCAGTGTTTGCCTCTTTAAACAGATTTGGGTATGTGACCGAGGGAGCCTAACAAAGAGATAGTGTGGAGTGTTACGACTTAAGCAAGAGTGCACAAGAGTGTAACAGGAGGTCATCAAAGGCTAACTAAGAAGAGAAGCTTAAAAAAGCTGACCATTTTTCAGCTAAGCTTGTGTTGATATACTAGGAATTTTTTTTCTTTTTAATGCATAAGAATGTTTTAATATCCCATAGACCAAAAATTTAATTACATAAAATAATATGCAATGAATTCTTAACTGAACAAGTACATAAAAAGTAAATCCATATCTGATGTGGAAAAAAAATCACATGAGCATACAGCTGTTAGAATTCCCTGTGTTTACAATGTTGGCTTAAACTTAGAGCTTGTTGACAAATGTTAGCTCCCAGGGTCATGGTGTGAGGGGCGGGGCAGTGGTTTCCTGGCCACAAACATAACACAGTTGTAGTAGTTTTGCATGAGAGACAATGGGTTTTGTGTGTATGAGCAGCGCACATTCATTTCTTCTTTCTGTGAAAAACAAAAAAAGACATTTTAGGGTAAATTAATGCGCAGGAGAAAGGTTAACAAAAAAAATCACTTTAAAAATAATCACCATGTAAAAAAAAAATTTAATATGCACATTTACCACATAAATTGTGGTCGAATGGTAGAGCATTCAACTGCTAACCCAAAAATCTTGAGTTTGGAACCCTGAGTTCACCCAATTCTGTTGGGGTGGGTACCTTACTCAGGGAAAGAAAAAGTGGCTGAACATAGTGCAAACCACACTATTCCTTCATATGCTGAGGTCACTGAAATTGGTGAACTCTACTTCACCTGATTCAAAATGGTAATTTACTTACCTACTACTACATGAATTATTACAAAGACTTTTTATCCAGGGATAAAATTAGGATTAATTAACTAAGACTCTTGATCTGGGAGTGGAAATCACAACACAAACCTCAATTTCAAAGCCAATATCCAGCATAACTTTTCTAACTTCTTCATAGCTGAGTTCTATGGACATCTCATTGACTTGACCAGCCCAGTGGTACAACAGTGGACCTACAGGAATGGAAATGCAATTTTATTATCATATTTAAGTAACTCTTTCTAGAAATAAATAAGTTTAAAAGTACTAAACCATTACACTACATATTAAAAATCCATGATAGAATTAGAAAAACTCAAAATTGAAGTACAACAACTTTAGGTGCTTTGTTACAATATATTTCTATACCTAAATTCACAAGATATCCTCCAGGTACCAGAATACTGTAAATTGTTTCTAAATACTCGATTATATTATGGGCTGTGTCCAAAAAAAATACAGTCACCACTGCATTCCAAGAATCTGAATGAAGAAAAAAAAATAAAGGGAAGCAAGAAGTAAAACAAATGTCTTAGAGTTACTGTTCCTTAATGAATTGAGAGAGAGAGAGAAAAAAAAAAGGTTTGTAAGAAAAATGGCATGCGTACTTGGTTCAGTGTAAATTTTGGTGAAATCTCCAGCCACCATGGAGAAGTCTGCCTCAGGGCTGATCTGTAGGGGTGAGATGTCTGGGAACATGCAGCGCCGGGTCTGGTCTTTGGTGGCCAGGTTGTTGGTGAACTGGTGGATCCAGGGGTAGAGAACCATTGAGTTCCTCTCTTGACATCTGTTTAGTACAGGCACAGGGGGTTAATAGGAATAAATGTATGAACAATAATAGTATTTTCTACTAGATGAATCACCTCCCGGAGTCCACCCAGCTCTGATGGGTACCTAATTCATGTTAGGAAATGTAAAGGTCGCTCTGCAAAGTACTGACCATACCTTCCGTTCATATGCCAAGGTGAAGTAATATATGAACTCTATTTAATCTGCGCAAGGGATTTAAATTTAAAACATACAAATTAAACATTAAACTAAACAGCAGTTTAAAGCTTAGTAGCATTAGCAATATTGATATGTTCATGTTTTTTAAAATAAAATATTTTTCCCGGTTAAAATAAAATGGAAGCTAAAAAAATATGCAGACATTTTGTACCTGTTTGAAATAAAATTGGAAGCTAAAAAATATGCAGACAATTTGTACCTGTTTAAAATAAAATTGGAAGCCAAAAGCATGTGTAGACTCCACTCATTCCCCTGGCAGGAGTAGCCCAACCTGGCAAATTCAAATACCAGCCTCCCCAGTCCTGCACCTGGCACCAAAATCTTGACCTCCGATGGTTTTCTTGAGCTGAAGTTCAGAGTAAGCAAGGTATATAGTCTAACTATACTAACTAGTTGGTGGTTGCTATAGCTGTTAACATTAAAAGCTTAGTACAAATATAATCAGGTAAATTGTTTTACATTACTCTGAAAACAAATAACATTTGACAATGTTCACAAGGTAAATTAGCTTGTACTCACTGGCATGTTCATTTACTGGTTCAGTGAGCTCACCTGTGTTAAGTTCTTCATCATAAACAACAGGTAATTCTTCCACAATCACCCCCCACTCACATATATACACACACATGTGCATACCCCAAGCGTGTCAGCACTGCGTGCATGACTGGCTGGTAACACGCCTCCCTCTCAGCTCTGCCATCCTCACCCCCACCCACATATACACACACGTGCATACCCCAAGCGTGTCAGCACTGCATGCATGACTGGCTGGTAACACGCCTCCCTCTCAGCTCTGCCATCCTCACTCCAGTCTCTCATGATCTGTTTCAATGTCGTTTTGACCTTGTCCATTTCCTCACACGTTGGGGGCGCACAATCATTTTTCTTCACTCTGTCAAAATCCTGTTTGAAACAAAAAACACTTCAATTATAGGCAATGTTTGTTGGTGTGTATTAAAGCGCCAAATAAATATGCTATTTACTGTAAATGGTATTTTTTTTAAATTTATAATATTCTTTGAAATGTTTAAATTAATTTTAATATATTAAATATGTGATTTTAATGCAAAATTCATCGAATCTATTCATTACTGTAAAATACTTATTAGGCATTAATATTTTTTGAAAACCTGTGAAACAGCAAGTCTGCAATAAATAAACAGCTACGTAGAAAGAGTACACTGTACAACCAACTCTAGTTAAGGATGGAATACTTTCTCTATTTTACAAAAGTTCTACCAGCTCTAATGCAGTTTAAAAAATAAAGCTTAAAAAATAAAGCTTAAAAAAGAGCAACTAACCGCTTCAGAAATGCACTCCTCCTTGTTGAGAAACATGTACTGGCAGTCCTGTAAAATGAGTTTAATCACTTCGTAATTGTGGATGATACAGGTCTGGATGGTTTCAAGGTTGTCGATGTATCCCAGAATTCTGTTTTTGTGTTGGTCACAGAGGTTGCTGTAGGATACTTTACTCAACTGAAGCCGCTTCAAGCTGTGCAATCTGTAAAGTATGGGAACTTAGAAAAATGTTCTTAAATAAGACATGAACTGGGATTTTATTAAGAAACCTTCATTAACACAAACAAATAATCCAAATAAATAATTTTAGTCAACATACTGTTTTTTTATTTGTCCCAGTAAGGATTCTCAGACTCTCAAACCACGTCCCCTCATAGACAAAATTGAAATTGAAAACTCTGAGACCATAGCAGTTCCTACATCAAGATGAGACATACTACTATATACTATATAACCAGTGGGACATCAAGCTTAAGTCCTAAGAAGTGTTAGATCAACTAAGCCTTCATTAAGCTTAGTTAGTTAATTGATTTTAACATTGTTATATTTATGACTAAGATCTAGTGCTTTATTAATTTTTTAGTGCTTTCTTCCAAGTCAATTTCTTATTCTAAAAATAAAATAAAAGGTACTAAATAGTAACTAATTATAGTCCTCTACTACTGCTAGATTTCTAGTAATAATACTACCTTCAGCCTCCTACTTAATTAATAATTAGGCCTTAGGTAACTTTAATTTAAAATAATGTAAGCCTAATAAATTATTATAAATAATATGAGCCGGCCCGCGGCATAACATACGCCACTATTTAGTTGTTGTTTTTTCTACTTTTCAGTAATTCATAATTTGTGAATTCGACAGTACCAACGCTGACACTGAAAATATTTCTTTAAAACACTATAAGTAGCTCGTTAAGGACCATAACCCCCCCCCCCCCCCCCGTTTAAAATCGTTTCAAACTAAATTATCTGCCCCTAATAGCCATCACTAAACCGACTCCACTAAGGTAAACATCGCGTGAACCACAGCTCACTAAGACCATGTAGGTGTGGGGATGGTAGGGAGCGCGTTTACAGCTTGTTTTCTAGCGTCTCCCAGAAGAGAATTATATATATTATATAGATTTATATCAGGATTATTAGGCATATGCCAATGATTTAATGATAGGTTATTTAGTTAATGTCTAATGGGTAAGTACTAATTAGGCTCATCGCATGGCTTCTTTGTTTGGGCTCCCTACTGATTACTGACTGTGTGTCTGTTTTTTACCCTGACACTACTAAAATATCACAATTGTATAGGCCTAGATCTAGAAAAGATCTAGATTTAGCTAGATCAAGACTAGCTAGACTGGTGAGTGGTGAGGGTGAGTGACAGGTCACTGGAGTTGGACCACTGGCAGTTGCAGTTGAGAGCTGGCAGTCACTGTTTCTGTTGTTATTCAACTAAATTACTAAATAATATAATATAGATCTAGGCCTAAATAGTAAATAGTAAATATCCTACTATGATACTATTACTATCAACTACAGAAGGAATAGATGATAAGTATTATTAGTATTAGATCTAGTGACAGTACTACTGGTTGAGGCCAGGCCAGGGGTTTGTTGAATTTTGTTCTGCTATGGATACAAACTTCGTAACAAAGGGTCGACTCGAAATATCGTCCACAAAATCTTAAATAAAAAAATTAAAAATAATTTTAAAGAGAAGAGTGGAAGAGTCCGAAGAGCCGAAGAGTAAGAGTACTGTAAGAGCCTAAGACTAAGTTAAGAGTTAAGAGACTAAGAAGACCTAAGGCCTGCCCTAAGAGGCTAAGAAGACTGACTAAGAACTAAGTCTAAGAGGAGAGGAGTTCATGTAAAAATGTAAATTAATGATTTGGTCTAGAAATCTATCTATCTTAATCTTATTAAGCAATTCCCACAGTGAGAAAACCAAAACATACTTGTAAAATTTGAAAGAATTAATAACACGAGCGAAGTGTTCTCGTTCTTCTCTTTCTTCCATTTCTAATGCTACCTGCTGATCCGAAACTTCTGCCATTTTGAAAAACTATTATTATAAACAAAGATATAAAAAGACGAAATTCTAATCATGTTCTTTGAGGTTTCGGATTTTGTTTGCATTACGAGCGCACAATATATTATAATATATTCGCATTTTAATATTAATAACATTTTCAAGGGCTAAAAAAATCGATTTAACACAAACATTTTTTTTCTTTTGAGGAAAAGCATTGGCCTCTTAAATATGTACAATTTAGTTTAAATGTTCTTACACTACTTTCTTACTTTGTTCCTTCTATTCCATTTGACACCCCACACAACTAAAAATATTTGCTTTTAAACCAAATTAGTAGCTTAAGATCTTAAGTTTCCTGTCAGTGGTTGGCACACAGGCGTCTATCGGATTTAGCCATCCATGGTACTTAATTCTGTCATCTCCCCTTTTGTTTTGAATATAGTAATCTTTAATTGAAATGTAATAATCATTTTAATTAGGCTGAAAATTGGTGGGTATTCTTGCATTGTCATTGGAAACTATCTGGAAAGTTTGAACAAAGCAGCTGCATTAGAAGAGGCTCAACATCAAAATGTAAACTTTTAGACTTAAAAAAAGCCTTTTGAATTCCACCTAAACAATTCAAGTAACAAAACCAAAAATAAAGCAATTACAAAATTCCTCAACTACAAAGAGAGTATAACTACCAAAATATTCATTTATTTCATCTAGAGCTAATCTTTAAAATAACTTATTCATAAAGACCAAGTTTATGTTGCAACAAATATTCTGCTTTAGGTGCGTTCACACTTGGTAATGTCTTAAAGGGAGAAGCCTATGAATAATACACAATCTGAAGTCATTGAAACCCAGGTACATTATTTTATAGCTTTTGCTATCAAGAGTATGTCTACCAGAACTTTGAGATAGAGAAGTTATATATAATATACAGCTATGTCTCACAAAAAACTTAAACAGAAAAAATGAAACAAAAGCAGTAAAAATACAATTGTTTTTATTAAAATTTCCAGATTTAAGAACAATAGCTAATAATGTGTACTTTGACAGAGTTACTTTAATAAATAAATATTTGACAATTCTTTAGCAAAACGTGGCAAGGGGAAGCCCATAACATTGAAGTTGTCTCCATGAATTTTCTCCACAAATGTCCCACCAAGGGCTTGTATGCCATAACCACCAGCCTTATCCCTGTTTAAAAAAGATTACAATAAAAATTTTAAATTATTATCCTATAGTCCAAAACTTTGTGATATCAATTTACAATAATTATTTTGATTATATAAAACTTAGAAAGAAAAGAATGAAATGACAACACAACAGAAATTGCGAATTTTCGTTAAAAAATATTAAGTGACAAAGTTTATCCACTTCTGCTAAAAGTAGCTTTACAGGGTAGTAATACAGCTTATTGAATGACAGTTTTGAAATGAGTTACATATTTATTGCATGCCATAAGCACAGAGTATTTTATACCTTTTGTATTTGGACAACAGATCCTAGCTTTTTGAGACAACTTTCACATTACATTGTAACTATAATCTCAATTTTAATAAGCAGCAATAAAGTAAAAAAAATTTAAACTAATCAATAACAATTAACAAAGCAAATATCAAAATAAAACATACATGGGTTCCCCAGTAGCTATATAACCTTCTATGACTTCTTTACTTAGTTGTGCAAAATAAACATCAGTTTTTTCCACAAAACCTGTGTAGCGGTATTTGGAGTTTAGAACTGGTGTCCCTGACTTGAGAACTAAAATTTAAAGAAAAATGTTTTCATGAAAATGAGAATTAACTCCATTATATAAATGTATGTGGAACAATTACTATAACACATTCTGAATCAAATATACTGAATTAGAGTATAAATTAACATTATGTGTAATAGAATTAAATATATTTTTAAAAGATGCTGAATATGGTGTTGACTAGATGTGTTGTGTGTTTCTGCAGAACAGAGATTCATCATTTGTATCTAATGAATTATAGTAGTTAAGTATTCTACAGCGATTTTTGTGGATAGACAGTTGTCAACTGGGAACCGGAAGTGGAGTTCATTCTCCTGCACCAATGATAGGATTGTGTGGTCAGCACCATGTCCAGCAACCTTTACTTTCCCTCACTTAAGACAGGTACACATGTCTGGGACTGACTACAGCCAACAGACAATAAACTGGACTAGGGATTTTTGTGTGCTCTACAACTCAACCATGCAAAAATGTACAAAAAGTTACCTGCAGAATGTTCTGGAAAAAACAAAGTCAGACCTGAATACACTGAATGAGTTTTACCACTTAATCTGTAAAGCAAAAAAAAAATTTTAATTCAAACTTTCAGCTATAACTAATTTAAGGGACTATGTCTTAAATATTATGATTTTTCAGAGGCAAAAATAAATATTTAAACTCACTGGCTCAATATCCTGAAAGCATCATCTTTATCCCTGGGCTTCTCTATGATTTGGTTGTCTTGGTAAACTACTGTATCACAACCAATAATCAAATCAGGCAATGGCTATAAATAGAAGAGGAAAAAAAATTAAATATTTACTCAAATATGTTTAATTAAAACATAACCATCCATCACCCACTTAAGTAATAATTTCTCCTTTAAGTGTGTGAAAGCCAAGATTAACTTCTGTATTGGTAACGATATCTTTACAACTAGATTATTCTGCTCTTGCCCTCCTAAATATATTTTTCATCAACACGATTGAATTAAATGTATGTATTTACCTCGTTTGTTCCTAGTCGCTCTGCCACTTCAAGTGTTTTAAGTTTGGCATTTTCTAACACATATTCTTGGGGTGTGTATTTAGATTTGTCTAAATTCTCCTCAAATGTAGATGCTATGACTTCAAATTTAAGTCCCTAAACAGAATTTTAAAAATATAAAGAGTTTTAAATAAAAAGTTAAATTGATCGAAACAGTAGCAAGCATCAGGATTTTAAAAGGTTTGCACACAAAATAATGATGACCATTTGAACATGTGAGTAAAAAAAGTAAAATAGGTCTGAAGTTTTGTTGTTTTTTAGTTAAAAAGTGAAATGCTTTGTGTTGTTTTAACACAGTTGTGTCCCCTTTACTTTTTTCATGATCTATTTTTTTAAATATTCTAAAAGAACCTTAACAAATAAACAAACACACAATTTCAAACACTTTCCTAAAGAAGCCATCTGCTAATATACAAGGGTTAGAAAAAATCAGCATTCCTCAGAATACAATTTTAAAAATGTAAATAAACAATAATAAATAAACTGTAGGCCTACATAAACTTTAACATAGTAGATGATTGTAAATTTTAGATCTACATACCACATTTTCCAATAGTATTTGTTTTCTTCTCGGTGATCCACTAGCTAAAATATTTCTTTGTGAATTCAGGATGTGAATAAGTGGTTGTAACATTGTATTTAGTTTTTTCTAAATGTTGATATGCAAAACTACTTTAAAGTAGTTTTAAGATTAAGTTTTAAAGTTAATTATGATGGAGAATACCGGCTGAACTGATAAGTGATAGATCTAGATCTCTTCTATCTAGATCTAGTCTCAGTAACTCACTGTGATTAGTAACTAGTAACACTGACACTGTCCAGTGATGATGAAAAATGTGACTCACTGTCACTTCAATCAATGTCTGAGAGAAAGCTGATAGATCTAGATCTAGTAACATGAACAATTTAACAAAGTAACACAGTTCTGCCACGAGTCCTTCAATCAGGTCAGGCTGAGCTGGTACTGGAAAAAAATAAAAAATGATCAAACGTCAAACTTGATATGAATGAATATAAAAAAATCAGACGACAAATCAAATGGCTAATTTAATTTGTTTGATGATTTTTTTTTATTTTATTAGTCCTAGATCTATTTAATAGATCTAGAAAATACCTAGATTCTATTAGTCTATCAATTTTTTTTTGGTAAAGTAATTTCGACAAACTAATTTCGATGATGAAAGTAGTTCAAAGTACACACAAAGCCGGCTGCAATGAAGTACCATTGACAAGCAATAGCTTAGTAAAAATTAGTTGTAACATGCAATATACAGTAATTTTCAGATATAGCAGTTTAAAGCAGTAAAAAATAAAATTTAGATGAAAACCGGATATAGATAATCTTTTTTTACGTTCGAAATTTATCTCAGCTTCTAGATTTGACACGACCTTTGACTTGGTGTGAGATGAGTAAATAAAAAAGTATTTGATTTCGGCGTATTGTTTGCAAAAATTTTAGTAAAATTACTTCTAGATCTAGATCTAGATCTAGATTTACATTATTTTAAATCTAGATCTATATATAGGCTAGGTGTCATAATTCACTAACTATTAATTAAGTTTTATTTTTAACTAAGCTAGATTAGTAGTGGCTTAGGAACTTAGGAAGGCTTAGGTTAGGTAGTAGCATTGGATTAGAATTATTGAGTTTTATACCTTATAAACCTGTTAGTTACATAGTGTTAAAGGTAAACATGACATAGATACTTCATTTATATTTCTAGCTTAATTAGAAGCTGAGAAATCATTTTTTTTGTTTTTTAATGAGGCGAACAACACAAATATTGTAAAAGGGAGATAACACATAAAGCAAAAAAACAAAAACAGCAAAATGATCTTAAAAAATTTTTATTTGGAAATATTATATCACAATTTATCAAAAATAAAAGTTACAATAATATCAGCCCTGAAATAACACAGAAAATTTAATTACAGCTATAGGCCTAATAATTTGGTATTATTTTGCGCATAATTAAAAAATATAATATTAATACTAGGCCTAAATAATTTTCTTTCAAAATTTAAATTGTTAGGCCCGAGAGAGCACTATCTTTAAAAACTTAAAACTACATTGTGGCTATAATATTACAATACAAATATACAATTAAGAACCCTGAAACGCAAAGAATAATAGTTAACTAGGCTATACCTAATTAATGAAGAGGCCTAGCTTTTTATTTAAAGACATTTTTGATTTAAAATGAGGGGAAAAATTGTATCTTACCTCATGTGTAGGTTCTAATTTACATACAATACAGTCAATACTATCCAGTACATTATATTGAGCTGATTAAAACAATTCAATAGCTGGGTGTTTCAACAAATAATAATAAAATGAATAACTCACCACTAACTATTAATCAAAACTGAGGTCACCGTTTGCAAGATCCACAATTAGAGATTGTACAGGAATCCCAGTCTTCTGATTCAAAAACCTTCTGAAGTAATTGCAGTCCTTACCAGCCAAGTGCTGTCCCTCTAGGACTTTCTGCTCTGCTTCTGACTTCCTTCCCAGCCACTGAAGGGTTGAGTTCAGCTTTGTCTTCACCCTGAAATCCAGAAAACCCAGTGGTGTTTAGAGCTCAGCGCATCAGTCCATATATCCCAGCATCCTCTCAGCATGGATCTTGTGGGCAGGAGCTGAGTCAATTTTAACATTTCCTCAGAAGGGTCAGAATAGCTACCAGTCAAGTAAGGGGATATCTGCCGTTCCATAACATCCTGCGTAGACTGTTACAGCACAGACAGGACATATCGCAGGAGCCTATTGTCCACCAACAGATACTGGTGAACCATATCAGCCACTATCTTCTGTCCAAAAACATCCTCATCGGTCCGCTAGCAGCTTCTGGGGTCGAGCTTCATCTACTTGATCATTTCTGGGGCTGTCTGGAACAGCACGCTCTGCAAAATTCACAAGATATGTGAAGAAATTTGTAACTTAATTCTGTAAAAGAAAAAATTACTTTCAGTAAATTGCTGACTTCTTTTTGAACATTTTATAATTCTATCACAAGGGAAAAAAAGGTTATTCTGTATAGTTATTCACTTTTCAGCTTCAATCTTCTACTATTTATTAAAGCACTGAGGTTTTGAAATGAGTATATATTTTATTATATATATTATCTATTACAGAAACAAAATGGCAGCTGAAAAAGCAGCCTTACTGAGTTAGGGAAAAATTAATTTAAGTAAATTGCTGATGAGTTTTTTAACTTTTTATGATTCAGTTACAAGAATAAATGGTTCTTCTTAATTGATATTCTCAATTCTGCTAAAAGTCTCAGCTATTTATTGCAGCACTAAGGTTTTAAGATGAGTACATTTTTTACTATATTTTCTCTATTGGGGAAACAAGATGGCGGCTGAAAAAAGCTTCCCTACTGAGTTGAGAAAAAAATTAATTAAAGCAAATTGCTGATGAGTTTTTTAACTTTTTATGATTCAGTTACAAGAGTAAATAGTTCTTCTATATAGTTATTCTCATTTCTGCTAAAAGTCTCAGCTATTTATTGCAACACTAAGGTTTTAAGATGAGTACATTTTTTACTATATTTTCTCTATTGTGGAAACAAGATGGCGGCTGAAAAAAGCTTCCCTACTGAGTTTAGAAAAAAATTAATTAAAGCAAATTGCTGATGAGTTTTTTAACTTTTTATGATTCAGTTACAAGAGTAAATAGTTCTTCTATATAGTTATTCTCATTTCTGCTAAAAGTCTCAGCTATTTATTGCAACACTAAGGTTTTAAGATGAGTACATTTTTTACTATATATTCTCTATTACGGAAACAAGATGGCAGCTGAAAAATGCTTCCCTACTGAGTTAGGGAAAAAATTAATTTAAGTAAATTGCTGATGAGTTTTTTAACTTTTTATGGTTTAGTTACAAGAGTAAATGGTTCTTCTGTAAAGTTATGCTCATTTCTGCTAAAAGAATAATGTTATAATTATAAATGTAATAGGTTCAAGCTTACCTAATTTTTCACTTGAAGTTTTCTTGGTAAAAAAAACATCGGAAAAATGAAAATTTTACTTCATTACAGAGCTGATCCTCTCCTGTTCAAAAAACGTGGTAGAAATGACAGGAAAAAGTAAAGTACTTTTTTATTTCCAAAAAACCAGAGAGTACCCCAAATATTTTTTTTAAAAACACAAAAATTTTTCATGGTGAGATTTTGGGAGTAGGTTGTCTGCCCCTGTCAGAAAAAGCTACATACTAGCTTAGGTTGAAGAGTCTGATTAATAATTAATAATAATATTTCTATATTTAACTATATTAATATATATAACATTATACTTTATACATTATAACTTAATAGAACTGGCAATATTTATTATTTAATTTTTATAGCCTAATGTTTAGTATTTAGGCTTAATTTTAATAATTTATTTGGTTAGGCTTATAATTAATTAATTATAATAATAGGTTAATAGGTAAAACTCCATTTTAGCGTATTTTATTTCTCCGCTGCTTGTTTACCTCCAGTTGAGCGTATTTTATTATAACAACCGAAACACACCAAAACACGATTCATTTATTTGTATTGTATTTTTGTTTTAACAAATTAATAAAATTGAATAAAAAAAAACAAAGAGACTGACTTTTTTTTAGATTTTGATAATTTAGTTTTGTTAAAACTTGAGAAAAATCCAAACTTAGAATATTGAATGTGCAATGTTCGTGTGTCAGAATTTTCATGGCAATGGGTAACTTACGTAAACGTAGCTCACAATTGCAAGGCGGTTAAGTTTGTATTGTTACAAGTATCTCCCAGGCATGATACAAATAAACATTAATGAACTTACAATGACCCCAAAACTGAGGCCAACACAATTTCAAATAGCAATTGGCCGAGCTATGACGTATGCTGATAATTCAATGTCAATGTGAACTCACGGTGAACCCGCGACAGTGTAAGGATTTTTCTCCCGCTGACGATTATACGAGATTCGATATTTAATTGGAACAGTTCTAATGCTTTTTATGTTTTTTTTACCTATTCTAATTAAAAATCACATTCATTAAAAAAAATAAGTAGATCTAGTGATTTCCTAACGTTTTTGTGTGTTTCGGTTGTGTTTATAATAAAATACGCTCAACTGGAGGTGAACGTGAAGCAGGGAATAAAATACACTAAAATGGAGTTTTACCATTATAATAATATGGACTAGAGTACTAAATTCAACCTGAAATTTATAAATTTAGTTCTAGATAAGTGATAATATTAATATTCATTTTTTAATACCAGGTATAATTGTATAATACACCTCGCACTATTTCAATGAGCGTTGTTGTCATTTATAATGTCAATGAGTCGACTTGACCAGCTGTATCGAAGTCTTCTGTTGACAAAATTTTTCACTCATGGCTGGGGTAAACCAGAAAACCTGAAAAGGTAATCTTATGTCTTGTACAGAAATTTTATTTATAGTGATAGTTTTAAAAAGGTATAGTCTCAGCAGCATCACAGGGCAAAGTGGGAGGGGGGGGTTTGGTGGTGCAGACCTGACAACATGAAGTAGGGGAGGGAGTTTCTGACAGATGGGGGGGGGAGGTGATAAGGGAGTGAGTGACATCCTAAATTACTTTACCAAGTGACACCTGACACAGTTATGCAACTGTTCTGAATAGACATACTTTTTTTTACCATATGTTTGATTTTTTAACCTTGTAGTATTAACTTTATATTTTACTATTATTATTATTATTATACTGTTACTAAAACAAATAATTGTTTTGTTGTGAAATCATAAAGATGTTTTTTATTTTTTCTATTTACTATTTTAGGCTGTTTGCCTTTAGAAAGATTTTGTCCAACAGAGAAACCTGTCAGCACCTTGTTTCAGCAAATTATCCCATTTACATAGATAAAGTTAGTTGTGCATTGTTCTTTCATAAGTATGTATTAAAACAATTACAAAATATCCCATTTACATAGATAAAGTTAGTTGTGCATTGTTCTTTCATAAGTATGTATTAAAACAATTACAAAATATCCCATTTACATAGATAAAGTTAGTTGTGCATTGTTCTTTCATAAGTATGTATTAAAACAATTACAAAATATCCCATTTACATAGATAAAGTTAGTTGTGCATTGTTCTTTCATAAGTATGTATTATAACAATTACAAAATATCCCATTTACATAGATAAAGTTAGTTGTGCATTGTTCTTTCATAAGTATGTATTATAGCAATTACAAAATATCCCATTCACATTGATAAAGTTAGTTAGTTTTTTCATAAGTATGGGTTAAACAATTACAGTATATTAAAAAGTAAAGTAAAGTTCCCTTTTCAAACCTGACGGTCTATAGGGCAAGTGAAGTAGAGTTCACTTGTTTCTGTGACCTCGGCATATGAAGAGATAGTGTGGTCAGCACTATGCCCAGCCGCCTTTACTTACCCTTACATGAGTTAGGTACCTATCAGAGCTGGGTAGACTCAGGGACGATATACTGACTTGAACCCGGATTCGAACTTGAGACTTACGAGGTTAGTAGTCCAGCTCTCTACCGCTAGACCACTCCGTCCCCACAGTATATTAACACAGCTTTTAATGAATGAGCAAAAGTTTCATAATTTAAAAAAAAAAATTATTTGGATATATTGATTGAACTTGTATTTTTTATTATGCCATTTAATTTTTCCCCATGTTTAGGAATACAAAGATGGTGATTGCAGGATACTGGAAGGCCATTTTATGTCACCTTTTGTTGACCATCTACCTGGAATTATGCCCAAAGAAGTTGAAACAGCCAGGTATTTGTAATATTACTTACGTTATTTTTTTCTCATCTCTCTCTAGCTAACTCAGCTACAATTGTGATATCAATTTATAAATTTATAGTCTAATTTTGCATTTCGTTGTCTGTGTGCTTGTTTTGAATTAAGAAAACTCTTGGTTTTTAACTACCGAGTCCATTAAAAACTTAAATACCCCTTTTTACCTGATGATCAGAAGAGCAGATGAGTCAGGTGACCAGTAGCTAGCTGTTTTACTGGCTCATGCACCACCATGTATACTATCCCATTCTTGAATCTGTTAAAGCTAGACTGAACTAGGGTCCCCCTACAAATTTAGAGTGAAACCTAACATACAGGTTTTCCAACTTTCTGTAAGTCGATGTAATCATGAGCTCACTCTTCTTGTCCAACTCCTTTTAGATTAATAAAAATCGGAACATTTATATTGTTAACCTAGTAAAAATTCTATAACTATACTATTTTTTCACATATATTGTAATTTTTCATTTAGTTTTCAAGCAATTATCCCCTTACAATGGCGTCACCCAGCACTGAAACCAGTCTGTATTCATTTGGCAGGGACTGGTGATCATGTAAGTATCATTGCATTTGTATAGCCTCCCCTCTTCATGTTAACCATTACTAATAAATTACTTCCCTTTTTATTAATCTGTATTTAACTACTAATATTTTCTACAATTAAATTGATGTAATTTTTTTTATCAACAAACTACTTCCCTTTTTATTAATCTGTATTTAACTACTAATATTTTCTACAATTAAATTGCTGTAATTTTTTTATCAACAGTTTATGATATTAATTATCCAGAAATAATGTTTATGAAAAAAAAATGTTATTTTTGTAATTGTATGTATTTTATCATAATATATTTCAGTATTTTTGGAGAAGAAGGATGTTCACTGCTCGTCCACTATTAAAAGAAGCTGGAATAGCTTCCATAATTTTGGAAAATCCATATTGTATCCTTTTTTTTAACTTTTAGTGACAGTTATTCAAAAAATATTTTATTAAAATTGTAACATATACATTAATGTTTCTTTAACTTGTTGCTGAAGATGGCACAAGAAAACCTAAAGAACAGCTGTAAGTTTTATAATTTAAACAATTAATTTAGTTGTTTTTCTTTTTAATTTAATAATCAACAAATTGTTAATGGAATTATTTATTTATAAGAAAAAGGCTGAGAAATTTTAACACAACAAAGTAGAGATATCACTATATATTTTGTGTTGTTACTCTCTAGGCGATCCAGCCTCCACAATGTCAGTGATTTGTTTGTCATGGGCGGAGCTCTGGTGCTAGAATCACTGGCCCTTCTGCACTGGTGTGAGAGACAAGGCTGGGGGCCCCTGGGTCTCTCCGGCATCTCCATGGGTGGACATGTGAGTATTAGTTCAATCTTCTTCCGATTGTTCCTGTCTGCTTCCTAGGGAGCACAGGGCAGAGATGACACTTCAACAACAAATATATTACAGCTCCTGTTTTCTTCACCCAATTACACATTTTAAAGAGTATCTCTAAAAGTATGATCATTATGCTTAAAAGTTAAGTTTACTGAATTCTCCTCCATTTATCATTCAAAATTCATCAATTTATTATGTCTATAGTTATTTTGGCAATTACAATTGACACATTACTAAAATTATCCAGTTTTCCTATATGTACCTACATTATAGACACTCCTAAATGTAAAAGATGTACAATGTGTAATTACTTTTCTTGATTTAAAAGTAGTAAGAAAAACAAACCATAGTATTTGTAGTCTTACAAAAATATGGTACATTCAAATATGAATATGTCCATTTTTATGATGTTAATACATTATTTTGCCTAAAAATTTATTTTAAAAACTGCTTCTACCTTTTCTTAAATTTATTTACATCAACTAACCACAGCATTATGTATTTTGTTTATGTTTATTTTTAATGCATATTTTTAAAAAATATGCTTTATATTGAGCATTTCAGATGGCCAGTGGTGCTGCAACTTTGTGGCCAAAACCCATTTCTGTTGTTCCAATTTTATCTTGGACAACAGCTTCCATTATTTTCACACAGGTAACAAGAATGCAGCTCTGGATAACCTACAATGGTTTGCTTGTATTTAAGAAGTACAACATTGTTTTTGTTGTTTTGTTTTTTTGTGTTCAGAAGATGTACCCAGAATCAGCAGTTTTTTACTCATGTGTGCCTAAAACCCTTTGCATACAGACTGCTTTTTTTTCTTCACTTCATCAGAACCTATTGTTTTTATTTAATTATTTTGAGAAGATTCTATTAATCAGTTCATTACAAATTATTTAAGAAAAAGTAGCTTTTGCTTCAATAACTGACTTAAGTCCCTTTCTTTCATTATTACACTAAAGTATAGTTAAACAGATACAGATATATTAAATATGGGCATAACTTTTGCTTTTCCCAATACACATTTTATTTACAAGTTGACTCAATTAATTTTTTTTAAACATAAGCATTTATAATTAAATAGATTTTTGTCTACTATATCTGGGTATGTCTTTTAAATCTCTTTCTTGTAGTCTGGACATAGCACTGATGTACCTGCTGGGAGTTGTAAGTAATTTATTTTTTCCTACAGGAACACAGGAAGAGTCAACAAAATATATCTTGATACTAATTGTAATGTCAAGCCCTTTTAAATAAAGTCTTAACATAAAGTCACTGTAGAAAGTTGTGTAGTTCTGGGTTTGTACTTTCCACAATATGGTGTCGATTTTATGAAGATGATGTTGTCCAAATGAAATTTTTTTATAATTAACATAACTTTTGCAAACAATTTTAGAACTTATAGGTAAATATAAATTCAGTATTAAAAGGCTAAATAAAGATTAGGCCTTGGTAATTTTTTTCAATACTTAAAAGAACAGTTCACATGTTGGATCATATTTTCCTTCTCACTGTATTATTTTTTAAATCTAACAAATTAAGCTTTCAACTCTCACCCTGCCAAAATTTTGTATTAATATTTGCTGATAAATGTACTGAATAATAATTATCACCAGTGACTGTTGATTTAGAAAGGCTTGACTCTTAATAAACGTTATGATTTTAGATACTCCCCGTGGTCTTTTTTGAAACATTTGTTACATTAAATTTTGCTTTATTGTTGACGATAACTGTGTTCCATAAAAAATTGAGTTCATGTATGTTCAGATGGCCTCGCTAGCTGCAACCAATTGGACGAGGCCCATTTCTCTAACACCTTGCCTCTCATGGAGCACTGCGTCATGCGTCTTTACACAGGTAGGTTGTATCGTCACTTGTTAAATGTGGGGAACAATTTTTTTTTATGTTCTTGTTCATTTTTACTGGTTAGTTTGTTGAAGCAAGGTAAAATTTTTTTGTGTTAAAGGTGTGAAGTTATTTCATCTTCAGTACATAATAAATATTAAGAATGATTACAAATGTAATTTTTTTTTTCAACAATTGCTTTCCCTAAGTCACCATCATCTTTTCCTTTATGATCGTAAGATACACGGGGAAGATGAAGTAGAGTTCATCTGTTTCAATGACATTGAAGTACAAGGGGATAGTGTGGTCAGCACTTTGCCCAACCACCTTAGTTCCCCAAATGGTTAGGTACCCATCAGAGCTGGGTGGACTCAGAGGCATCCTACTGACTTAAGCCTGGGATCCGAACTCAAGTTTTTGGGCAAGCAGTCTACCATTGGACCACACCATCACCCACCTAATTAATGTTGAACTAATCTCCAACTTCAAAATTAATCTGGATTTTTATTTAATGTTTAATGCAACAAAATAACAATACCATAAAAATATATTTTAGTAATTGAAAAAAAAAAATTAAAAAATTCAGAGACACAAATTAGAAACATGAACTGAACAACAATTCTGCAGTGTTACTATAATGCCTATGTTGTTTCAGGGTGTAATGAGTGGCTCCATACCCTGGGACACCCTGCAGGAACAGTTTTTTGAGAACAGCATCTACCAGGATGAGATCAGGAAACTTCTCATATCTCCGGAAGATGTAAACCATGTTTTAACATTTTTTTTTAAAAACCGCACACAAAATGATATCGTTTGACCACACAGGACTTGTTTACTCTGTGATTAGAGAGAGACTTTGGCTATTGTTTATAACAGTTTGTGTGTACCTGTCAGCTTGTGTATACCTGAAGTCAGTAGAGAGTACACAATCCTTCTCATTTTTTTTTTGCCAGAGACACAGGCGAACTCTTCTTCACTTGTGATTAATGACAGGCACTTAGTTGCATTATGACTAATTTATAGAATTCTTTTTAATCGTTGATATTTTTTTGCCAAGGGAACTGGTGAACTCTGCTTCACCTGTAATTAATGAAAGGCGCTAATCACATCATGACTGATTACAGAATTCTTTTTTTTTTTTTGCATCTATTCTTCTTTTTTTGTTACCATTTCTTTTTTTTTTTTGGGAAATCTTTATTTAAACATCATTTTTTATGGATTAATTTTTGTTCTATCTCCTTAACATAATTTCAATATTTAATTTCAGAATCGAAAAGCTTATGATATGGGTCAGCAATTTGCTAAAAATTACTCAAGTAATATTGAGAAAGTTGAAACCATTCATAAAAAATCAGAGACAAAAACCCCCAGTTTTCAACCAGCATCAACAAACACCATCTCTATGGCAACTAATATTTCTAAAAATTCACACAATATGGCTATTGCTAAAGATACAATCGATCTAAATATTTTATCACCAAAAATGCCTGATTTTGATAACCAGCAGACTACTCAAGGACATGTAACTCCATTGTCCAAAGATGAATACATAGCTCATTTGGATTTTAAAAGTGATATACCACCAGAAAGTAAAAACAATGTTCCTCTACATAGTGCACAATCATTCACCCAATCTGGTAGTGTTGACTCCTTATTGACAGCTAGCAGTAATGTCACACTGGCGTCAGTTTCAACCAGTCACCTACCTGCCCCCTCAACGTCTATTTCATCCGTCGTCCAGGATATCAAAATTGAAAAAAAATTAAACCCCGTTAAAGTGCCTAGTACGTCTCAGTCAAGAAACCAGAATTTAACACCTGTGTCAGTAGAACCAAAAAGCCTGTCGTATAAACTAGCCGTTTCTAAATCGAGGCTGACGAATCTACGTTCGTCCTCCCCTAGCCCGGATCAGATGAAAAACTTACAGCAAGAGGCTCTGGACTTTATGAGGGGCGTCATGGATGAGTGCACACACCTGGGAAATTTTTCCGTCCCGGTGGACCCAGAGCTCATCATCATAGTTTCGGCCAGACAGGACGCGTATGTCCCTAAGGAGGGCGTGCTGGGACTAGATGACCTGTGGCCTGGCTGCGAGGTGCGTTATGTGGACAATGGCCACGTTGGGGCAGTACTCTTACATCAAAGTGCTTTCAGGTCAGTTTGGGTGGGTTTGTGTTGTATACAAATGCATGGTTGAACTTTGTAATCAACTTGATTTTATTAGAGCTGCATTGTATGGGTTAGTTGTTTAACTGTTAACTTCTTACAATAGTAGTACTGGATAAGCAATTTAATTTTTGTGTTGCTTGGATTGTATAGTTATACCTGATGTTTGAGAAAAGTCATGAGTATAGGGGTATTTTGGCACTACCTCCCCCTTCATTGTATTAAAGGTGTGTATCAATAGACTGAAGAGGCAGACATTATACTAATAGTAAAGTAAACACTACTGACAACTGGCTGCCATAGAAAGTAAAGTTCCCCTTTCAAACCAAACAATCCATAAGGCAGATGAAGTAGAGTTCACTTGTTTCTTGACCTAGGCGTATGGACGGATGTTGTAGTCAACACTATGCCCAGTCGCCTTTACTTTCCCTAACATAAGAGGTACCCCTCAGAGCTGGGTGGACTATAATTCCAAGTCCAAACTGAGATCCAAACTCAAGACCTTAAGGCAAGCATTCAAGCGCTTGACCACGCCATTCCAAATTGTTGCCATCTATATCAATTCAAATCACCATCAAGTGTATCCAGGCTCTACATCATCATATTGATCCACAGATTCTATCCAGTTTTTCTCTCTTTGTGCCCAGTTTCAAATTTCCTTCTTGTTTGTTCATTAGTGAGTTGCTAGACAGTACGTACTGAGAGAAAAAAATAGTTGTCAAACACAATGGAGTTGCAGTTCAGTGGGTTTTTTTTAATTCCTATAGGTTTCTGATGCTTTTAAATTGTTTATTCCTGCATAATCCAATAAAAAATGCACTACAGAAAGCCCTGTAATTTCTGCTCATAAATTTACCTTTTTGTCTTACTCCAGGAAAGCAATAGCAGATGCCTTTGATCGGCAAGTAGAGAAGTACTACCAAAATCCTGGCAACCAGCCCAGCGACCACACAGACAATGTCAAGTCAATCAAAGCTGTCAGTTAAATTATCCACTGAAGAACTTTTTATGACATATAATTTTCTGTATTCAATACAAATTGACTTTTTATCTGGCAAGGTTTGCAGCAGCAGCATCTTTATGATATTAATTTATACGGCAACCACTGATTAAAAAGTCCTGATATTTTATTCCTGTTGTCAGACAATAGTCAATAGTTCTTGTATACATTTGAAATTACTAATGGACTTAATCTGCTGACCAAAGTTGATTCTCACGGGTAGAATTTATTGTGATTCAGCTCAGTTTGGTACTATTGTAACTCTTTTTTTAAAATATCTTTTACTTTGGTAGATTTCAAAAACTAGGGTTTTAATTCCAGAATTTCTCTGATTTACAAATTTTATATTTTTTAACTTGTGAATATTGCAATGATTTTTTTTTTAATTTTGAGATTATTGTACAAGTAGAAATGTAGATATAGTGTGATAAAGTTGGCTGCGCATATTGTGCTACTGAGCTTTTACTTCTACAGTTTCTAATAGCCTGGAACAGTATTGTATTGTTAAGTGGTGTGTACACAGATAATTTAGCCATAATAAATAAAAAATGTACCACTACTTGGATTTGTTTGATTTGCTTTTTAAGTGTAGCTAGTGTACAAGGTCACATACAAATCTGAAAATGAAAGTCTCGAGTTTGAATTCGGGTTCAATGTCAAATGAACTTCCGAGTCCACCCGGCTCTGATGGGTACCTCTCAAAGTAAAAGGCATGTCTCATGATTATCTGATTAGTCTCAAAATTAAATCTTGTTAAAGACTTACATATACTTAGCAAAGAATTATAAGAGTATTAATTTTTTTTTTGAAGACAACATTATCCAAACTTGCATTTATTCTTCAGTATAAAGAATGACAAAGTGAAAATTTTAGCATTGGCAAAAAAGTATGAGCTCTAATGCATTTTTACATGTGCACAAACTTTGAATAAAAATTGTTAGGTATGAGAAAATCTTGCATAAAAATTTTAGTACATTACAGATAAATAAAAATCTTTATAAATCAAAAAAATACATTTTAATCTTACAGAGTGTGCCAACCAATGTCAAAATGAAATTACTAAATATACAATCATTAAAAATTTGTTGTGATAAACTTTATGTAATTGCAAAACAAAAAGTATCATAAGACAATTTTTTTACAAAACAATGCATCTTGGGTCATTTAAACAAATAGTTCAACTATGTCTTAAAACAATTCAACTCAATTAGCTAAAATAATAGGAAAAGTTTTAATTGTCAAACATGTTAAGTGCAAAGATCCCAAGTGGAAATGATTAAAGTTAAAACAAAACTAATTAATTAATTAATCAGTGTTAAGAAGTTGATCAGGCTTCCAGATAATAAACACAAACATCACTTAGGTTTGCTTGGTTGTTTTGGTTTTTTTTTCATTCTACAACGCAGATTATTTACAGAAATTCATTTCAAAAATAAAAACAAAATAGTCTTAGTGACAAAGTGATTGATCTTTAAATATTTAGAAATTTAAAAATCTTACAAGGCAAGTTTAAAAAGCAAATTAATGAGGTAAGGATAAATTTACAATAAAATTGTGGTAACATTGACAATTTGTATTTGGCTTGACGTTTAGAACAAGGATTCAAAGAAATCTGGCAACAACATAATACAAATCAAAGGCATGAGGGCATTCAATGAAGCAAATTTAAAAATTCAAGCAAACAAAAAAATATTAAAATTCAAGCAAACAAAAAAAAAAGCATAAAAGCACAATGTTTTTAAGTATTTGCAGTTGCCTTTTGTTAGAGGACTAAATTATTACTAAACAATGCACACAAAAAGGTTACATTAAAAACATCAATAAAAATAGAAAAGCATGAAACAAAGTTACAGTAAAAAATATAGCAGATCAATGCAACAGTGTAACGTCCATAACACCCCATTCCCCTCTTTAATCCAAACAAACCCAAACTTAACAAGCTCTGCAGACTGTCCTGAGGTTGTTACACTAAATTTGTATTCAGTTCATTGACGAAGGTCCGTCCCTTGGGTCTGTGTCGAAGTTGAAGTGAAATATTAGCACCTTGCACTCTTTGGTGGTTACAGCCAGCTCGTTCCGGTAAGGGTGCAAGGCCACATTGTAGCAGTTCGCGTGCTTGGAGCGTGACTTGAACCCGCACACAAATCTCCCATCAGGCTCGAAAACGGAAATGTTGAACGTGTTGTGGTTGTCGGTGATGACCACCTGTCCAAGATGGTTGAAAGAGACGCCGATGGGAAAGTAGGTCAGGCTTTCGTTCCCGATGGAGCCCTGCCATTGTAGGCTGTAGCTGAAGATGTGGACACAGTGCGACCTGTTGTCGCTTATGTAAATCAGTTCGTTCCTTGCTGCAATGTCGTTCGGGAACTGAAGATGTGTAGCGAGGTAACTCTGTGCCACTTCGTTGCCTGTTTGGCTGTATATGAAAAACTTCATGGTTCTGCTTTCAACTATGAGGATGAATCCATTCTCGTCCACTGTGATCCCTCTGGGGTAGCTCAGCTTGGTGTTGGCAAGAATGCGAATGAACTCTCCTTCGAACGTGAAGATTGAGATGGCAAGGCTAGGAGGTCTTTCCACGACGATGATGTTCCGAGTTTTAGGACACTGGGCGGCTCTGTAAGGGAAAAGTAGAGTACCGTGGGTTCTAGCCAAAAGCCTGTCCGAGTGTCCATTCTTCGCGTCTAGTGGAGGCAAATTCGGAGGTTCTCCAATTATTCGCATGAAGTTTCCGTCATCACGGAAAACAGCAAGTCGGTGGTTTTTTGAGTCCACTACAGCTAACGAACCGTCATGGAGGTAGAGAACTCCGTTTGGCTCCGCGAATTCGTACATGCCTCGCCCAAACTGGCCGAAAGATCGGCTGTATGGGGTGGTCACCCTTATGAAATCTGGATGAGAGCCATGTTCGGAATTTGAAGTAGTCGATACTCCTTTAACCGAATTGTTTATAAATGGTACTTCTGTGTCGTATCTGTAACTGTGGCCGAACGGTTGTTCGGTTACATTGTCAAAAACGATTCTCTCTCTCAGGATTGGTGATAGGCGATCCGGAGTCAAACTGTGCTCGAATTTTATGTTGCTGAAGGCTTCGTGTACTACGTCATTGAATTCGGGGTAGTTGGGATCAAACCTGATACTGGCCATTAAATCAGCTCTCAGCGAGTCATAGCTCTTGTTGTATTTGGACATCTTGTTGATTACTGCCACCAAAGTTCTATACAAGGCTATGAATGTTTCTATGTTGTGTCTATCAACAAACGTAGCCAGGAAATCGCTGTAGAGGTTATAGTCTTGTAGAAAATGATCCGCTTCTTGCTCCAAATTCCGGATGGTGTTGATCGCCTCCTCATAAGCAACATTAGCCAGGTTTTTTGCCAGTCTTTCCTCACCCCGGATGTCCTCGATCAGTTTATTGCAGGCTCGGTTTATTTCGTTTCTCAGCGCCTTGTCGCCGTCCTCCAGCTGTTGCCGGACGCCGTTCAGAGACTGCATCTGCTTGCGGTAGCCTTTTTGCAAGGTGGAGTACATCGCGTTGATCGTCAGCACCCGCTTCTTCGCGTCGTCCCCCGCCGACTCGAAGTCGCAAAGGTCATGGCCGCTGTGCTCGTTCATGATGCAGATCCTGCAGACGAGGACCCGGCAGCCTCGACAATACAACTCGACGAGCTCTCCTTCGTGGGCGTCGCAGGTAGGATGAAACTCTCCATTCTCGTTGACCCGAACTTTAGTCACGGGTCCAAGTTCATGCGCTGGCAAATTATCCATGTGAATCTGGCTACAGTCACTGCACAGGAAGTTCATGCATGTCTTACAGAACAGAACCGTTTGTTTCTCATCGGAGCAGAAGGTGCAAAGGAAAGGAGTTTGCTGCATTTGGAGCATCTCTCGGCAACGCTGAACATCAAGCTGCAGCCCGTTCAGGCCTTTCTCGTTCAATGGAGTTATACTCCAGCATGAAGGGCACTGAATCTTCTTTTGTTCCACGTCTTGCATTTCCCCCATACACTTGTAGCAGAACCTGTGGCAGCACAGAAGAAGATGGGGCCAGCGGTATTTCACTTTGCACCTTTCACAGATCGTGTTTTTCAGATCAACGCCGGTTTTGTTTACTCGTTCCCATGGTAATAGCCACGGTTTCTCGCTGTTCAACTTCACGTAGCCCTCCACTTTCTTAAACGCAGAGATAATACCGCTGTCCGCGATCGCCCTTGCCCCCACGATTGGTCGAGTGACTGTGGGTTTTATAACGTGTTGAACAACGGGCTGAGGGTGGGCGATTTCCGGAGACCTTTCGTGAACTTCCGGATTTCGAATAGGAATAAACCCTTTTGTTTGGTCATCATGCAGGATGAAAAAATAATCCTGAGCCGCCGGTTTTGGTTTTTGTTGAGGGGCGAGCTTCTTGTGGGGAGGGGCGCCGTAGGTGATGTTTTCGACCTCACAGGCCTCCGGGCTCTCCTCCAACGTCTGCTGTTGACTGGCGGCTCGCTTCGTGTTTTTCTCAAATAAACTATTCAAGTTTACATTTTTCGGACGCACGTTCGAATCGCCGAAAAAATTCTGTAGCTGAGGCAGCCGCTGACTACCGATGGCTCCCAGATTTTTCGATCTCTGTTCAGCTTGGTCCGTTTGGTCCATGGGTATGCTCTCTTCACAAGATTCTATCCATTGCTGGATGGGATAAAGATCTGATGAAGACTCGCCACCGGTGTAAGCGGCTCCTGGGGTTTGTTTTTCTGGCGATGGCGTGTCCAAGGACATGTAGGCAACAAACTTCACCGTCTGCTGATCTGTTTCCATATCACGTGACGCCTGGTCACGCTCTGGAAGCTGGCCCCAGCTGTAGTCTTTTTGCTGACTCTCTAGCGTCTGCCAGATGGACTCCGTTGAAAACACAGGCATTGTAAGAGAAGATATTAACTCCGCTGGGAATTTATCAAATACGTCCCTAACAGGTTGCGGTTCTTCAAAATGTTGCATCACGGGCGAGGCCGACTCTTCTGTTTTAGCCGAAAGTTTTTTACCGGCTGGCTGAAACTGTGTGGCGTGTGGGTTGAGAGAGAATCCTCGGCTTGACGACTGAGTTTCCCTGCTGTGGCGTGCGGTTTCATCTGAAAGACGCGGTTCAAAAGCTGGGCTGTGTTCAACGGGAGAGCAAACGGTTGAGCTATCAACTTGCATGCCGGGGTGTGGTAGGTTTGGACTTGAAAGAAGTCTGGCTGGAGCATCGCTCACAGATCTCGGCCTCGGCAGTAGTCCTGGTCTATGGGTGGAGTCAGATTTTTTCACATTCTGCGTCCTGTGGATGAATAAGAAAGTTTTCAGGCGTATTTTTTATTCTAGGAGTTTGTAAATGTAATGGGATTGTCGGACGATCACAAAGTGCTTGAAAATTTATACATTATAGGGTAGCGGCGTATTTTTTGTAATTTTTTTTTCTTCATCACAACAAATTTTTCTTCAAGATTTTCACATTTTTTCTTCCTTAAAATTCAACGAGGCATGGTTTTTAAAAATGCGGCCACATCTTTTAACATTACATACCAATTCAGTTTCAAATTTTTAATATAAAAACTTTAAGGAAAACAAAACGGTAAGGGCTTTTTGAAATTTGAGTTAGAACAATCTGGATCATGTGAAGCTAACTTGTGCTGCGTTAATTTGACAATTGGCAGGCACTAAATGTGTAAAAACAAAAATAATGTGTCGAAAACTATTTTAAAATTTAACAACGGAATCAGAATAACGCACCTGTCTTGAGAAGAACTGGTGCCCATGGGTGCACTGAAGGACCTATGTAGGTAAGAGACCCTAGCATGTCCGCTTGGTGCTCTAACAACTGCAGGCTGTTGTCCTTGAGATCTCTGTAGGGTCTGTGCTACTAGAAAAATCAAAATTGTAAACAACCCATTTAGCATATTTTACTAAAGGAAAACAAAAACAAAAAAAGTTTATACAGTTCAAAGGGTTAGGGGTCATCGATAAATTACGTCACGCTTTTTTTTGACGATTTTCACCTCCCCCTTCCCCTCCGTCACACGTCGTCACAAAAAGCCAGACCTCTCTAAGGGGTCGTCCATAAATGACGAGGGGGAGGGTTCAGATGGTGCGACGTCACACTTTTGCATTATAAAAAAGTAATGTTAGAAAACTAATTTTAGACGTTATTTCACGTTTTAGAAAATTGTTTTAATAAATTGTAATAGGAATTGATTAAAATACTCTAGAGTTCAGACAAGATTTTGGAAAAATATCGATGTTTTAAGAAAAATTCAACTGCAATTTTGAGGGGGGGGGGGGGGGTTGTAGGCTGAGGTGTGACGTCATTTTAGGGGGGGGGGGGGTCTGGCTTTGTGACAGAGGGGAGGGGGGAGGTGAAAATCGTCAAAAAAAGCGTGACGTCATTTATGGATGACCCCTAAAATGACGTCACACCTCAGCCTAAAAACGCGAAATAACGGCTAAAACTCGTTTTCTAACTGCTTTTTTATAGTGCAAGATAGTGACGTCACACCATCTAAATCCCCCTCCCCCTCATCACACCGTCACAAATTTACGGACCCCCTCCCCCCTACGATTGTGAGGTCATTTATGGACGACTCCCTTATGTAATTAAATTCAACAAAACAAGAAAGATAATACAGAAAAAAAAACACCGACCTGTTCCTCTCTCGCTTTGCGTCCAAGGTTTTTCTGGTCCACGACTCTCCCTCCAGTTTCTGCTGTCACGTTCAGTACCCAGAATGCTCTGCGGTTTTTCGTTACCCTGTGTACTACCACCAGGAGCAGGGGGTTGATACGGATGTGATCTGTTGCACTGATCTTGCCGTGTTCCCTGGGTCTCACGTTTATGTACATATTGCCCGGAAGATTCCGGACCCTGTGGAGTTGTCTGGGGTCCTTCGACTGCTCTGCCGGGCGCGCCCTTCCACGGTGCGTCTTGTTGGTCTAGGTGTTTGAGTTGTAAAAGACCGGGGACAACAGGAGAATTCCGGTTGTCCGTTTGGTTGCTTGCACCTGGTGAGACAGGCAAGTGATACAAGAGGGTTGTCCAAAAGCAGATGGGGCCAGCCAGAGGCGTAGCGAGGGGGGGGGGGCGGGGGTGCGGACCGCATTTAGGGGGGGTGACAAAAAAAAATAGCAAAATATATAGAGAAACATTTGACGGGGGGTGGGTGCAAAACGAAAGTTTGAGGGGGGGTGCAAATCGAAAATTGAAAGTTTGTCCCCGGGAAGGGTCGCTACGCCTCTGGGGGTGACACCATTAAGTGCCGCACCGGGTGACACCCGACCTCGCTACGCCACTGGGGCCAGGGCCGGCGCTACCTATAAGGCGAACGAGGCAGTCGCCTAGGGCGCCATCCCTGTGTAATTGTCTTTATCAAAAAAGTACCTAATAATTAATAACTTTGATTATCTTATATAAACTATAGATAGACTAAGATGGTAATATACAAAGGCGTAGCGATCTATTTCGGCGCCCATGATGAACTATCAATTTTGCGCCCCCACCTCCAAATTAGGCCTATATATGCCTACATTTATTCGCGTTGGTGAAAATGCACCTACCCCCCCCCCCCCCACCCACCCCCACCCCCCACACCTCCCTAATTTGGAAAGGTCAGGGCGCTTTTTACCAGTTACTTTCAGTGTTTCTTCCAGACTTTTTTCTCCGGGGTGGCACTTGAAATCTTCGGGGGGGCGGTAAACTTTCTTCGGGGGCGGACACTGTTAAAAGTATATATTTTCTATATAAATTATATAAATTTCATTTCGTTCGGGGGGGCGGTAAAAAATTTTCGGAGATGCCTGGAAGAAACTCTGGTTACTTTGTCTTTTTATTTTTTTTATTTTGGTGTCACATGATGTAGAAAACAATTCAATAAGTCCGTAATTTAAATTTCGAACATTTCAAACTGTTATCTAATTTTAATTTTGATTTAGTGATCGATCCAGCGCATGACGGGGCGTTCCAAAAACACCTGCAATTTTGGTTTTTAATAGGGCTTTTTGTCTCGTTTTCTCTGACTTAGAATTAGAAATATGTTCTGGAAATCCAATTACCAAAACTTTATTCAAGGGAAATAACTTTCACAAAAATAGCTAAATTAACCAAGTGTAACTAAGACATGCATAAAAAAAAACAGAAAAAAATTAATTACATAATCATTATACCTAATTTTTTTACATTAATTATATAACCTTGTCAAAACAATATATTTTACCAATCGACTACTTATTGGTAAATTGTTTGAAAGTATAAACATAGTAGCTTTATTATAACATACTTCTAGTCAATAGCGATGACATTCAAATAGGATTCATTTTCGAACGGATTAGATGAACCTATTTTTGACTCCCAAAATGATGGGACATTGTGACTAAGGAAGATGAAGACTTGGAAGGCGATCAAGGTCTTCAAATGTTGAAAGTAAAAGCAAAGAAACGCAAAGGCAGAGTCTTCGGTGGAGAGGGACCAACACGAAGTGGTGTTGATCATTGTGAGGGTATGGAAGTGGATTACGATGAGTCTGAAGGGCCCGGACCACAAAGATTTGTAGAAGGTTGGATCCTTTTTGTCACTGGTGTACATGAAGAATCACAGGAAGATGATATGTATGAAAAATTTGGAGAATATGGGGAAATTAAAAACTTACACTTAAATCTTGACAGACGCACAGGGTTTCTCAAGGGTTATGCTTTAGTTGAGTATGAAACATTTAAAGAAGCTCAGGGTGCAATGGATGCTCTAAATGGAAAAGAAATGTTGGGTCAGAAAATAAATGTGGATTGGGCTTTTGTTCGAGGTCCAAGAAAAGACATGTCAAGGAAAGATGACAGGCGGCGGAGGTAGATGGTGTCCATCAATTGTACAGATTTCTCATTTCAATAATGAATATTTTTCTTTGTAATAAATGCCTATTATTGTTTTTAAAAAATGTAAAAAAAAGATGGGACGGCTTTCAAACAAATCAAATACGAGTAACTGCTTAAAAATTAAGTCCTACCAAATATTTGCGCACATTATAACTATAAGTAACTGAACTTACAACACCTTGACAACTGAAAAGGCTCTACCCCTATTTTCAGACTACTTCATTTTCAGACACCTCTTGTGACAAAAGTTAAATTTTATAAATAGTTTCTCATAAACTATTAATTATCATGCACTGATATGCTAATTAGTGATAGTTTACTCCTACCATCATCTCCTCCATCCTGACTACCTCCTTGGTTGCCGCCCCTGAAGCGATGCTTTCTTCCCGTCCTCTTTGACATTCTTTATCCTGTTTTATTTATCCAACTTGTATCATTCAGCTTTTATCATCAAACTTCTTGTTGTTGTTTTTTTTTTAATTTCTAACTGTTACCATCCAACTGTATGTATTGAGATCCTCAGGGAATTTAAAAAGATGTTTCGTTGTATTGAACTTCAAGAGGACGGTACTATATTCCTCAAGCGGCCGATCCCAATTTTTGGAGCATTGGGCTATCAAGGAGTCGTGGAGCGAAGTGGAAGTGAGGGTGTGTTGGTCCAGGCCAACGGTTTTATTTTCGAAGGGTGGTGTGAGCTGTTATCAGGTTTAAAAAGTTAAAACACATCGGTCACATTGCTGAATGTTCAGTGCTTTGAGGTCACGAGTGTGTAGTTGTTCATAAAGTATGTGTTTGTTTACTTTGAAATAGGTCATTATTTTGGAAACACAAAACAACGACATGTAGGCCTATAGGCATTCTATAACAGCGGCGCTGCTGTGGAGCTGAAGGGGAAGGGGTTGCCCGGGTTGGTCTGTGGGCTGAACTTTTTACTTTATTTTTTATAATACATTTTTATCCTCAATCCGTCTTGACACTAGGCACACATGGTCACAAAAGTCCACCCAACACTATATTCCGGAGCACGCCCCTCACCCCACGAATCTATAACAAAGCCAACTGAAACAAGAAATTGCCATTTTTTCTTTTAATATGGTATCACCATTTCACAGCCACACAGTGACACAACGACCCATATTTTAAATTTGCAATTTTTAAAATGATACCAATAATGTCAATTGTAAAACATTGTTAATGAAATATACTTCGTTTTAGATATATATAAACATTCTTGTAAGTCGCAAGAAATAAACTTTGTATATTAATATATTAATTGTATTTGTGTTGCTCGATTGCAAGTAAATTATACTACTTGTTGATATATTTTCGAATAAAAATAATAAAATATCTGAAAAGGCGAAAATTGTTTTTTTTTTTGCTTCGATGTCATAATTGAATCTCCTTGCAAAGAAGAGTTAATGTAAACAAGATGTAGTGGGGGATTTGACTTAGATTTGGAGTAATTCTACAACCTAAATCTAGAGTCTAAATCTAAATTATCAAGCTTGTGTGATATTTTGTATTTAATTTGGTTAAATATATGTCGAACATACATTAAAAAACCACAGAACAGAAGGCTGAGAGGTGGCTAGCAAACTTAAAATTTTAAGTGACTTCAACGCCACGGAAAATCAATTTTATTCAGTAGTTGAATTCACTCAGAAGTTCAGAGTAATTCAGACAATTTGCAGAATTTAACCCTCTTAAGACGTAGCTTTTTTAGAGAGCCGGTGCCAAGAAGACGGAGCCTACTTTCAAGTTTTGCACTTGTATCACAAAAAAATTTTGAAAAAAATAAACTAATTATTTTACATGCATAAAAATATATATTATTTATTAGGAAATTGAATGAGCTAATATGATTTTTATAAATCTAATAAAAATCTCAACATATATATATGTGAGCTTTCTGATTTGCATAATTTATGCACGAAAAAAATTTGACTGCACTAAATTACAGTACATTTGTATAAAAATACGTTTTTTCTCTCTGTAATGCTAATCTAAATAATACACAAACATCTATTCAATAATCTGAACTATTTTACTGATTATTATTTCTACATTAGAATTTCTAAGTATATTTTTAGTATATTTTGATGACTGGACTGTTGGACATAAGAAAATTTACGATAGGACTCACAGCACTAAAAAAATCGATTAAAAACAAAAAAATGAGGCAAACTTTCAATGGAAGTCGCCATTGAAGTGCTAGATATGTACTATAACAGTTAGAAGCAATCTGATTGGCTGATATGATACTAGAAAGCCAATCGTGTGGCTTCTACTATCACGGCTGAGACCCGGCCGATAGATCGGCCGGTCGTCTTTTTGGCTATAAAACCGGCGGCCGATAGATCGGCCCGGGCGTCTCAAGAGGGTTAAAGTCGTAAACTTAAAACGTAAAATTTAAAAGTTTAAGTCCTATGTTATATTATGTGTATGTAGTAGGCCTATGTAGGCCCATAAGTATAGATTGTATTGTCAGGTGGCACAGTTATAGTATAAATTCCAGCTCGAGTATGATACTTACATAATCACACGCACACGGTTAATCACTTAATTTATTGATCATGAAGATTATTTTGCATCTGCACAACCTACCTTAACCTAGCTTAGGATACTGCATACACTTTTTTTTCAGATACATTCAGGTTTTTTAAAATATAAAATGAAATTTTGCCTATATTAAATATTTCATTGTGCATTGGAAGAGAAAAATATACTATATAGTGAAATACATTTTTAGTTTAAGTAACAAATTCCTAGTAATTGAAGGTGGTGGTTATAATTTTAAAAATATCTTGAAATATGTTGGTAGCTGTGACTTCAAAGAAGCTGATGTTTGACACAATAGAAAGATGTTGATCATTCATCGGCATGTCTAGCATTTGAAATGAATATCAGCACAGTCTTCTAGTTATGGTCATAGAACATGAAAAGGCTTCAAGACCTTATCATTAAATGTGCAGAACAGCACCTAAACCAAGTATGTGTTGTCTTTGATCCTGGTCCAAAAGCTGGAGAAGAAATCCAATTAAATATGGGCTGTCAAAATACCAACTATGCTGATAATTTTTGTAAATACAAGCATTACACATACTCTACTTTGATTGAAAAGAGTCTGGGGGTAATTAATATTTTGTTCTGTACTTGCTATTTTAAATACATGAGCATAGTTTTACTAAATTATCTTAAATTTGCTACTTTTGGAAATAAAAATACTGTTTTATCATTAATTTTTAAAGCCTTTTTTATTATTTATTTTTACAGTTCAAACAAGCTCTTGAAGAAGTGCAAATAAATGGACAAATAGTTGCTGTGTGTTTAACTGAAAGTCTTGAAGTCCCTAGTCTATTGCTTGGGTAAATGGAAAAGTTAAAAACTCCAAGCAATTTTACACTTGAATAAACGCTGTAATTAAGTATAAATAAATAAAATAACAATAGGTCATTTTATCTATAAAAAAAATTAAAATTTAGGATTCTAATCAACTAATTTTGGTAGATTTATAAAGGAAATAAATTTAAAAAGTAGTTTTGAAAGCAAGATTGCATCATAACTATCTAATCTGGTTTTATGTTGTTTTTTTCCTTAAAAAAACTAATTAATTTTTACAGGTTAAACATATTATGAATAAGGATTTTTTTTTAACTTTTTCATGTACAAAAATATTTTTTCGTTTGTTTTATGCCACAGGTTACTGTCATGTAATTGTGCCTTCTACCCTATCCATTGCGATGGGATCGAGTACACCCTTCAAGCTCTAAATAAAGTTGGGGCATCCAGTATAGTTGCTCATACATGTTTGAAGAAAGTGTGTACATTCTGTCATATGCATGTTTACCTAATGTATTTGATGGCATAGTCAGGCAGTAACCTACTCGACTGCTTACTCTGAAAGTCTCAAGTTGAGACTTGAGTTTGTAGGATGCCCCTCCTGAGTCTACCTAGTACTAATGGGCAGCTGAATCATATTAGCCTAATGTGATTCAGGTAATTTTTAGGGAAAGTAAAGGTGGCTGGGCATAGTGCTGACCAATCTATCCCTTCATATGACTTGGTCAAGAAACAGATAAACTCTGTTTCATCTGCATTATGGACATGTCTTTACCTAAAAAATTTAAAACTTTTATAAATTTAAATAAGTATTACTCTTTATCTAAAAAATAAAAAAGTTTTATAAATTTGATTTAATATTAATCATATTTTTGCTAGGATACTAATATTTTATATAAATAATTTAATTTTACTTTAACTTTATTAACTTTGTGAATTTAAATTACATTGCTTATTAAAACTGCTTTTGATACTTTCCTAAGGATCTCATACTGTTACTGAAGAAACTGAATGGAGTTCAAGTCCAGTGTGATGTGCTTGAAAAACATGGCCTCCAGCTCTTTAGACTAAAAACACCTGGCCAGTTCATCAATTCCATCGAAACAGATCTGGCCTACTGCATTACTACCTCTGGCACCACCAGCAGCCCAAAAATTGTGAGGGTGCCTCACTCTTGCATAGTCCCTAACATTATCAATATAAGGTAAGACATGAATATGCATAACTTGTATTTAATCAGTGACTATAACTGATATACCTTTGCCAAGAAATGTATAGAGCAGTTTGAACCTATCTTTTGTCTGAAGCGTGCTACTATATCTGCTTCATAATTGTTTATAGTTAGTCTTTTCTGTCTGTGTCAGATATTATTAATTTAATGTGTTTACTAATTTATACCTCAATTTAGATTTGATTTTGTTGTTTTTAGCTGAACTGATGAATTAATATACAAAGTTTATGCTTCAGAGAGATATTTCAGCTTGGACCAGGTGATAGGATGCTGCTGACCTCCCCTTTGACCTTTGATCCCAGTGTGATAGACATCTTCTGCACACTGTCCTCTGGTGCCTGCCTGGTTGTTGTTCCCAAGGAGCTCAAACAACAGCCTGAGAGATTTTTAAATGTTGTACATCACAGACAAGCTGTCACAGTCATACAGGTGAGGAGTTTATTTCATTGTGATGCTATTTTGTGTTACATTTGTTTCATTCTGATGCTATTTTACAATTCCATCTTACATTTGTTATATTATAATGCTACTTTATTTTGTCATTTAAATTTGTTTACTTATGTTGTTTTATGTTATTCTGTCCACAGTGTTATATTCTGATGATATTTTATGTTACCGTTTCAAATGGGTTACATTATATTGATATATTTTATGTTATCATAAATGTTTTACTGTTATTGGGATGGGCTTGTTGAATTAGTACATTATTTAGTATTCAGGTGAGTTGTTTCCCATTTTAACTTGATATGCTCTTTCTCCCTAATTTTCTTTCTAGCAGTACAATGAGTTGTTAATTAGTAATGCCAGTCCTACTGTCTTGTAGTAAATAACCAACTGTCAACAAATGCACTACTTGTTACAAGGATACATCAGTACATTGTTTTGTTTTTATAAATCATGGGTCTTATGAGTTCTACTAGAAAAGTTTGGCCTGCATGATAGCATTAACAGCATTATATATTACCAGAATTAGATAGTAACAGATATAAATATCAGTAATTGTGACAAAAATTTACATATGCTTTGTTGAAGGATTGTTATAATATTTTCTATGACTAGAGTTTATGTAATTGGTTTTTTTTTACAGTTCTCATTTACTTACTTTTTTATGCCATGGTGTATTATAATAAAATTACTTTTTATAGGCCACACCAGCACTACTGAGAACTCTGACCCCTCTAAGAGTGCAGAACACCATCCTTGGACCTGAGTCACATCTCAGAATACTTGCCCTAGGGGGAGAACCTTTTCCGAGTGGTTCTGATTTGCACGCCTGGAGACACAGAGATAACACACTGACACAGTTTTACAATCTGTATGGGATAACTGAGATATCCTGCTGGGCCTCTTGTCAACATGTTGATTTATCTGGTGCACTGTAAGTGGAGGAAAATTAAATAAATAAATGATTCGAATGTGGATTTTAAAATAGATTAACAGGGGCGGATGAGGCCTCGATAGCTGGAGACAGCAACTCTTCTTGGAGAGACAACTCCAAAATCAAACAACTTCTGCCTTGTAGTTTGTTCCTGGTTAGACAAAGGCTATGTTAGCAAATCCAAAAAGAAAAGCAGGCTGAAATTGGAGTCAACAGCCTAAATGATGCATAACAAGCTGATACGTAATACTTCATTTGTATTGGAAGGAATTCTTTCCAGCATTAAAAAATCAAGAACAAAAGGAAAATAGATTAATATTAAAAACATATATTTTTGTTTTGTTTACATGTAGTCTTTGTGTGTGTGTATATATATATATATATATATATATATATATATATATATATATAAATATATATATATATATATATATATATATATATATATACATATATATATATATATATATATATACATATATATATATATATATATATATACATATATATATATATATATATATATATATATATATATATATATATATATATATATATATATATACATGTAATATAATAATCTAAAAACTTTGTTTTGCAGGCAACAAGATAAAGAAGTACCAATTGGGAAGGCTCTAGATAAAACTGTATTGAAATTGATGTCAGAAGATGGTGGCTTGCAAGTCACTGCTGATAGCGAGGGTGTTATCTGGATAGGTTTGTGTCAATACTTAATGACGAGACTTTTTAGGTTAACAATGCCTGGGTGTCCAGATGTCTGGTTGTGTAAATCCTGTTTCAATTTTGAACAATATATAACCACAGAGCAACTTCTTTCAAATAATGCTGATCAATGGATCCTCACTGCCAACAGAAGAATGTCTTATTTTCAGTGCAGCTTGATATTAAATTAAAATTAATGTAAAGATTACTCTATTCAATAAGAAATGGGGAGTCACTTTATCAGTTATATGACTTGGTGTTTATTTGGAATGTTGTTTCAATTTGTAGTACTTAGACAGTTATTAATAAGGTGCAGATAGTATTCTTCTGTCTATACGGGTTTTTATATGGAAACACTTGCAACATTAGTTTAACTGGTATAGAGCAAACTACCTTTTTTAGACCTGAGGGAACGGAGACTCAATTATGTTTGGCTTGAAAAGAATACATTTAGTACTAATTGTTTGTTTTTTAAAAAGTATTATCATTTTACTCTGATATCTTGACGAAAAATTAATGATTAAAATGTTTTTTTTTATTATTTGCCTTGTAAATGTGGTTACTGCTCAGACCCAACCATTTCAAGAGTCTTGATGTAAACAATGTGTTTCTTAGCACATTATATTATTTATAACAGATATGCAAATCCACTTTATTTTTTAGTATCAAAAAGTAAAAGTAAAGTACCCTTACCAACCTGACGGTCCATTTGGCAGGTAAAGTAGAGTTCATTTGTTTCAGGCACCTTGGCGCATTTACTTTCCTTAATATGAGTCAGGCACCTATCTGAGCTGTGTGGAATCAATGACGTTATACAGACTTAAACCTGAGATTCAAACTCGAGGCTTTCGGGTAAGCAGTCATATGCTCTACCTTCCAACCACACAGCCCCCCTCCCCCCTTTAGTATCTAAGTTTTATTTTATTTATATCCATGATATTGGTTTGGTTTCAAATAAATAAATTATCTTTGTCTTGTCATTTTTTATTGTCAATAAAAAAAAATTTCATGCTTTTCAAGGTACTTATTTTTAAAATATCAACCAAATAACAGTCAAATAATCGGAATGTTCTTTTGTAGGTAGCTCAGAGCGGGTCTGTCTTATTGATGATGAAGTGGGCACCAACAGCAAGTGCCAGATAAGAAGAGATGCTGATGGTATGGTCTGGAGAAACAGTGGAGACTGGGGAAGACTTGACCGTATGGGAAATATTTTCTGCTTGGGTCGACAGGATGATCAGGTGAAGAGACACGGAAAGCGCTTGAGCCTCTTGGCTATTGAAATGGTAAGACTTGTGGATAATAGTTGCTTGGGCAGTTTATAGTGTTTATATTCTCTCTCTTTCTTTCTCTCTCACTATCGACATTTAAGATTTAAGTAATTATTGTAAATTTAATTAATTTTATTGCAACAGTTTAACTTAACATCATTCATAACGTAGGTGTGTAAGAAAATGCCTGGAGTCACAGACTGCTGTGTATTATGGGATGGAACAAGGCTGATAGCTGTCATTAACTTGGACACAGTAATGAAACCAGGACATCAAATTGAAGTTGAGCTGACCAATGAACAACAGAATAAACCTTTAGACCCTGGCAGCAATGCTAGTTTTATAACCGGCCAAGATTTAGCCAACCAGCACATTGAAACAAGTCTACACCAGCTTATTACTGAAGCACTACCAGCACATTACATGCCAGATTTTTTTGTCATGCTCAACAAAAGTTTCCCCATGACATCACATGGTAAGCTTAGAATGCTGACCAACCCTATAATAATCAAATTCTTTTTGAGACCTTGACTAAAAAAAAATTTTAATCTGCAGATTTTAAAATAACTACTGCTATGAAATTTATATATTTTTATTATAAAAGAACTAAATAATTTTGTCACTGTTGGCATAGTATACACCCTATATAATTACTCTTACTAACATGACACAAGTTGCTGTAACAAAAACATCACAATAGGCATTGTTAATTTAATATAGTTACTTTATAAAAATTCCTAGCATTATTCTGTCCATGTTAAATTCCTTCATAGATCTCTTTTGTTCCCTGGCCTGTGACTCTACAATATCTAAGAGTTGTTTCAGATAACAAACTTATTAATAATTTTTATAGAAAGTTTTCAGTTAAGTTTTAACAAATACAGTAAAAAATGTATTTAAAAAGACTTTTCAATGCACTAAAAAATAAAGTAAAAAACAAGTTTTTCTTTCTTTAGATTTTATAGTAACCATCGTTTGATAAATATTGAAGAGATTTTATAAGGTACCAAAATTTTATTACCAATCCTATAAAAAGGATAAGTTAGCTTTATTTTTTTTTTAATTTTGTGTTTATCATGTGATTGCTTTGTTATCTCCCTTTTGTTATTGAACATAGCAATTTTTATATGGCTAATATCAAATAAGATTTTTAAAAATAGATGTTCTTTTGGGGTAGCTGGAAAGTATTAGAAATGGATCAAAATTGAGCAACAAGATTTGACCACAACCTCACTACATGAAAGACAGCTATACTGTCCTAAGAATAATGTGTCTGGATTTTATAAACTATAAAAGCTTCTTCTCTTGGTATTTTAATGAAATTTAAATGTATCAATATGTTTTATTTCTATTTTACCAGGCAAACTAGACAAGAAAGAACTATTAAAAATAGCTGATCACAAGATAAAAAGTTTATTTAGTAGTACAAAGCAGAACCCTTTGAAGATTGCTCAAGATGTATGGATGGTAAAGTGGCTATTACTTAATTTCTAAAGACAAAATTGTATTTAAGTAGTTTTAAATCCTATGTTTTCTGTAAAATTTATTTTTCTTTGCTAAGCCAGATCTATGACTAGATGTCGATTCTATGTTTAAGAATTTATTTGATAACACATTAATGAATATTTGATATCAAACCAAAGTTTTATTATATAGACATGTTTAACCATTTATCTATCAAGCCTATATATTGTTGTATAGATACATTTTTTATGAATTTATTTCTATCAAGCCTATACATTTTATTCCAGTCACTTCTTCCGAAGGTCACGAGCATCAAGTCATCTGACAGCTTCATTCATCTGGGAGGAGATTCATTAGCTGCAGTCAGGGCCATTAACCTGCTAGAAGCTAACTACAAATGCAATATGAATAAACTGTTTGATATACTTGTTAACAGAGACTTCAAATCTTTTGCTGAGGAATTGTCTGAAACTTTGAACCGCCCCAACTTCAACACATCAGACAATGAGGGAATGAGTCAAAACCCAGCTGTTCATGGTGTAAACAGTCTGATGGGGAGTAAAAGACATGCAGCTAGTGATGATGTGCTGGTCAGGAAAATGTGTAGAAGTTCTGAAACTGCCCCTGTAGTCAGCAGTTTATCTTCAGAAGCTGAGCCACTACCCAATGAGTTATCCTCGGAAGGCGTACAACTTCCTCATGTAATATCGTCAGTAAAAGTACCAGCATCTAAGGTCATATCTTCAGAAAAAGTGCCATTATTGAATGTTTTATCTTCAGAAACAGAGCCACTACCTCATGTGATATCATTAGCAGCAGTAGCTCAGCCTAACTCCTGTTTAGTCAGTGATTCCAAAGACAGTTCTGTAAAAAATATAATTGCAAATAGAAAAAAAGATGTTGGTAGTATTGAAAATTTACTACATAAAACTGAACAAGCCAAAACATCGTCATCTGTGATTGCTATTTCACGAGGTAACAGAATTGTACATTGTGATCCAAGCTCTGTTGGGATAACATATGAAGACAGTCAACAACCAGTTTATTCTGTATGTCCTTCAAGTGGTCAAGAGCCTTGTTCTCGTGTCTTGAATGATTTGGCTTTACGTTGGAGAGTAGACACAGGGAAATGTGTGGATGCTTCACCATTGGTTGTCTTATACCTGTAAGTGTTGTGGAAATATACTAAAAGATGTTTATTTAATTTTTATACTTTATCACAACTATAAACTTAAAAGTTAGTTTAGTTATGGATTTTTTTTAAGGTAACAAGGGTCATGTTAAAATTGTATTTTTTTTTTTCTGTTAACCCCTTTACCGTGGAATTTTTTTTTTTGTGTGTTAACCGTGTAATTTTTTTTTTTCCCACTTTCGTTTTCACATCACGTGATGACCTATTTTTATCATCCGCTGTTGAATTGGCTGTTAGATTAGCTTCCCTCTACATTGTTATTGATTTCCAATGCTATTTTCGTATTTTCGTATCAAGACGAGTTAACTTGGGACGCACGGCACACAGACGACTTTTTTATCTGAAGACGAGTTAACTCGTGATGTACGGTTAAGCACAAGATTTTATATGATGAGTTAACTCGTGACACACGGTAAAGGGGTTAAAGGTTGATTTGTGATTACTTCCTGTTTTTGGGAACTTCATTCTTTACATCTTGTGTTTCTTTCATAGTATTCTAAAATATTGTAAATAGTAATCTCATTAACGCTGTTTGAAGTTTCTTTTCCCTCTAGTAGTTTTGATTGCATTAAATATTTTTAGTTTTAACCTTTTTTTTTACCAGGCAAACAGATTTACATCTATCTTTCATTGGTTCCCATTCTGGCCAGTTCACTGCTGTTGATGTAAATACTGGCAGCTCCGTGTGGTCAGTCTTATTGCCAGATAGGATAGAGTCATCTGCCTGCATTGACATCACTGGCGGTAAAGTTGTAGTAGGTATGGGCCTTTTTAATGGGCTTTTTTTTAGATGGCCTATTTTGTTCCATAATCATAGTCACCAGAGTGGTTAGTTAACTTCCCCAAAAACTTGATGCTGTCTGATAATTATTATCAATTTATTAAAATTTCTGTTTTAGCTAAATATAACCATAGAAAGTTTTGATGGATTTTAGAATAAAGCATTTGTGCTTCTTTATAAAGACGGTATAGTATTAAAATATGGTATTAAAACGTATTGATTTATCCTGATTGCCAGCTACAGAATACAGTTAAATAGATTGATTTAGAGCAGGGGTTCCCGTGCCCGCGTTCGCCATGGCGCCCGCCGAACGATTCGTATGTGCCCGCCTCTCACTATTCGACAGAGACAGAATTTTTTTCATAAACATTATTGAAAGGTTGAAAGGGATGGAAATCGAAAGTTTAAGGGGGAGGGGGCAAATCGAAAATTTGAGGGGGGGTGCAAATCGAAAATTTGAGGGGAGTGCAAATCGAAAGTTTGAGGGGGGGGGGTGCAAATCGAAAGTTTTGTCCCCGGGTGACGGGAAGGGTCGCTACGCCTCTGGAAGGAGTTTGTCAATTTAAAATAGGTGGTGCCCGCCACCCTACCGATATTTTAGAATGTGCTCTTGAGTAAAAAAAGGTTGGGAACCCCTGATTTAGAGAATGCACAGTCTTTACATTATGCAAGAGTCCAGTAAGAATTATTATTTTGGCAAAGCAGAATAGACCTAACCTAAAAAAAACTTAAACATAAAGAAAGAAGTTTTATAATAACACACTTTTAACTGCACTGTAAATATGAAAATAAAACAAACTTATATAATTATAAAATTTACTCAAAATATCTTTTAACCTATTTCAGTAGCCCAACACTTGGATATTAAAATTATCTAAGAAAAAAAATTTGTATATTTTCTCAGGGTAACCATGATATTAAAATGTGTTTTCTATAGGCTGTTATGATGGTAACATATACACTTTGTGTGCCAGAACAGGGGACATAATTTGGACATTTGCAACAGGAGATTTGATCAAGTGTTCTCCAGTTGTTAATCCTTCAACAGGTCACGTTTTATGTGGGTCACATGATGGCTATTTATACTGTCTGGACCTCTGTGTATGTACCGTTTTTATATGTTTATATAAAATATTTATATTATATATATTCATGTATACATTTAAAATAATAGTTTACATGAAATAGAGAGTATATAAGCAAGCTAATTTCAATTTATTTCAATTCAACTTTCTGATGAAGATAATGAGTTCTAATTTTTTTTTAAATAAAATAAATAAATAACCTTATTGCCTTGTGTTATAAAAAAAATTTCAACAGAGGAAAGTGTGTGTGTGGAGATGCCACCTGGGTGGGGGGAGTGTGTTTGCTTCACCAGTGGTGGATGTTCCATACAGCTTAGTGTATATAGCAACACTCTCTGGAAGGGTTGCTGCCCTTGAAATGGTGAGTTGCTTGTCAACATTGTTTTGTATTTGAATTGTTGGAGTTTACTATAGAACAATGGGATCACATGTTCAAGGAGAGGAAACTCTAAAATCAAACAGCTACTGCCTTGCAGATTGTTATTGAGTGGATTAAAAACACTCATTTACAAGTATATAAAGTAGTAAAAGTAAAGTTTGCTTTTAGACCTGATGGTCCATGGGCTATCTGAATCATCATGGGGCAGATGAAGCAGAGTTCATCTGTTTATTTGACCTTAACATAAAATCATGAATGGATTTTATGGTCAACACTATGCCTAGCCTTCTTTACTTATTATTGTTAACTGGTTGAAACTTGTCAGTATGTGGGGATAGGTTTTTTATTGGAAAAAATAAAGAGACCTAGAGATGTTTTCAAATAGAGCTTACAAGATTTCAAGCTGATAATGGAATTGTGTGCCAATCATTCTCTGAATTTTTCACAATTTAAGTTAGCTATTTCATAGAGTTAAGCTGTGTCAAAGCTTCATATGAAAGATGGAGAAGCCTATAGCTCTCAACTATCTGCATCAGGCTAAATCATGTATAAAAAGTATGTTTAAAAAGCATTTTTTATATGACGTGATGTAATTTATGGGCATTGGTTAAAATGTTCCCTCTCTAGAACACAGGCAGTGTGCAGTGGGAAACAGAGCTGAAAAAGCCAATCTTTTCATCTCTCTGTGTTTGTGAGAATCAGCTGCTCGTGGGCTGTGTTGATGGCCTACTCTATTGCCTTGACTCTTCAGGAAATACTGTAAGTTGGCTGATAAGTATTTCACAATATAGTGCCAAATTAAATAATTTTACTATAAAACATTTCCTTCACCTAAACAAGTTGATCAGGTGAGGTTAATTTATCCTGTTTTTTTTTTTCGTCATTTTAAATGAAGGGATTGTTAACATAGCGCCATGTCTTGCTGCTAGATTCCTATCTCATGTGATGTCAGGTACTCTTTTTAGGGCTGTTTAGTACAGGACAAATCTTGACTATCCCTTAAAACATCTCTGGAACATTTAATGCAACACTTGTGGACTCTTCCACTTTTTTACTCCACACTAAATAACGGTCAAGGTAACTTTTTTTATTAATATGCTGATGTAATGTTTTTAAAATCATTTTTACAGATTTGGACGTTTCTTGCACAAGGGCCAATTTTCTCATCTCCAGTTGTTTATGGATCATCTATTTACTTTGGGTCACATGACCACCACGTGTATTGCCTCTCTGTCTCAGGTGAACTCAGGTGGAAGTTTGAAACCAGCGCAACAGTTTACGCCTCGCCATTCCCCTGCAGGCTCAGTGTGAGGTGTGGATGTCCTAGTGACACAATGGAAAGAACTTACCAATCACATGAAACAGCACAAACTGACCAATTACCTGACACAACACATACTGACCGATCACATGACAAACATACTGACCAATCACATGACACAACACATACTGACCAGCCACATTACACACTTATAATTGACCGATTACATGATACAACACAAATTTATCAATCCCATACTGACCAATCATGCAATACAACACAAAGTGACCAGTCACATGACCCACTTGACAAGCCTCCAACTGACATTCTTCATAATAAATTACCATCAGAGGTAGCTTCAGTATCTGCCCATTCACCATTAATAAAAACTCTTCCCTTAAACCAAGACAGTGCAGGAACACCAGTTGTGTGCCATTCACCACCTTACCTCTGTGATGGTCTAGTGGTCCCATCTACAGATGGATGGTTGTACATTCTTGATGCCTCTACTGGACATTGCTTGACCAGGTGCAAGTTGGCAGGTGAAGTTTTCTCCTCCCCAGTGGTTCTCAACAACCGCGTCATAGTGGGTTGTAGAGATAACTTTCTTTACTGTTTCGATGTCACATGATTGTAATTGAATAACATGTTTTTGTTGTTGCTCATGTAGTGAATTATTTTGTTTTCTGTATTTAAAATATGAAAACTGAATGTTATTAAAAACCTTGAGATTAAACATTAAGTTTCAACTCCAGGTCTATTTGATAGTTTGAAAACTTTAAAAAAATATTTATTCTGATGGAGGCATGAAGTTGACACTTTAGTTGTTTGTTTCTTGGGACTTTGAAAAGATTAAAACAGTTAAGCTTCAACTCCAGGTATTTGTCAATATGAAAGGGTAAAAAATGTATTTTTCATTCTGATGAAAAATGAGGTAGACACTTCACTTGTTTGTTTCTTGGGACTTATAAAAATAAAAAAATTCTATTCTATTAAAAATTTATTAAATATTGTTTATCACTCTGGGTTTACCAGAGGCAGGTTTAGTGCTGTTACCCAGTGCCAAACAAATTAACCACAACTGCCGTAGACTGTGTTGCGCTTAGAAAATTATTTCATAAATGCATAAACTTTAAGAGCAAGCAAATAGAATTTTAAACATTTTTATTAATCAATAACATTTTAACCCTTTGAGTACATGATAGTAATATTAAATGCAGAAATTAAATATTTTATTGCCAATTGGAATACTGAATTTGAAAAGAATACATGACTGATTGACAAAAATTAGATAAATAAATCAAATAAAAATGCAAATTTATCAAATAAACTTAAATATTTTAGAACTTATTAACATAGGATTGTTTAAATCTGTGCACACATTGAAAATGAAACCCGCTAAGACTTTAAGCCTTATAAAATTAACAAAAACTATAATTATAACATGAATGAAAATAAAACTTCATGCCCATATGTTTTTTTTTTTTACTTTTAAAGATGTACTTTTTTACCACCATAAAAAGACATCTTTAAGCCCAATGTGAGATCAGATATGACCCATTTAATAATTTGCAAACAGAGAATAATATATTTTAAAAAGATTTAACAAGAACATATGAATACATTAAACTAGGGGTAAAATTTCTCTAAGGCTTCTTTAATTCCAACTTTGAAAGGTGTCCTTTTGGAGATGCCTAACGCTTCCATTCTGGAGCAGTCTAGGTGACAGTCAAATGGGCGGGGCGTACCAGAGGCTGGTTTGGTGTCGGCTACAATGTGATTGGTTGGTATCCCATACAGCTCTGCCATTGCTAAGGCCATATCGTACTTGGTCATCATTTGGGTTCCGCTCCAGTGGAAAATTCCTGACAGTTCTGAATTCTGAACACACAAAAATCTTTTAAAATCTTCATTCCTTTAAATGTATTAAATAATTTTTTAAATTTAGCTATTAGAATAACCAGTGAATATTTAAATACTTTTCGCTCTAGTGGAAAATTCCTGACAATTCTGAATTCTGAACAGACACAAAAATCTTTAAAATCTTCATTCCTTTAAATGTATTAGATAATTTTTTTAATTTAGCTATTAGAAAAACCATTGAATATTAAAATACTTTTTTAAAAAGTTTATAATCAGCCTTGAATGGTTTGCATTACTTACTTTGGCTTTGCTCTCAACTAGTACTTTTATAGCCTCTGCTACATCTGGACAAAATGTTGGGTAACGCCGCTCATAATGATTCATCTCTGCTGGCCTGCTAGGATCTTTAACCTTGCTGAAAAGGACGGTGACAGCGCTTTCATCCAGTGTTTCAACAGCCCCATACAACACTGGTACTCTCAACACTACATTGCCTAGGGAAAAAATAATAATTTTCAAACCTGGTTTCTGAACTCTACACTTTTAACTTAAAATTTACATTTTGATCCCAGATAACGTTTTTGTTTCCTCAAACTTTGACGCTATTATACCAAATTTTAAGACAATATATTATAACTTTAAAACAATTTTTTTAACAGCCTAACATCTTAACATCAAGATAAAACAAATGTAGGAAACAATACCATTATTAGATTGAAAATCAAAACAACAAATAACATGATTTAATGCTAAGATATATATACATATATTATAATTTTATTTTAGTAATCTTTTATTTATACACAAATACTCAATTTTTTTTCTTAAAAGCAGTTTCTTTCAGGCATTTCTTTGAGGAGGTGAAAAGGGGTGCATGGCATTATATTCCCCTTGAAAAGTTTCGAGGGCCCCCCCCCCCCCCCCCCCCACACCCCCCTGGAGAAAAATGTCTGAAAGAAGCACTGCTCACAAGTCAATGTAAACTATACTAAAATATTACCTGGATTGGACTCTAAAACTACTTTCTCGCCCTCTGCTTTACTGAGACCATATTTATTTAATGGGTTGGGTTTGTCAGTGGGTTTGTATGGTGCATTTGACCCATCAAAAACATAATCTGTGCTTATGAACAGAACATATGCACCTGTTGCATCTGCAAATAAATTTTACAAAAGTTTACTTAAGACATCTGCAAATTGCTATCATCAATGTAAAATATGAATACTAATTTTTTTTTTTTTACACTGATTATGCTAAAACACTTTGGACTTTATATTGATTATATTTTGGGTCATCCATAATTTGTCACGCAATTTTAGCAAATTTTTACCCACTCTCTGTAATCACATTACAAAAAGCAAGACCCTTTTTTTAAAGTGCTTTCTCAGAATAATATGTCCTCTTTCTTTCTCACCTCCATCCCAAAGTAACCAAAATGTTTAGCAAAATCTAAATTTTTCTTTATATCTCCTTAAGAAATAAATACTACGTCACATGTGTAAAGCTTCACCTCACTGCACATCATCATAAAAGTATAAAGCCCCCTACCCCAGGTGTGTAATGACCCCAAAAAGGCTGTGTGACAGCACATTTTTACAATCATGAAGAACTAGAGTCTGATGCATGAGCTGCAGTTTATGAGTCCATACAGCTCAAACAAACATCTAACACTAGCCAGGGCAGGTAAAGGCACTGGGAATTGTACAAACCAAACAGCTACATAATATGCTGTGGCCACCTTAAGAAACTTTGAAACAAATATACAAATTTTTTTCCCCAGTAAAAAGTTGTATATATGGCTCCTTTAGCCTAATGATACAATGGAGTTGCATCCAAAGATTAAGCTGGGATTTAAAATCAGTGGCTCCTCTCCCTGATGAATCACCTTACTAGACTGACGAGCCCGACCTGCCTAAAGTTGCTTATTTTTGGCACCAGGTAACCGCCAATGGGAATGAGTGGTCTAGCGGTAGAGAGCTGGACTGCTAGCCCGTAAGTCTCGAGTTCAAATCCAGGTTCAAGTCAGTAGACCGTCCCTGAGTCCACCCAACTCAGATGGGTACCTAACTCATGTTAGGGAAAGTAAAGGCGGCTGGGCATAGTGCTGACCACTATCTTTTTATATGCCGAGGTCACAGAAACAAGACAATTAGTGAACTCTACTTCACTTGCCCTATAAGCCGTCAGGTTTGAAAGGGAACTTTACTTTAACCGCCATCCACCCCTTCACCTGTTAGTAAAAGCATTTTCGCAGTGCTTTAAGACACACAAGCAGGCCAGGTGCTGGACTTTGTTGTTAGAGGCTATTTGAGACTATACCATTTAGGAGTAATTTATAAGACACCACCCGACAAAAAGAGTTGCAATTATTACAAAGAGCCAAAATACAGATTTGATAACAAGATGTTGACCACAGTGCCATCATAATTATAATGTGGCTTAAATCAAGCTGGTCTAAACAAGACTTATCCACTAGTAAGATGATAGTTATAATTAATTTATAAGAAGAAAAACAGTTGTTGATTTTTAAGGTACGATCATTGCAAATTCTGGGAAAGATGTAAGGCATTTACTTGCAAGATCACACAGTCTTCTTGTGGCATCAACATTTATTTTCTTTGTTTTATCTTCCTCAAGTTCTACCACATCAGGTCTCCTTTCTGCTGCTGCATGGAGAATCACAGTGGGCTACAAGATGTTTTACATACAAGGAATTAAAACATAAATTTGACTATTTTAACTATTAATATAATTCGTTTTTAAAAGGAATTCAATATTTATTATTTCTCAAAAATAATTTAATTAAGGACAAAAAAGAGAAACAACAAATGCCCTTTGAACGGTTATCATAGAAATTGCTCCAGTTTTAGCAGAAAAAGTTGTTTCACTTAGTATTTTCCATACATTTGTCCCTACCCTCCCATGGCAGTAAAATCCTCCTTATCATACTTACAATACATTAATGATAAAACAGTACCTGAAACTCTTTAACCACCGCTGCTACTTGTTCTGAGTCTGTTAAATCCACCCTCTTTAGGTGTTCTCCTTTCCTGGAGAATGCCAGTCCAAGACTTGTCCATTCTGGGTCTTGTGAAAAAACCTTCAAACAATCTCTACCAAGGAGACCAGATGCTCCAGTTATGAGGATTTTCTTTGTCATCTTTTTTTATTCTCTGTATTACACAATATTTTAGTTGTAAAATTAGGATAAACAAAATAAATTCAAAACTTTTTATAACACCTGTAGGAAGTATTGAAGCTATGTTTTTTTTTTCTTGTATTACCACCCTGGCTATAACGCAAGCTCTGAAGAATAACAGACAGTTCATGTGGTAGAAGAAGAATTCAACAGCATTACAAAATGCAGGCAGGAGGGGAGACCATCCAATGGGGTGACACTTTAAGCTAAAGGTACCAAACATTAATGAGAAAGTCTGCTATATTCAGTTAGTTTAATAACTTTTTAATGTTAAATATGCCTCTAGACACAAGGTTACATGTTACAGTTTAAATGTTGAATCAAGTTCAGGATGCCCAAACTGCACACTACTTATGGATATATATAATAACAACATTGCTAGGTGCCACCCAGAGGTCAAACTGTACAGCCTTTGGCTGCCAGTGTATAGCACACAAATGTGACATGCAGGGACAGGAGTGGAACCCCCAGGGAAGGGAAGTCTTCTTGAAGAACTATAGATGTCTTGGGAGACTGCAAAATGCTCAAAATACACACCCAAGGACAGGACAATGTGGCCTATCTATGTTCCACAATGAGTATTGCATTGAGTAACCAGTGTTTCTTCTAGGCAACACTTGGGGGGGGGGGGGGGTGGAAGGGGAAGCTCCCCACCCACCAAAGAAAAAGAAAGTATACCCCCCCCCCCCCAACGAAACGGAATGTATAGAAAATATATACCACCACCACCACCCCCCCCCCCCCCACACCCAAGTTTTAGTTACTTCATTTAGCTCTAGTTCAGTTTTCAACTAAGAGTACTCTAGTTAAGAGTAAGAGTCTAGACTAGTAGTCAGTAGTAGAATAACAGAATGAGGTAGATCTAGATCTAGAGCCCGGACTTGCTTAGTCAGATAAGCACGTTACTGCAGTTAAGTCTAGTCTGTTTGCAACTGTTCTAGATCTAGACTAGATCAAGATCTAGATCATTCATATTCTAGTCATATTCTAGATCTAGATCTAGACTATTCTAGAATCTAGCTAGACTCTGCTAGACTGATCATGAATCTGATGAATCATAATCAAAATCATTGAATAGACCAAACAAAACTCAATATTTTTTTATAAAACAAAATAAACTATTATAAAACAAAGGCTTAAATTCCATGTCTATATTTAAACACTAAATCTATGTAGGTCAATCTGTTTACTTAAATATACCTGTACAATATACACATTACTTTTCTTTGCTTAAGAAGGGTAATTAATGTTGTTTGACCTCGTGAACTCTGATGTGTTAAAACAGAATACGTGTGTAACGAATACACGTTATGTGGAAAGTCAATTTTATATTTAGAATAAGGCAACCAATCAGAATCTTGAAAAAATATCTTCTGGGACTGCTGGCCTCGTTTTCGCCCAGACGGAAGCGGTCAAACAAAGTATAGTTACACGGAAGGTTGCATCGTGGACGATGAATGACATTCCATCGGAGTCAATGTTTTCTTAAGAAAAAGACCCTTATGTTTTGAATTTATGAAAAGTGATCGTTTATGTGTATTCTTATAATGTTTATGAATGCATTCGACTTATCATAGTTATGCACAATGTCCATAGACGGGAAAGGGGACATCAATGTTTTCTTTTCTTCATCGCGAGTAGGCTTCGGGGAACCCCTACCTCCTACTTCAACTACATCATTGTTGACTTTTGCTGACTTGGTACTTGCATTGGATCACAAAAATGCTCGCGAAACAGCTGTTTTTGATACTTCCAATGTTTACGGTGGTAAAACAGACCACACTTATGCGTCAAGTGGGATCATCAGAACGACCCGTTCACAAACAGCCAAAGCGACAGTTCAACATCAGCAACCTTCTTCTAAAGAAGATGAACAAAGTAAAAGAGAATCAGTTTCACAGATGAAATTAAAGTACAATGAACATCAATTGTATTCAGAGAGTTCTTCTACTGGTCAGACACTATCCAGAAATCTTTACTCAGATAAAGAACCTGTGCATTTGAAGAACAAAAGGTGCTCTTCAGTGGAGAATATACTATTACCTACTTCTAGTCAAACCCACATCAGTGCTGCTAAAGTGGCACCAATAAATATATTGAATAAAACTTCTGAATGGCATGCGCTGTCCAGGAGTTCTCCTAGGAAATCTTGTTCATTTGAAGAGGTTAGCTTAGATAGTAAATCTATTATAAAAACATCAAAATCTACAGAAAATGTCCAAAAGACAGGAGTATCACATACATTACATCGACTAGTGAATGATACTTTAGAGTTTCCCTGTTGGCCAAGAAAAGCTGACCATACATATGCCACTGCAACATGGGATGGTACTGCAGCTAGTCACAGTCTTTTTGAGAAAGAAATTCATGAAGAAACAACAAAACAAAACTTGATTGAAGATCATGAAATGGAGGAAGTAACTAATGAATACTTGTTGCCCACAGTCACCGAGCAGCCAATAACAGAGGCCCCTCTTCAAGATTTTAACAGTTTCCATGTTTCAGGTCTTAACCAGAAAGATCATACATATGTGAAGCCTAAAACTTTGTTTCCTTGTCATTCTGAAGCATTTGATGATACTTCTACAAGCTCTTCGGAGTTGACAGAAAAGCATCAGTATTCTTCTGCTACATTCCCCCGGCAGAAAATGCGAGAAGATCACACATATTTTCATAGTGGTTTATCTCGTAAAGTTAGTGGCAGTGTTGGTGGTAGAGAATGGTCAAGTGCTCAGACTGTGACGAATCAACTGGCTGTTCCAGATTTGCCAATTGAGGAAACCTATAGATCTCTACATTCATTTACGCAGAGAATATCAACAAAAAAAGACCACAACTACTCATCTTCCACCTGAAAGTGAACTTGTCACGAATACATCAGACAATGAATGAAAATTATAATTGTGTGAGTACTTAGACTGAAAAAATATCATTCTGCCTATTGTTTTCTTAGCATTTGTTAATAATTCATTGTTCAATGTCTTTATAGTACTTAGGGGAAAAATCTGGCTGAATTATATTCAGCATAGTTTAATTGTTAGTACTACAACACTTATTAGTTTGATTTGCATGTTTCCTTGTCCAAAAACTAAGTATAATGATTGCAGAAAATTATAATTATAGGCCTACACAGGAGTACCCAATTTGTAAATCTTTTTCTGAGCTTGTAAATATGTTAATAAATGTATAATTAGACACTATGCCTATTTTCAACACACATTGTCCTTGGTCTTCATACTTCATCAGCACACATTGTCCTTGTTTTGTTTTGTAGTGAATGTTGTTTGTACTTTGTACACTGTCCTGTTCTCATCCATGTTCATACCTCACGCTGTGAGTTATGCCAGTCACATCATCATATACTGGTTTGTGTACATGTGTGTGGTGTGAGAACATGTATGATTGCTTCTACAAGGTTAGTGTTGGTTAGTATTTTAGTTCTATAGCCACTGTATCTTAGTTTCGTGTACTTATGTTAGTATTTATAATAGTCTGTGTGTAGATAGTATTAAACTCTTTTTAGTGTTAACAAGACATTTTTAATTTAGTCTTGTGTTTTGTTATGTTTGTGGTTGTTTGTCGCAAAGTGTGTTCACATCTCAACATGCTTACATTTAGGCTACATATTGTAGTAGTTGGCCCACATTTGCCATAGTTGTAATATCTGTTTTATGGATGCCTATACGTGAACTTCTTTTTTCCCCAGTTTTCTTTGTCAATACATCGTCTTTCAACCAAGGCTTGTGATTTCAATCTTGTATCCTAAGACATGTACTACCCCTGATGACTAGATGTAGCTAAAAATGCTGAACAAATGCCTGGAACTGATTAAAATTACTTAACTTATAATTACTTTTTTTTTTTTTTTACATATTTGGTTTTATCACTGTAAAAATGTATTTCTCAACACATTTTCCTTATGTTAAATGTTAACAAGCTCATTTTTAATAGTTTTAAAATAAGCCTGAAATCATTATGAATTTTCAGTATCATTCCTGATAATTACTCTTAATTCAATGTTATTTTTTAAATAAGTTCACACCATTAAGGGGTCATTTATTCAGACAAGTGAGAAAGAGGTGGGGGGGGGGGGGGGGGTGTCAAAATATAGTGACATCACACTATTTTCTCCTTGTTTTTTTGTAAATTGTAAAAAAAAAATTTTTTAAAAAGCTAACATTATTTATGGAGGACCCTTAAAAGCACAATTATTTGAAACGTGTTATTCTGAAACTAGTAGTATTTAAGTATACATATCTCAAGTTTTGATTAGCAGTTCAGTGTAACAAACATCTGCTGTGTTTAAATTTGAGAATATAGGCCTATGTATGGTATGATTTATTCCGAAGTTAGCTCTTAACTTTTGAAAAAGTTTAGTTACGCACATTTTTAGAAATCATTCACAATTGAATATAATTAGTTATTCTAAAAAGCAGTTTTTTGTATTTGGTAAGTTTTTGTTTACTGTGCTTTTCATTTAGATTGTACCAAATTCCCTGGAAGGAAATGTGATATATTTTATTTCTGCCTTCACTTGTGCAATGACATTTCCATATTGTCAAGTCATTCAAGCTCCCTTCTTCAAACATGTGTAAAATATTGTAAGATAATGTATAATTGTAATTACTGTAGAGTCTGAGCATTTTAAAATATCTTTCCTGATTTTGCTGTCACTATCATATCATTACATTACTGAAAGTTGATGAGTATGCAATTGTATGTGCCATTTTAGTTGCTTCAATCAATAACAAATTAAGAAATTTTTTCAAATGTAGAACACAAGTAATAATTATAAATTATAGATGCTAACATTATCGGCAGAAGAGCTTACTTTAAAAGAGACGTTTTTTACACTTTCTTTCAAAATGTTATGTTCATTTACTTAATCTTTTTTGGCTCCATTTTGTATTGTAATGTTATAGCATGTATATCTACTGATAGAACTTTTCACACCATTTCAGAAAAATAATATCTATTATAGTCAATAAGATAACCTCTCTGTTTCTGTGACCAGAAAATGTGCAGCAGTAAACTGAGAAAAAAATTTAGCATGTGAATTTATGTTTTTGAAGATAGTTAAAGATGTTAACAAAGAACTACCATATGTACATTGTAGCCAAACAAAACATTTTCCACAAAATATGACAGAATGTAAATTTATTTGTACAATGAGTTTGTAGTTGCAAATTTTTGGGAGAACTGTTCATTTCAATAGAGGTATAGTCCTAGTAGTAACTACTTCTCCAACCGTTTATTACTGAGGTAATTACTGTAATTTTTTAGAAATATTAATGGACACATTGTAATATTTTTTAAAAAAAGATTGTATTTCCCCTTAATCAACTCTGTCTTTGCCATTCAAACACCAGCCATGCTTGGTTAGGTTTTATATTGTTAACTCTTTCTTGTCAGGTTCCATGAACATCTGCATGAAAAAAATGATCCTCGCTTTCTTACTCTTTGTGTCACAGGGCATTATGAGATATGTTGGCTATAACAATAGAACAACTGCCGTAGACATTATCTGAATAATATTATATGTAAATAATTTATAATGATGGACATAATTATGTGCATCAAGTCTGTAGATGTACTATGTCAGAAAAATGTAGCTTCTTTTAATAAATTATCACTAATTTAGTGTAAGAGGTAGTATTTTTTTCTTTCAACTGACACAAAGCCCTGTAGACTTCATGGAAGATGTGCATGATATTGCATTTTATAAAACTTAAGTACACTTCTGTTATTATTTCTCTCAGAGCAATAGATTTCATTTGTATTTATTTGGTAGCTAATTATTTTGTATAAACAGGCTATGTTTTAACTAGATAATTCACTATGTTGGATTTTATTGTTTTGTGCAATTATAGTGCAATGATAAAAGTAAAAGATGATACATTTTTTTGCACTGTGGTGTGTTAGTAAATCAGCCCCTATCAGAAAGTACAGACTTGTTGCGGCAAAAAGTAAAAATAAAGTGCCCATCTACCTCCAATTAGTTTGGCATTCATTTTGTTTTCCAGTTTAGGGTGGCATTAGGGTTTTGTTAGAAAACTACTTTATTATACACTAAGTCCATTTAATGGTTCAGATATATAATAATATATTTATGCAAATAAAACTTAATGTAAGAATTGTCACTAGCATGTTTTGAAAAGTGTTTCATAAAATGTATGTAATACAAGAGGCATAAAGGAACATCTGAAAACCACAATTCTAGCAGTTTTTCTCAAACAATATTTTTTAACTGTTGTTATTAATGTTACTCTTTTTTTTTATTTCACCTTCATGTCCCATTTTAAAAATTTAATATTTTAATAGTTTGGTTCAGTTTAAATTATGGTACTAGACAATGTTTCCTGTGTTTTAAAAATTGTTGGCATATTTATAAATACAGCAAAAAGTGAATTTTTAAAAAATACAGAGCATTGAAAGCAACATTAATCCACCTTTATAAATAGCGGTAACAGTGAAAAAGCTTTCCTTTTTTATGGGATGGGGGTGGGTGGTTCTAACACACATACGCCATCTGGCTACACCACTAAATAGAAATGTTAGTTGGTGAGTAAATCTGCCCTTTGGTTCCACAAGGTTGTGTATTTATATTCTAACACCACTATAATCAGTTATTTTTTTGTTTCACTAATTGACAATGTACATTAGCATATTTAGAAAGATTGTTATTACACATACACACCCATCATGAAATGTTTGGTACAAGTAATAATTGGATATTAATTTAATTAAAAATTTCACTTAGTCGTATAATTTATAATGTGTCTTGAAAGTTATATAGAAAGTTTGTGGTCGTTTCTAACTCTCCTAGTATGAATGCGCCTAAATAGGAAAGTGCTGGTATTGATTTTGTGAATTGTGTTGGTAAAACTAACTAAATTAGGTTGTTGTGGTTTTCCTAGTGCTGTGCAACATGTCTTGGGACAGCTCTAGTCTAGATATTCTCAATTATATCTGTGATGGTAAAAGTCAAGTTCATGGCATCCAAATATAAAACCATACATTATTTACAAATAACTGCCATTATATTGTAATCACATTACATTTATCTAGATCACTGCAGCTCCAACTAGTAGTTTTTGTTTACCCTATGCATATTTTACAAAGACCATGTTTATATGCCTCTACCTCATTCTTTTTTAAAGGGAGGAGCACTCTTTCTGCATTATGTTTGCAATAGAGTTGTGCTACCTGGTTGTTAGTGTTTCTCTTATACTTTTGTCAGATTTTAATTTTTAATTTTTTTTTTTCAAAATAAAAGTCTTTGTTACTTATTATTTCACATGTAAACTACCCTCTTAACACCGCACAAAAATGATCTAAATTTTTTAAAAATATGAATCAGATATTAAAGTGAAGTAAATGTTATTGTGATTAATCAACGCTGCATTTTATATTAATTGTCAATTGTTTAAAATAGATGTAAAAGTGCTTCTTCCATGATCATTATTTTCATTTTGCTTTAGCACCTATGATAACACATTATGCTTAATGAGTTGTAAATGGTTGTGTAGTTTGTTCATTTTATTTTTAGTGTTTGACTTGGTTTAATAGTTTAAAATATTTAGGCCTAAATCACTCATGCACAGAGTTGCCAGGCATCAAAAAAATATTTTTAACAAGGTTTTTAAAAAGTTATACATACATACAGTTATATATATTTTTAAATAACTTTGGACTAAAAAATATACAGGTTACTTAGATCTAGTATTATTTTTTTTTTCAGAAGATGCCAGCAATTAGGATAAGATTTTCATTGTGGCCTTGTTTCTCATTTTCTGAAAAATTATTTTGCTTTTCCTAATTTAATATTACTCTTACGCTTTATCCTGTAGAAGATAGTGCTCTGCATTCAGTAATCTTTATTTACATTTTACATGCAACAAAACATTGTGTCGTGTTAGCAAACATTTTACTCTTCATTCTATGCCACTTGCAATTTTCCAATAAAAGACAACCATGTTCTTTGCTCTAACCAAATAATCAGAAACCTGGGGGGGGGGGGGGTCATTTCTGCCTGCACACAATTATTTTTTTTAGGTACACCACAGTGAAAGTTTTATTTTAATTTTGAAGACTATTTGAGAAAACTGATTGGTCTCATTTTTAATAAAACAAACGTGCAATCATTTTGAAATGCAGATTGCCAAACCTTCTGTTATTTCATATTCCAGACTTGATGTCCTAGGTTTTTAAAACATTTTAATTTCCCAAATTAGTACTAAGAGTGGTGATAAATCTACTAGAAAAATGCATTTCTGTACTGTTTCTTGCTTGCCATTTTGCTCAAATTAAAATGACGAATAAAGATATGAAACCACCCTATACCTGGAGGCCATTTTTTAATCTGTTTGTATTTATTCATATCTGTTTTTCATGTTGGTGTAGACCCACAAGGGGTAACTGAATTTGAAGGTTTATATTTATTTTGAAATAAATTTAGTTAAATTTGATCTCCAAGGCTGGTCATATTTTCAAAGGTCTGATTGTTTGAACAATGGGGTTAGATGGCAAATGGTTTTTACATTAATTAAATTTGTATTAAATTGGAAGTATTGAGTTTGATAAGATAGTTAATCATGAATGATACTTTTTTTCATTGTCTCAATAGATTGGGATTTAATTCATTTAAGTTTCATCCTCCACCACCCCAGTGTGTTTAAAATACACGAGAAAGTTTAGTAGCACTTTAAATGTAAAAGCAGCAAAGACTAAAGTCTATAGCTAAGGGAAATCCCATAAACATTGATACAAGGTGTGTTTTTGTAACCATCAAAAAGTAATTATTGCCCAATGCACATTTGATACCCTCAACGTGTAGATAGTTTACTAAATCAAATCATCAATATTCGTTCTTAGTTGCAGTAGGTCTGCTACAAAATGGGGAAGAAACCAAAAAGTGTGTTAATGAAGGACTTTCTGTCTCCTAGGTGTGCTGTGACCCACTGATGAGTCCACTAATCAATTCTCTGTGTCATGTGTAAGTGTAACCCTCCTGTGTCTGATTACGTTATGGATCATAGGAGGCGCTGCAGTGGGAGGTCTGACTTATGCCCTGCTGAAGAAATAGACGTTTATCCTAGATCTGGAACAGTCCATGAGATCATTGAAATGCCACGCTCAACTGCCGATTACATAATCAAAGCTTACTATACTCGTCTGACCATCTGAAGCAGAAATCTAATTTCAATCGGTTGCCTGCTTATTTTGTAGTAATGGGCAAATATCCTAAATGTAGGCCTACTCTCACTGCTCTGAGATACTTTCATTTCAATCGACAACTTATTTAATTTGAAATGTTCCTCTGTTTTCTTAGGCTAAAAAATATAGATAAAGAGCAAGTAAAATTAGCCCCTGCGGGTGTTATAATAGGTTTTTATGCGTCACTACCTGCATAGTAATTTAATAACCCTGTAGGTAGCCAATTTCAAAACTATTGATAAATATCACAGTAGTATTTATTAGTAAGATTTTATTTTGAAGAAGAATAATAGTGTATTATTAAACTTTTTTATGATGTTTATGAATATAAAAGACTTGTTAATGATTTTGGGGTCGTCCATAAATGACGTCACACTCGTAGGGGGGAAGGGGGGTCCGTAATTTTGTGACGGTGTGTGATGAGGGGGAGGGGGGGGGGGTTCAGAGGGTGCGACGTCACACTTTTTAAAAAAAGCAATGTTAGAAAACGAATTTTAGACGTTATTTCGCGCTTTAGAAAACTGTTTTAATATATTGCAAGAGGAATTTATTAAAAATACTCTATTTTGACAGAGTTCAGACAAGATTTTGGAAAAATATAGATGTTTTAAGAAAAATTCAACTGCAATTTTGAGGGGGGGGGGTTGTAGGCTGAGGTGTGACGTCATTTTAGGGGGGGGGGGTCTGGCTTTTTGTGACGATGTGTGACGGAGGGGAGGGGGAGGTAAAAATCATCCCAAAAAGCGTGACGTCATTTATGGATGACCCCTTTGTTCAAGTGAAATCGCCATAACAGTGTTTCTTCCAGACTTTTTTCTCCGGGGGGGGGGGGGGGGGGGGGGCACTTGAAATTTTCGGGGGGGGGGGGGTAGACTTTCTTCGGGGGGGGGGGGGCGGAAACTGTTAAAAGTATATTTTTTCTATATAAATTATATAAATTTCATTTCTTTTGGGGGGGGGGGGGGGCGGTAGAATTTTTTCGCCCCCCCCCCCCCGAAGAGATGCCTGGAATAAACTCTGCCTTCACCTCATTTTATATGCCGAGGTTATAGAAAAAGATCAACTCTACTTCGTCTGCCCTATCATGTCCGAAATGGTAACTTATTTTAAAAACGTCTATAATAAAGTCTCAATAATTATAACAATAATAGGGAAAAATTAAAATGTGGTTTGCTTTCTTTTATAAATTTGTAGAAAACGTTAAAAATATATTTCAAGAGACATCTTGGTAACTTGAGAATCTAGATTTGTATCTACATACTATATAACTTTAGTTTAAGGTACACACTTGGGAACTAAGGCTAGGCGGTAGGTCTATCCTTGACAATCTAGAATACTAGAACTATAATAGTCTATATAGTAAACGTGTTTAATAACATCCGTAGCGTGAACAAATACTGTTGTTTTTAAACAATCAATTGTTTGATTCAATTTTTTAAGATCTTTACCTATTTTTTTATTCAAATGTCGAATCAAACATATGATTAGCCCTTTTCAATTTATAAACATTACAAGGGGGATTCCTGGGTCACTGTAACTTTTTAATGTTTAATTTAGAATAGGTTGTGCAGCTTCATAAATATGAGGTTGCCTTACTGAACTTTAAATTGTTATTTATAAATCAATCGCTTTATTTACCTTAGATCTAATTTGAATATTTTAACTTATATATAAAGCTAATCAAGTTGATATTTTCTAAAAAAACAAATAAAGTTTATTTTTAGTCCAAAGATTTTTCTCCCCTTTAAGATGGACTCACCGAGGATACCCCTTTCCGGAAGGTGATACGCTCTTGTCGTTACTACGCAAAATGGCGGTAGATTTAGCCTCATAGCATAGAGACGGATTACAAATAAACTAAATTCTTGTTAAAGGTGGGATAAAAAATGAATTCATCATGTCGGAAATAAAAAGAGTGAACCTGACTACAGTTGAGGCATCTCAAAAGGACAAAAAAGTTGATACTAAAAAAAGAACTTACAGGTTTGAACTGTCACTTGGGGAATCCAATGCAAAAATATGTCCAGAATACTCGTTTGCGGAGTTAGCAAAAAATCTTAGGGTAAGTTAATTAAAACTTAAATAAATGTAAAAAGTTGTAAATATATCTATATTCCAATATTTAAAGTCAATCTTCATTGTTTTGGGGAACTTTTTCTTTATGTATTGTTGGGAAACCTCCACTGTCTGTCACTAATTTCACTCAATGTTTTATGTGTAATACATGCCGTTTTCTTTCTGCACCAACCCTGCCTTGTTCTGAATATCAGTACAACAGCTACCACAACCACAGCCTCAATCGTGGCATACAAAATGGCCAGACCACTACCACGCCATTTTGAACCTGACATTTATTTTACTCCCAAAGATTGCAAAGCAATTAAACATTCCCACTTATGTTATGAAACTCAGCTCTAAATGTTCTTATTAGTTTCGTTATCAAAATTCACCGTTCTACCCATACGTTTTATTTTGAATTAGAATCTGTATGTGCAACTTTTCAAATTAGCTTTTTCAATTTATTTTGAATCTTTTCTTTCCTCATTACCATCATACTTCATTCTCTTACATTTCTCCTTCTGTACGCCATTCTGTATAGGCTAGTGGAGTATAACTGCATAGTATGACACGCTGAAAGGCATTTATTCTACCTCCAAATGTTCAGCGCGTTAGAAATAAAAATAGACCTCTGGTTTGCTTGTGTTAGCGACATTACAGTGAACCGAGTTTAGCGAAGAAAATCTAGGGAGTTTCAGTAAGTTATGGTTCGAGTCCCGAAGCACGACACATTCCACCCGACCTCATCTTTTCAAAAAGTTGCTATAGCAACACTGATGAAGCACACACCAAGGACAACACACCGGTTTTTATCTGACGTGTGTGATCTTGAGGATAGTTAAGCTAGGCAACTGTTCGTTCGATCTTCGCCTGTATTTGTTAACTTTTTTATCAGTATTCCGTTAGTAATTTTTAGGGTCACAACGCATTTCTTGAAAACAATTTTATCAAAGCCAGAAATTAATGTATCTTTTTATTAGTTTAAATATTGAGGAAAATTAAGTATTCCGAAAATCATACTTGTTTATTGATTTATTGGGTTCACGCGCACAGCTGATTAAGTATTATTTTGGGAGAGGGTGTACTAAAAGTGGGTCACGCGCCGAGATTAGCCATCGCGGTGTGTGGCGTAGCAGACAGACAGTCGTGCTGGTAGCGGGTAGACTGGCGAGCGAGGAGGCGTGCGGTTCGAGGCTCCTCACGTTCGTTGCGTCACGCGCCGATGACCATGACGAGCATCGATATATCTGTGATTGATTTATCTGTTGCGGGTCATGTGCTAGAGAGGTCGTGTCGGGCTTTTTTTTCTCTGCGCCATTTTCGTTTTGTGTCAGCTGAGCGTTGGCGCTACGGCCCGCCATGTTTTCTCGCTCGCTTAGCCTCGCGCCTATCTTCGGCTTATGTAAATGTAAACGCACCGTCGTGCGGCGGGTTTGGACTTTGTGCAGTTTTATTCAGAGCGCTTTTTACTAGAATTTCTGTAGCGTTGAATTTTGTTTACTTGTACTTAAAATCGAATTCGAAACACGTACACCACCAAAGTAAACAAAAGAAAAAGTTTAAAACGAAATAGATCTAAATGTTGCAAGTTGACCTTAGATTTCTGGATATAAATGACTTTTTTGTTTTTAAAAGGCTAGAGATAAAAATTAAAGTTACTCAAGAATAAAAGATGTTACGTTTTGTTGAGATATTTAATACTGATGGGGGGGGGGGGGGGAGGGTCATGTTTCGTATTCAGTTAATACCGTAGCTATAAAAATATGATGTTAAGGCTCAAATCATAAATGTGATTTTTTTTGGGTTGGAGGGGGTGGGGGGTCGTCATGGAAAATATTGCATAACATATTTTCTGTGGATGAAATTGAAAATGAAACAACTACCATCTAGAAAAAGGGCTTAGTAGAAAAATAACAATGGGAAACGAGGTAACTCATTAATGAAGCCCCCACATATAGTTGAATTAGTTTGGTGTGTAGGACTGGAAAACAGCTTGATCAGTGTATGTGTGTATGCTACTGCTAGTTAGATTATAAACATACCCGTATATATTTGGGTCACTTACATGTTAAGGTTACAAAATATGCTACCTTTCTTATTATAACTTCTACAATAAGGATGAGATGAAGTCTTTACTGTAGAAAAATATGGTTTTTCCCTACCCTTCTTCCTCCACTTCCCCACCTTAAAAAATATGTATCAAAGGTACAAGTAATTTAATGTCACTTGCTGTCTCTATGCCTATGCTAACACAAGTCATATTCTTAATCTACTTTTGTAGCACTTCTCTTACGTCAAAAGATGACATACAATATGCTGCACTGGGGAATGTTGGTGTTTATTTCAGGATAAACCCATTGATATAGATGGGAAAAAAAGCTACACAATGTTTTAACATTTCTGTTTAATGTTCAACAAGTTCAAAGCTGGTTTTGGGGGGGGGGGGGGGGGGACAACGACACAACAAGTACTTAAAAAAAAAATTCTTTCTCCAGCATTCCAATGGAGGAGACTTGTTTGATGAATCAGATGATGTTAATGTTGCTGCTATTGCTCAGAAATTTGAAGCTAAATATGTGAGTAGCAAAAAGCAATGCTGTTTATTAATAGGAGCTTTAATCATTTATATTTTTAAGTTGAATGGGGATTATATGTATGTGTGTGTTTAACCATGTATCCTATATGTTTGTCTTTTTATGATTAAAGGGACCCAAGGCCATGCAATCTGGAAAAAAGCATCGGACCCAAGAAATGGATGATTTTTATGATTTGGGAGATGGCTATAACGAAGACGATTCATTTATTGACAACACAGAATTTGTAAGATTTTTCTAACATGGAGTTTCACTTAGTAAAATATATAAGGGGATGGCAAGGTAGGATGGTAGAGCATAAGAGCGCTAACATGAGTATTCCAGAGATAGGATCCCTGGCTAAATTTCAGCTCCAATGGGTACCTAACTCAAGTAAAGAAAACTAAGGTGGCTGGGCACACACTATCCCCCCTGTATTCTGAGGTCATTAAATCAGAACTCTACTCCACTCCACCTGCCTCGTGTGACTTATGCACGAACAGAAAAAAGATGATAAAAATATATAATCTTTGTTTCAATATGTTTTATATAAATTATATATTGTTTCATGTATATTATTGTTAGCATATCTATTTTACATTGTAATTTCTTTTCCAGTATGATGAAGTTGTCCCATACTCATTGACTACCAAACATGGAGGTTTCTACATCAACCAGGGCAAATTGGACTTCAAATCTCTCAATGATGATTCTATAGATGAATTCAGCAGCCCTAAGCCTATGAAGAAAAAGAAAAAGGTATTTGTTGTTATTTATTTTCATTTTTTAACAATTCATTCAATGTGTATTTATTTTTGCTTGATTTCTGCCTGTTTGGAATTTTTAAAAAAAGTTCTCTCACAATTCCATTTTTGGCTGCCTTGGGGTTGTTTTTTTAAAATTACTCTTTTATGTTGGTTTATTTAAGTTAATAATATATTTTTACAGTCTACAGTCTAGAATAAAAAATTATAATTATTTTATTTAAAAAATGGCACTAAAAGACTAACTATAATTTGCTTAATTAATCCCTATTTAACTTTAACGCAGAGAGTCTTGGATTCTGACAGTGGGGGTGAGGATGCTGTAGAGGAGACAGGTGAAGCATTGTCTAAGAAGTTCAAAGCAATGAAGGTAAACATCACGGGTGTCTGTGAAATGGGGGGGGGGGGGGGTGGATAGCATGGCTACTGTACTTAAAAGTGCAGGGTTAAAATACTGCAATACACACCTTTGTTAATCATAGTAATATCACATTACTACACCATGCAAATATAGTTTGTAACTAAAGCTTCTTTCAGGAAAGTATAATGCTTGCTGTTGTGAAGTAATGCATATAATTCCATTTGTTTTCTGGTGTAGGGCCTATACTTTTGTTTCTTAATTAAAACTTAAAATGGACTTGTATGGTCAGTGTTGGGATAATATTTTTTTAAACTTGAGTGGACTTAATGAAAATGACTGAAATATGTAGTCTGACAATAATCCACACCTACCAGACAAGTCATCTAATCTTCATTTAGTAATCTTTTAAATTTGGGCCTCTAGAGCAATCTAAGGCAAAGTCAAAATACATTTCTGTGAAGCATCTTACTCTCAGTTTGTCATTGCCGTCAGTGGCTAACTGATATGTTGCATTTTTGTTATTATCACCATCTACTCCCTTAAAAAAAGGAACAAAATCCTGTTCTACAGCGTAAAAAGCTTTTGGAGAGCAAAGAAGGTGAAAAGAAGAAAAAGAAGCTGCTTGCCGGCCCTGATGGAGAGATTGTGATTAAAAAGAAGAAGAAAAAGAACCTTGAAAAATTAAAACTGTAAGATTTTAATAGTTTCTATAATAATATTTTAATACAGCTTTAAAATTAGGTAAGTTAAGTATGTGTTTTTAAAGCATTTACCATAAAATGTTAATAAAAGAGACTTATTAAAAAGTCTATTCAACTATTATTGCTATTGGTGGTAGTGATTTAGAATAGGATCAAGTATTATAGCAAAAGCCAGAGATTAGGAATAGTGAAAATTGCAAAAATGCCTCCTTTTAACATTTAAAGTGAGACAGGTGAACTACTTCAATTGCCCCATGAACATTTACACTCGAATAAGAACTTTACTTTTTTTTTTTAACATTGATAGCACTTTATATCTTAATAGGTATTGTGTTTTAGATTAAACTTTTCATTACTAACAGCTGTAACTGATGATTTACCTTTTTAGTAAAAAGGTCAGTGGCAGCTCGTCCCCTCAGAAAGTTGATGAATGTCAAACACCTGTACCTGCAACACCAGCTGTTCCAGTAGTGGCCACACCCATGACACCTGTTTTGAACACCCCTGCCACCAATGGTTCCGCTGAGGTTATTAATTTGGATAATGATCCCCAGTTGAAAGATTTTAAACACTCTTTAGAAGTAAGGATGTTAATTCATGGCCTTGCGTTTTGCTAATTCCTTAATTTCTTTAAAACATGTTTATTACTCTTAATTCCGTAGCCTTATATATGATGTGATTGTATTATATGTATTGAGAAATATGATAAAGAACATTTTCAATTTTTACCTGGTTTTAAAGAACAGTAAATAATTAGCTTCATATGTCCATTTAAAAGTGGCTTTTTTATGATAGTTTTTTTTTAATATGTGAGATTTTTTTATTTCAATTTTTGATCATCATAAATGTGAAGACAAAATTTCTTGCAGGAAACATTCAATGCCATACTACAGGGTGTAAAAGAGGACTCTTCCAGCAAGTCTGGTGGAGAGGAAGTCAAGGGAGATCAGCAGTCAACAGACAAAAATACTCAGTTGCCATCACAGTTACCTCCCGATCTTGCTGAAGCTATTGAAAATATTAAAAAGGTAAGGGTTGATGCTGTGATCAAATTTTTGGGATTATGTTAACCTATTTTGTAAGTTGTTATCAATGTTTAAAACTTTTCTTCAATGCACTGTTTAATAATTGAATTGAAATAATTCAATGAACTGATTTTTTTTTTAGGCAGCAAGAGAAAGCAAGGAAGGAAAATCCAAGTTTTTCTCTACATATGTTAATAAACTTTTATTAGAGTAAGTGAAGCTTTGCATTTTTTAATATTGATTTCTTGTCTGATTTAATAACTGTGTGTCAACATATATTTTTTTTCTTTCTAACATAGTATTGAACTAGGCTCTAAAAACCTTCAGTGGGGCAGTAGAACTAGTATTTACAATCATCTCGGTGAACATCTACCATGTGGCAAGCATGCTTTGCTGCGCAGGGCTAAGAAACTCAGGGAGTCACAACAGGAAGTGCCACTCAAGATACCTTTGCAAAGACTCAGGGACGGTAATGCTAAACAAATTTTACACTTTTTCAGCTATGCTACATATATTAAAATTAAATTATAAGTTTTAAAAAAAAAGATTTTTTTAATTAAAATATTTATCAAATTATTTTATTTTTCAGAGTTATAACAAGAAAATTAATCTTTCATGTAAAATGTTCATTCTTTTTTAAATCACATTACTACTACTGCAATGTATTTTCTACTATTTATTGGATGAATTAAAAAAAAAATTTAAGTAAATACAAATACTTTTAAAAATCAATTAAATAATTACAGGATAAACATTTTCCAAATAGAACAGTTAGTAATTTGTAAATAGTATAATAAACTATGTAGTAAAATGGTGGTTGTAATTTTTTTTTTACAAATTTCCTTGCAGCCATAATGAGGGAGATGCCAGGATTAGTAGAGCAACATGAACAAGATGTTGCTAAAGCAAAGTAAGTTAGGCCTTATGTTGTTTTTATTTTTTTTTATTATTTAAGATATCCCTGTCGTTTTAACCTGTAAATTGTCAGTAAGTAAGCCATGTTTCTACACAATTTCATTTAGTCAACTGTTGTTTTAACCTGCAAGTAATTTAACATTGTTGATTAACATTAAAAACAGCAAAATCCTACTTCTTATATTGATAATTCTAGGAACACTAAAAAAAAAAATTTAAGAGCATTACATTAAGTTAGTCACTTTATTGAGCACAGGCTAGAAGCTGAGCTGAAAGATGAAAACCCTGAAACAGTCAAAGAAGAAGGATCTACTGAAAGTGATGAAGAAGAGAAGTCTGATAATAAGAAAAAACCAAGGGGCCCACGCAGGAAATTTCAATGGACTGAGGAGATCAGGTTAGATTAGCAATTTTGAACTCTTTATTTTTTTCCATTGATCTTAACTATTACTCTTTATCCTACATGGACTTATGAATTTTAAAATGTTTTTATTTTTGTCTTATGGTCAACACATTTTTTCAGAGATTTACTACTTGACATTGTGGCAACCAAAATGAAATCATATAACCTGTGCAAATCAAGAAATCAGACAGCTGAAGATTTTATCAGGGCCTATCTCGACACAGATATTAAGCCCATCTGGCCTCAGGGTTGGATGCAGACAAGGTATTGGAAAATTTTGATTTAGCATAAAAGTTCTGATTCTCACTTCAAAAGTAGATTTAATTTAAACATTTTATTTCTATTTAGAAGTTGCTTTGAAGCATCAAGCTATTTTCAGCTTTAGTTTTTAAAAAAATTAAGGGATCTAGTGTATCAATATTGGGATGTTTTTGTACTCCAATGTACATGGATTTATGGTTAACACTTTTCTGTTAAATCTAACTTAAAAGTATTTATTTTATCTAAGAAAAAAGCAAACTAATATGCTTGGTGCAACTCTATAAAATAACCCTGGGAATACTGGTCCCATACCAGAACAGTTTTCACCATTTAAAATCAGTCTTAAAATTGCTTTAAAACTGACTGAGAAATTCAAAATTGTTAATAGGTACAAAATAACAAACTGTCCCAGAAAGTTATGTGTGTATATATATGTGTATTATATACTTCTAGGATGTGTGTGTGTGTATATATATGATTATTATATACTTCTACAATGTGTGTGTGTATATATATGATTATTATATACTTCTAGGGTGTGTGTGTATATATGTGATTATTATATACTTCTAGGGTGTGTGTGTATATATATGATTATTATATACCTCTAGGGTGTGTGTACATATATGATTATTATATACTTCTAGGATGTGTGTATATATATGATTATTATATACTTCCAGAATGTTATTCAAAGAGAGTAGAGCTGCACATGAAGACATGACCAAAGTATTAAATAAAGAGTAAGTTCAAATTGTGACTATCCTTTTTACTGTTTACTTTGTTTTTTATCTTTTGAAGTAGAGAAATTAATTACATAATTATAAATAGTTGTATTATTTTATCACTATCTCGGAACATTTGAGCAATTATTTCAACTATAACTATTCATACTTTTTCTTTATTTTCCTCGATACATTTTTTAAACATAATCATGTCATTATTATTTTCTTTATTAGACCCAAACAAAAGAAAAATGTTTCCCTGGTCAAAGCATCTTCTCCAACTCCTGAGCAGTCAAACCAAGACACTGTCCGAGCCCATGTATCTAAAACAGAGGATGTTATAGAAATAACAGATGAAAAGACAGACACTGTTGTGGTCAATTTGCCTAACGTGGATGTCAAACCTTTGTCAACAGTTTCCACTTATAATTCATCACCCAAAATATCACAACCCTCTAATGCTGACACATCTGCAGGTAGTAGAATAAATAAGCAAGCGAACACACCCTGGACAGCGCTAGCTACACCAACTTCAACGTCCATGTCACAAAAACCAAACGACAACTTGAATAATTCGTCATCAAAGTGGAGTCAAAAAGCCGAGTCGGCTGTTCCTTCAGTGACACCAACGTCACCATCTGTCCAGAAAACACCAGTCATCTCCAGGTCATCTCACCAAGGGCTGTCACCACCAGTGTCCAGCTCAACACCAGGGGGTGCAGATAATAGCCCTGTCAGTTTTAGTATTTAATCCTATCTACATAATCCAGCTCGATATTACTTGTCATATTTTTAAATTATAGAGCTTTTTTTTTTAAATGTTGTTAGAAGTCAATTCTTTTATTGAATTCAGTTAAATGTTCTTAAAACAAAAATTAAATTTTTTATTCAAAATAAAATTCTTAAAATTTTATTCGCATTTTATTAGTCTTTTAGGAACTAGCTTTCAGGAACTAGCTTTTTTAAAAGGTATTTCTTTCTAATTTGATAATGTTTAATGTTTATCTCTATTCCTAATTTCAGACCTCAGCCAACAGTACTCGTACATTTATGACAGCATTTGAAAGCTTTGCCGGTGCTTACTCCAGGTCTGACACCACTGCATCCATCTCCTCGCCACAGACACCCAAGCAAAGCATTCTGGGCCAGCAGCCAGCTAAAGCTGTGCCCCTGCAGCCAGCCTTGACATTTGAGCAGCAGCAGCTTGCCAGCCCACAGCAAAAATCATCTCAGGAACAGAAAGTTGTGAATGCTCAACAGCAGAAGGCAGCAGCCAGATCATCCTCATCCGTGGTTGTGAACAAGGACATTCCTAATGCTTCGTGGAGCAATGTTAACTCTGTTGTCCCTCAGGGAAAAACATCTAGTCCTGCAGGATTAATAGGTAGAGTTCCAGTGATATCCCCTAGCACTGTAGGTGGATCTAGCGACAAAAGTAGACAGTTGCTGGTGCACCAGGAGAAACAAACCAAATTTATCAACACCGTTTGCGCTAAATTAGACCAGTCAACTAGCTCAAATAAAAAGCGCGCCCAAGTCTCAAACATGGGGTCATCGTACCAGACGTCACCTCAACAGAAACAAAGTTCAATGTCCTACCCGTATCCTATGTCTTCCAAACAGGACATGCAGCAAAGAAGTACTGTCCCCAGCAGTAACGGCCCTTCGCCGGCCCACAAGTGGTCAGGCTCAACTAGCCAACAAATTCAGTCTTGTACTGTTATAGGAACTTCCAGCAGCATTCATGGCCCTAACATGCCATTTATGCGGGCATTAGGACCTGGTACACCTAATGTACAACCTAATGCCAAAAGCAAACAAACTTACGGAACAATAAGGCAGCCGTCCCCTCCACAAAAAGCACAGTCAACGTTACCTAGACCGTCAGCTCATAATGAAACAGGTTTGTTAAACAGTCCTATGGTGTCAGTTTCTAGAGGTAGCACCCCATCTCCACAGAGGTCTCCAATATCCCCAGAGCAACCTTCGTTATCACTTTACGAGCAGATACAGTCACAAATTCGTAATCAAGAAGCCATGGAGGGCCAGGCATTAAAGAATTTGGCAATGGCGCTTAGCTATACCAATTCTTCAAACCCAGGTTTTCAAGGTGGGTCATTTTTATTTTATTTTTTTAACCCAAGTCTTATTCCTGGACCCTCCCAAATTATTTATCCAATTTCTACCTGTATATTCAAAGCTTCTATTCTTTTTGTAAACATGTGATATAAAACAAATTCTTGCACAAGGAGAGGTGTTTCTTTCAGGGTTAGATTAAGTACAAGTGGAACAAAAATTCTCAAAAGTTATGTCTGTGTAAGTAATAGTCAAGCACTGTGGTCAGCTCCTGTACTGTTGTAGCTTTGTATTGGTGTTAAGTTTTTGTTTTTTAAAATGTTTTATCATTGTTTTTTTTTTAATGTTATTTGTTGTTTTTTTACAAAAGTTAGCAAAAGCATGCTCAGTTTTGGTGTACTAGACAAAATTTCATGGTCTCTGATTTACTTCTGCAATCCATCATCATTTTTTTTTTTACCGAAGATTTTACTATGACTTTGTTGATGTGAATTGATTGATTGATAAACCGTTAAAATTGTAATTAGCTTGCTCTGTGCTCTAACACACCTCATCATCAGACCCTGCACCTCCAGTACTGAATGAAAGGGGGACATCTTGAAAACTGTGGCACTCTCATTACAATCTCATATTGGGTTGTCACTCATTGTACCCACCACCATCATCTGCCTGGCCATGGGGGGAGTCATTACTGGCACCTAAATTCTGAAATCTCTGCTTGCAGGAGTGAAGCCTGCCCAGATCAGGGGGATGCACTCTGAAGTGAGTGATAGCCAAAGTACCAGTGCAGTGGTCACTTCCAAAAGTATCATCCCCTCTCCGATACAAGCACTCCCTGTCCAGTCGTGTGAGAAACTTGACAGACCTGTTCAACCAAAACAGCATAGCGTGATACTGGGTAGGGATTGTGATAGCTTTGGTGTCCAGTACTCGGCCAGAGAGTGGGGCGGCAAGTCACCTGGTGATAAAAGCCTGTCCAAAAAGGAATTTGAAGTAACAGAAACCGTAGGCGTTTACACTGAAACAACAGCGGCTGACTCAAAACATGTTACAGGTGGTAATGAGTTCTCAACATACATGATCCAAAGCAAGAAGATGGAACCTCAGCAACGGTCAGATGTAACTGCAGAATATTACAGAGAATCTCTCATTTTTAAAAAACCATTTCAGACTTTTAAATCGCCAGGCAGCTATGCACCACAAACACGGGCGACTGCTCCTATAAAAATAAATTGTGTGGATAAACCGTCTGGGAAAGCTATTTACAAACAAAATGTCTCTCAAGGGCAGTCAGTTCATAGAACAGCAGCCAACATGGTGCTAGATTCAAAATGTAATGACATAATGGCCAAGTTTACTGCTGACCCTAAGGTCACCACCGCAACAAGAGATCACCAGCATATTGCCAGCCCAGCAGGGGATTGCTTGTTTCCAGTCGATCAAATGCTAAACCATTCGTTGCCACAGTACCCTTATTCTCTCAAGTATGCCGAGCATTCAACAGACAAGTCTCTGGAAACTCAAACATTTCCTGGACAAGTTTCTGTTCAAAATATGTTGAACTCAGCTCCACCTTCAGTGTCACTTGGTGAGATCAAGCTATTGATGATGTAGTACATCTGTAATATAAATCATTCATTGTGGCCCACTGGTTCTATCTATATAAGAAAGCTGACTGTGAAATGACAAAAAAAAAAATAACATATTCTTCAACTGAAGACATTGCAGAAATAGGATTTTACCAATTTTTATAAAATTCAAGAAAACCATGAAATTAGAAAAATTAAAAAAAAAAAAAAAATAGATAGTTTGTTAAAAATGGGATAAGAAACATCTATTTTCATACATTGTATGAAAAAGTTATATAATGTCAAAGTAAATATTTATTTGAGTTCTTTAAGATAAACACTGCTGGTGTTAATGTAATATATGTTATATTTAAATTGTACATTCATTTATTGCTATAAATGTAAATTATTTTCATAACTGCCATTTGTGGTGTACTCAGTATGAATCTTGTAGGAAACAAAGTAAATACAACAAAAGATTTTCCATTCCTTATAATACAATTTATTTTGAAAAAACACAAATTGGCTGCTTATTTAAAAAACAAGAAAAGACTAAGTAAAAATGTAATTAGCAATAAAAAAAACTACTATATCTTTATTTGAAAAGTGTAAAAGCCCTGGGGAACTGACTTAGTGTTCACCAAAGTTTTGGAGGGGAAAAAAATGATTTATTTTGTTATTTTTTGTTAACATTTTCCTGTTCAGCCAACATAAAAAATATTTTCATGCAAATAAATCAATGAAATGTCTAACTGGTATTCAAGGCTGAAAGTAAAGGAATAATTTACCCTGAATGTTTAATGCATGGTTGTGATATTAAACATAGTATACAACCTGGTTTTTCTCATATTAAAATCTTTTCTCACAGAATTTTGTTGCTTATCCCTTTTGTTTTATTTATCATTAAACTAATCTGTTCAAGGGGGAAGCATGTGTAATACTAATAATGAATGGAATTTAAAATTTCTTTTTTTAAACAAACAGCATTTAGTGAAATAAAAAATGTGTCGTAAGATGTTAAACCCTTTTGTTTTCTCTTTTATAGTTCTTTTATTTGTTCAGACATCGAATGAAGCAATGTTTCAGTTTATAACATTACTTCACTCATGGTGTATTACCTTTTATTTTATTCTTTGGCATGCTCTTAGTAAACTTGAAAAACTTTCGTTTATTTTTATGCTGGTAAACTTTTTACTAATTTCATTCACAGTTCTTTCTGAAAACATATTCAAACTAAAATGTTTGAGTTTAACATTTTAAAAGTTCTGTTGAAATTTAAGTTGATTTATTCATAAAATTCAAAATAATAAAATTAAGGCTAAAATTATTTTGCAAGCATGATTTTTCTTTTTTCTTGCTTTGCCTGAACCCCTCAGTACTTAGTTGTTGTTTTTTTTTTAAATACATTCTCACCAGAGTATTCTAAATATTTTTATAGTTATGATTTATTTTAATAACTTTTAATAAAGGAATTTTAATTTGCTAACAATTCTATTATTATCTTAACAAACAGCTTCATTTTTTACATCTTTATTTCTTTCTTTTTGCTGTTTCCAGAACTTTTTTAATTAATTCAAAGATTTAATGGCATATTTTCACTTAACACTTTTTAAATTATCTTTTTTTCCTTTCAGGCAAAAAGAATATGGATGCTACCAAGCAGTTAGGTAAGTTTCACATTAACTAAACTATTTTGTCTTTTAAGGTAAGTTTCACATTAACTAAACAATTTTGTTTTTTAAAATCTTTATTATGGGGGCATAATGGTTGAATGGTAGAGCGTTCAGCTCCCCATCCAGACTGTCTGAAGCCCCTAAGTCCACCAGACTTGCACTGGGAAAAGTAAAATCAGCTGGGCATAGTGCTGACCACACCATTCCTTCATAAATCAAGGTCTAGAAACAAATGAACTCTTCTTCATCTGCCTTATGAATATTTAGTCTGAAGAGGGAGCTTTTTTTAAAAAATTCTTTTAATAATCTTGATTATAATCTGTGATTTCATTCTCTCAAAACCTGGACCACTAATATTTACTGTAAGAATATTTAAAATTCTACTTGTGTTGAGCATTGTAGTTAAACTTTTCTCTTTTACTCTACAGGTAAATGAGCTTCAGCTAGAATGCTACACTATTGCCAATATCCCAAAGTATCTTTCATCGTTGATTCAAGTTTTAATGTTGCACTTAGTCAATTACATGTTATTTTTCAAGTGAATTTGTGTATAGTGGTTGCTTAGTTAATTTCTTCATGTCAAGAATGTATGATAGTTTTGTCAATATATTGACACGTTTAAAATTAATCAATAGGACTTGGCATCTTTTTTTTCTGGGAAGTGGATTTTTGAGTTTATTTAACTGATACACAAAGGACTATACTGTGTATTTTTGTTTGTTTTCTGTATTTAAGTTTGTTAACCACTGCCTCGCTTGTAGTTTGTTGATGTTTTATTATTTAAGTACTTTTTAATTAGTTTTACTTGTAGAAATTTTTGTTATGAATTTGAGGAAGTTAGTTTAATTTTTACTGATCTAAGTTTTTTTTTTAATGTGATCTTTAAAAAGTAGCCAGAAAGCTAGTCATCATGTTAATCGTTTTATGTTTCAAGTATAAGTGATCAAAAGTTATGACCTTAAAAACATTTTACTTATAAAACCTGTTAAAAAAGTTTTTTGAAAGCTTTTAATTTACAAGTATTTAAATCTTACACTAGATATCACTTTTAAAAACAACTTTATCCTTAATTGTACATGCTGTATTTTGGACCTTTGTATAAACAAGCTCCACCTTAGCAAATCAATACCCAATTAATGTTTTTGTTCGTTTAATTTAGATATATTTTCTTTAGGAAATTTCTAAGGTACGATTCAGTCTTTACACAAACTTTATTAATTATAGCATATTTTGTGGAATTTGATAGTTAAAAAGCCTGATTTATTATTTCTTCGAATATTAGCTATAATTACCTGAATGTTATTAGTTTGTTTTTTTTAAACTAGAAAGTTAATATACAAATTTTGTGTATCTTATACATCTGGGTTCTATATAATTCTACAATTCAAATTCTATAATTCCACTTCTTTTAACAAATAGTTTGTTTATTATATATAATACTGGAATTATTGAGTAGATCTAACATGTATGGTGTCCATTAAGTCTAATTATAATTTCAAAAATCGATTACAAGGACAAATGAAAAGGCATAGTTAGAGAATAAGCTGTATATATTTGTTTTTCCCCTCATTTAATGTACCTCTATGTGGACACCTAGTCTGATTTAGATGAGCGCTTTACATTACCTATATATAATAGTGGCCTACACAGTTTGTAACTAATGCAACACACACCACACCTCCCCAAAGAAAGTAGTCTGAAGTTATAAAAATCTAAGCATCCAGTACTTGAATTATCATTGAACTGTACCACATCTTCATCATGACATAAATCTATGGTCAAATTTAACTTAACAATTTTTAATTGCTGCTTTGTTTTTTTGTTTACAATTACTAGATAAACTACACAATAATTCACTTTAAGATAATACAATAACTATATTTTTTTTTAAATCACTGCCATATTTATTTAACCTAAATGTCTCAGATTTTTTTTTGTTCCCTTAATATTTTCCGTAAAACTTTAAAGTTACATTCTAGTTTGATAGAAAGGTAATCTGACCTCACTTTTATATTGTATGCATTATAAGTCCATTAAAAAATCTTGTTATTGCATGCATATGTCACATGAGGATAAAGGGATGTTTAATAGCTTTAAATCTGATTCATTACTGTTATGTGTGTCCATTTAGTTTGATTAAACAAAGTTTGCTATAGAAACGATCTTTGAAAAATGTGACATGATTTAATTTGTTATGTTAGATACTTGAATTTGGTTCGCTGGTGTGAATGTAAAAAAAATACATATAGTAATTCTTTAAAATGGGACGATATGGTTGAATGGTAGAGCGTATAGTGACAAACCCTCAAGTTCAAATTCAGATTCCAGTCCATATTAAAAAACTATTTTAATTTCTATCTAGTTTTGCTTAAATAATGGGAGAGGATTATGATATACTAAAGATAATTATATTGTAGAATAAGTATGAATTAAAATAATCCTGGTATATATAATTATTTAATTTTTTTAAAAATCATGTATATTTTTTAATTGCAGACAATTATTGGCACTTTTGTTTTAGGCTTGTTAGGTTGAACTTAAATGTAAAATGTTTTTTTTAAAAAAAACTTCACGTTTTACATTTCTGTTCTTACCTCTGGAAGCTAGCAATATTTTGTACCTGCTTATTTCAAGAACCTAATCTATGCATTACATATGTTAAAAATTGCTTCCTCAACTGTTGCTCTTTTCTTATTATTTATAAATGTCAACACCTTGTGACTTTTTTTTTTCTAGTTTAAATAATTTGTATTTTAAATTTAAAAAATTATTTTTAAAATTTGTCTACATATATTTGTAACAAGTTTCTTGTATACTGTTTAAAAAAAAAGCCATAATTATCAGGAAGTGATCTGTCTGTGTCTAATGTACAGCATATATTTTTTTCTGTTCAAATTACTTGTTAAAGTGGATGAATTATCAGCATACAAAAAGTAATTAAAAGTTCAATGTATTAAAACATGCCCTCCGCATCCTTCTTTGTTTACCCACATTGTTTTTTTTTAAATTTTATTTGCTGCATTAAACTATATTAATTTAGATTTAAATTTAAAAAGCCTGAGACAGCAAGTTGGACTTAATCTAAAAGGCGTGTGCATGTTGGTTCGCCAGTTGTCGCATGGGCGGATTCACTTAGCCAATGTCTGGTTGGTTATAATCTACAGCATATAACACTTAGCCAGCAGGGATACAGATACTATGGAAGTTAACATGCATTTGATGTATTGGGAAAGAAAAAAAATGAACATAAAGAATTGATCACACCAGAGACATGGGCCAAGGTTGAAAGATAGGAGAGAGATAAAACAGAAGATGACCCAATCAATGCCAAGACGGTGAAGAGAAAATAAACATTAGAACACAATATTGAGTTCTTTCAGGCAAGAACGTCTACCATCTTTCCCCACCCCCGAAAGAGATAAAATTTATATAGAAAAAATATAGTTACCAGTGTCCACCCCCTCCTCTGTAAAAATTAGTCGCCGCCGCCCCCCCCCCTCTCCCCTTCTGCGGAGGCAGAAACAGCAGCAGGGCAAGAAGGAAACATGAAGAGACCCTGAACCGTCTCAGGCTTGAGTATTAACCCCAACAAACCGGTGGAGGATAAAGAAAAAAGATCCTAACAAGAGACACAGAACAGAAAGACCGATGGGGAGATACTAAACCAACCTCTCTCATTAACCATTCCCGATTTACCACCTGCAAATCGCTTATCAAATTTAAGTATAAGTGTCCCCCCCCCCCCCCCACCCCTCTAGAAATAGTAAGGGAAATTTAAGAGTATGAAAATTGGCAAAGTGGCCGGCCGGGGGCGGCATTCCACTAGAGGCGCCCAGCTATAGCCGCAGATATATTACAACACTTTCTAAACCAGCTTTGGGTGGATGAGATAATCTAAAACTGTCAAAGAAAGGAGACCTGTCACAACGAAACAACTGGAGATAAATGATGCTTCTTAAAATCCCGTGTATGGTGCTGACTATAATTATCCTAGATAGACTTAGAGACGCCTAAGACAAAAAACGTAGACATGAACAGGCTGGTTTTTTTTACTAGACAGATCATGCACTGACCACATTGCTACGCTGCGCATCATTATTGAACAGTCACTTAAGTGGCAATCCCCAATACATATGACTCGGTGTAGACTTCGAAAATGCGCTTTGACAGTGTGAATAGAGATTGTATCTGGAAGCTTATGTGCCAAAGTGGTGTACAGAGTTTCTTCGAGGCACCTCTTCGGGGGGGGGGGGCAGAGCCCCCTCGAAGAAAGTCTACCGCCCCCCCCCCCCCGAACGAGATGGATTTTACATAGTAAACATACACTTTTACTAGTGTGTCCCGTCCCCCCCCCCCCCCAGATGTTGACCCCCCCCCCCCCCCCCCCCCGAAAATATCAAGTGCCCCCCCACCCCACCCACCCCCCTCCCCCCCGAGAAAAAAGTCTGGAAGAAACACTGGTGGTGTACCCCAAAAATGTATCTATCACACAGAAATTATATGAAGGTTCTGACTGTCAGGTAATCAACAGAGGAAAACTAACAAACCCCTTCACGGTGAAGACAGGAGTGAAACAGTGATGTATGCTTTCGCTAATGATATTTTTTTATGGTAATCGACGGACTTATGCAGAAGACTACAGACAACGTCACAGGAATCATATGGAATTTCACCGAAAGGCTGGAAGATCTCGATTTAGCCGATGGCATCTACCTACTATCTCACACACAACAAGCCTAAATCTAACTGAATCGGTTATCTGAAGAAGCCTCCAAAGTAGGACTTAAAAAATTGATAGAAATAAAACAGTAACAATCAGGAGGACCTGTCCATCAGTGTTTCTTCCAGACTTTTTTCTCCGGGGGGGGGGGGGGGGGCACTTGAAATTTTCGGGGGGGGGGAGGGGGCGGTAGACTTTTTTTCGGGGGGGGGGGGGGCGGACACTGTTAAAAGTATATATTTTCTATATAAATTATATAAATTTCAATTTGTTCGGGGGAAGGGGCGGTAGAATTTTTTCAGGGGAGCTTCGCCCCCCCCCCCCCCCCCCGAAGAGATGCCTGGAAGAAACTCTGCTGTCCATACAGCTTAAAGGAGAAGACATACGCGAAACAAGTTCATATATCCATTCTTGGAGCAGATGAGGACATAAAAAGCTATATAAATAAGGCCAGATGCTGATATGTCTTCAACTCACTAAGCTCAATATGGAGTTGCATAGCCTTGTCACTCCAGAGCAAAATAAAAATCTTCAACACAAATGTTTAGTCAGTATGGTTTATGGCTCGGAGACCTGGAGGGTTACCAAAACAAAATACAGACAGGCTAGAGTCGTTCAAACAAATGTTTACAACAGATCCTCAAGATAAAATGGCCAGGTATGTCTGTGGCAAAACACCAAAACAACAGCCAATAGACAGGGACGTTAGAGCCCGCAAATGAACATAGGCTGAGAAAGGAAGAGGATAACATCGCGAGGTAAGCATTAGACTGGAATCCCCAGGGGAAAGTAGGCCGGCTAAGGAAATCCTGTAGGACAGGAGAAGATTAGGCAAGGGCTGCCGGGCTTACGTGCAGAGTTTCTTCTAGGCATCTCTTCGCCCCCCCCCCCCCCCCCGAAGAAAGTCTACCGCCCCCCCCCCCCCGAACGAAATGGAATTTATATAGATAACATATATTTTTACCAGTGTTCGCCCCCCCCCCCCGGAAAATGTTGACCGCCCCCCCCCCCCCTCCCGAAAATATCAGTGCCCCCCCCCCCCCCGGAGAAAAAAGTCTGGAAGAAACACTGCTTACCTGGGCGCAAATAAAGAGAGCCGCTCAAAACCGAATCCGATGGAAAGCGTGTGGGTTGTAGCCATTTACTCCTCGTGGACCACAAAAGAAAACTCAAGTAATAGGCCACACTATTAGTATTTAACATCAGAAGCAAAGACAGGGAAGGGCGGGAGTGGCGGCCACCCTGAGCGCCCACTGTAGAGGGGGGGGGGGCACCAAACGAAGTAGAAAATAACATGCTTTTTCAAAACTACATTACTGAACTCGTACACAATCAACGTTCTTCTTGCCTTGGCAGACTTATTTAATTGTTCTGTACATCCCTTGTGTGATTACCAAAATAAAAACTGTGAAGAGACTATGTGAAATGTGTTTGTGTGAGAGGCGCCGGTCTATATCGGCCAATGCGCGAACTGGCAGACCGCTCTTTCAAAACGTTTAATAAGTAAGGACAGTGTTTCTTCCAGGCATCTCCCCCCCCGCCTCGAAGAAAGTCTACCACCCCTTCCCGAACGAAATTTGTATAGAAAATATATACTTTTAACAGTGTCCGCCCCCCCCCCCTGCGAAAATTTCAAGCAGTGTTTCTTCCTTCCAGACTTTTTTCTCCGTGGGGGGGGGGGGGCTATATATTTTCGGAGGGGGAGGGGGCGAACACTGGTAAAAGTATGTTTCCTATATAAATTCCATCTCTTTCGGGGGGGGGGGGGGGGGGGGGGGGGGGCTGTAGACTTTCTCCGGGGGGGGGGGGGCTCCGCGAAGAGATGACTGGAAGAAACTCTGATTTCAAGTGACCCCTCACCCCCATAGAAGAAACACTTAGTAAGGGGCTGGGATCCATTCCACTCTCCCCTCCTCCCGCCCCCCCCCCCCCCCCTTCCCCCGCGATCACCGGTCTATATATCCTGTTTACTGACTTTACACAATCTCGACAAACGTATTTTTCGCACCCGAACATTCATTCTAGAAGTCTAGATCTAGATTACATTCTAGATCTGTATGGCAATGTTAAATTAAAACAAAAAATTTCCTCAAAGTTATAGATCTAGCAGCTAGGGTCGTCTAGATCTAGCTTTCCCAGTAACATTTTAAACTGTTATTGCATTAAACCTTGTGGTGCAGGAGTTGTGTAGTCTGCATTTGTTGATCTGGTGCAAAAAAACAAAACAAAAGTAAGTTGAAAGAAGTGGTGCTATGCCAGCTAGTATAATGTTTACGTATGATCTAGATCTAGATCTAGATCTAGTAATAAAATCCTTCTCATCTAGAATGCTACAACTTGTTACTAAAGTACTACTAGAGTCTAGATCTACTAGATCTAGATCTAGATCTAGAGTCTAGAGTAGATCTACTACTGAGGCACAAGTGAACACACACAAACTTGTGACACAAGTGCTCTGACTCTAGTGAGTCTAGTCTAGTCTAGCTACTACACTAGACTAGAAGAGGAATTATAATTCTGGTACTTAGTAGATCTACTTAGATCTAGGGCCCTATTATTTCTTATTAAACTTATTTCTGATTAGTTTAGCCAACTGACTCTTCATCCCCAGTTCAGTACACTGAGTACACTAAGTCTAAGTACACCACTTTGTACTTGTTGTCTTGTAGGCCCCAATTTCAATTAGTTTCTCAGATCTCACACATTTAAAGTTAAATTCTCGGTAATTAATACATGTAACAAAATTAATGAATTATGCATAAACTACACCAATCAAGCATTCAACTTAGCACATGGACAAGTAATAGTAGAATCTATGAACAATATGATGTAATTTATATTTAATATATTAGGATTGCATCACTAACTATAAGCTGTAACTGTAGATTCTTAGATGATGCAGTTCTTGGTTAACATAATGGGTTAGGCCTAATTATTATAATTATAAATTAATCAGCCCTATTCGGTCTGACTAGTTTTTATTGATGTTTTTTTATCAAAAAAGCCACAAGCAGGACTGTACAGTATTGTACAATAATTTGGACTATACTTTAAGTATAGTTCCACCCATATGCCACACTTCTATTATTCCATGGCTTTATTCTGGGTGCAAAAGCAATAATTTGGATCAGAACCTAAAATATAGCAATGATTTGTGCTCGGCAACTCAGAAGAAGCACACTATAGGGCAGTATAGTTGAGTATAGGGGTTATTCATAAATGACATCTTACTCGTAGGGGGGAGGGGGGTCTGTAATTTTGTGATGGTGTGTGATGAGGTGAGGGGTTCAGATGGTGTGACGTCACATTTTTGCATTATAAAAAAGCAATGTTAGAAAACAAATCTTAGCCGTTGTTTCACTTTTTGGAAACTGTTTTAATAAATTGTAATAGGAATTGATTAAAATAATCTATGTTGACATAGATCTGAAGTGTGATGTCATTTTAGGTGGGGGGAGGGGTCTGGCTTTTGTGACGGGGGGAGGGTGAAGAAGAATCGTAAAAAAAGCGTGATGTCATTTATGGATTTTACACACACACACACACACACCCCCCCCCATAGTTGCAAAATAGCACAATATGTGGGACAATATATTGGCAACCCAATAGTCTTGAGTTCAAATCTGGGTTCAAGTCAGTAGAGCTTCCCTGAGTCCACCCATCTCAGATTGGGTAACTAACTCACATTAGGGAAAGTAAAGGCAGCCGGGCATAGTGCTGACCACATGATCCCTTCATATGCCGAGGTCAAGAAACATTGAACTCTACTTTATCTGCTCAAATGGACCGCTAGTTCTAAAGAGGAATCTGAACTTTTCTTTTTCTTTTTAAATAGCACAATATATCTGCAACATATATATATCTATAAGGAGGTCAAGTTTTTTATATATGTCTCAAATATAAATGTCGCTAAAATTACCAAGGGTAAAACTGGTATACTATCACCTAGGATAAAAGGGTGAAACATTATCAGTACGCCTATTAGGCTACTTATTTAAAAGTTCATGCTACTTATTATCTTCAGATTTAACATCAAGCATTGTCCTGAAAGAAATCAGTGTCACACGGTCTAATTGATTAGCCAAGATGGCTAGCAATGAAATTGACACAGAAATCCATAAAAGTGGAGATGCTACACTAGATAAAGAGATTGCCTTGTGGATAAAGTGGGACAAGGTTTGTGGCAGAAAAGATTTTATTGTTTAAAACAGTATTTAGTATATGATTATATTACCTTTAGGGGGTCGTGTGGTCTAGCAGTAAAGTGCTAGACTGCTAACCCAAAAGTCTTGAGTTTGAAGCTGGGTTCAACTAGTTTAAGTCAGTAGAACATCCCTGAGTCCACTCAGCTCTGATGGGTACCTAACTTAAGTTAGGGAAAGTAAAGGCAGCTGTGCATAGTGCTGACCACACTATCGTTTATATGCTGAGGTCACAGAAATAGGTGAACTCTTCTTCACTTCCCCCATGGACCATTAGGTTCGTAAAGGGAACTTTATATTACTATGGTTGTATAATACAGAATTTAGGTGAAGAACTTAAAGTATTCATATCACACTTTGTTATACCTCTGAAAAGCTTATCTATTCTTTTTGTCACTGCTTATTTAATTTAAAAAACTCAGTACCAAATTTTGCTCAGTCACAATGCTCACAAGAGAGACCACTTCAGTTTATAAGCTAACAATTATTGTAGCCAAAATAGCCAATTGTGTCTGCTTTTTGTTGATTGAAAAAGTAAAAACAAAGACACAATGTCTTTTCAGTACTCTGTAAAATTAAAGGCACTGCTTTGAATGAATATATTTCCTTATTAAATTTGTTTCACTATCACCATTTCTTAATTTTTAGCACTGAATCTAACATCAAAGATTTACTCACGAAAATTAAAAGATAAAACAATTAAAACATGTAAATTCACTTTTAGCCCACCTGTTATTTGATTATTTTTCTATTTATTAATAATTGTTTCACCTTTTAAAAAAATTAAGAATGAAAAATCAAGGCTGCAAATTAAAGAACTGGCAGTTAAACAGAAATATGAAGAACTTAAAAAACTGCTTCTCACAAGGATGGAGTTTGGTACTGCAGGTAGCTACTACTTTTTGAAGTTGCTGTCACATGACTTTAAAATAGTGGCAAAAATTATTCATTACTTAATATTTCATTTATCAAATTTAAAAAGATATCTGTTGATTTTAGGCTTGCGAACACGAATGGGTCCTGGCAATTCCCAGATGAATGATTTGACAATAATCCAAACAACGCAGGTTAAACATAATAATTTTACTTTTTTATTATTTAGCAAAAGAGTAAATATTTACATTTCAAATTAAGAATTTCAATTTGTAAATAGTAGATAAATGTATATTTATGTTTAACCTTGTATTTTTAAAAAACTTTTTTAATAGGGCCTGCTCAAATATTTGAAAGCCACTAATACCCTTTTAGAAGATATGGGTATTATTGTAGGTTATGATGGGCGTCACAACAGTGAACAGTAAGTTAAAAATATTGCACATTTTTGTGCAGTTTTTTAAACAGACTTTTATTTGGATTAGCTATTACATTTCCTTGTCGTTTAGAATAAGTAGTTATTTTTATGTTTATCATGTAGCGACTTCCAACAAATTTATAATAAACAAATTTTACACAAGGATTTGGCATAATTCATTTGCATGTATTATTTTAGCTGGTCAAAACTAGTGGCGACAATCTTTGTCAATGCTGACATTAAAGTTTATCTGTTTTCAAAGATGTGCCCCACACCCTACGTGGTAAGTAGCTGGTGGTAAGATTTAAATGTTACTTATTACCCTATAAATAGTCTAGTTTGACATCTGATTTCAAATTATCTGGCTCTACTGTAATAATTATTGATACAGACCAATGAAAAATAAAACATGCTATCTCTAATCTAAGAAACAATGTTGAAGCTCCAGGATAATTAATTTTTTTCTTCTAAATTCCAAAATTTGTTATCATTTCTAATATTATTTTCACTGAAAAATACAAACTATGTTACACAGGCATACGGTGTTCGTAAGTGTAAGGCAGCTTGTGGAATTATGATAACAGCCAGCCACAATCCTAAAGAAGACAATGGATATAAGGTAACATAGGGTGACTGTTAACCAGTTCTTTAGAGGCCTGTCATTGAATCACCCAGAAAAACTAAGTAGCTCTTGCAAATTATGTTTACTTTAGAAAGACTTTGGTTGCTGATCTTTAGATCATTTCAAGTGATTAAAAGGCTTCTTATTGAATCACCCAGAAAAGCTAGTAACTCTTGGATATTGTGTTTACTAAATTACTTTAGATAGACTTAGGTAGCTGATCATCAGCTATTAAAAGCTATTTTCAGTTATTAAAAGACTTGTTTTTTTCCCTACATTTTTTAATTAACTCTGTTATTAAGTAAAGTAAAAGTAAAGTAAAGTTCCCTTTTCAAACCTGACGGTCTATGGGGCAAGTGAAGTAGAGTTCACTTGTTTCTGTGACCTCTGCATATGAAGGGATAGTGTGGTCAGCACTATGCCCAGCCGCCTTTACTTTCCCTAACGTGAGTTAGGTACCCATCAGAGTTGGGTGGACTCAGGGATGGTCTACTGACTTGAACCCGGATTCGAACTTGATACTTACGGGTTAGCAGTCCAGCTCTCTACCGCTAGACCACTCCGTCCCCTGTTATTAAGTAAACTAAAAAAATTTTTTTATTTTCCTCACAGGTTTATTGGGACAATGGATCTCAAGTGAGTTATTGATTTATCTAAGTTATCCATATGTTGTTTTAAAAATACATATCTTTGTGATTAACAATACATTTTGCACTATTGTCAATTGCAGGGAATTCGTAATTGGTGTTAAATGACACAAATAAGCTTAAACTTAAAGAAAAAAATTAATCAAGTTCTGCTTCATTCTAACAGATCATATCACCTCATGATAAAGGTATCAGCCAAGGTATTTTAGAAAGTCTGGAGCCAGAGGACAAATCTTGGGACACAAGTGTGCTGCAGTCTAAGTCAGAGCTTGTGTTTGATCCTCTAGATTTGATCATTGAAAACTACAACAGTGAGGCTCTGAGTCTTTGCTATTTGAGGTGCTCATTTTAATTGTGTTAAATATAGCTTATGAAAAGGTGTAGTTTAGCAATATTATTCTGAGCATAAGTTATGTTCTCAATCACAAGACAGGAATAAATGGTATACTTAAGTAAAAAAAAAGGAACACACTTTAGGGGATTAACACATATTGCCGTTAGCTAAAAACTTCACACTATACTTGACGTAATATTTTACATTTCAGAGAAAAGAACAAAGAATGCCCAGTTCTTTTTACTTATACTGCTATGCATGGTGTTGGTTATAATTACTTTTTACATATCTCAAGAGCTTTTGATTTCAAAGACCCAATTCCGGTGACGGAACAGGTGGGTATTTTCTTTATGAGATGGAAGCACTGACATTTTAAAAAATGTACAGAATTATATAATACATATTTATATAATAAGAATGGTATTTACAAAATATTTTAAGTATTTTGACAATTAAAAAAAATTGTATTTATTTTCAGATTATTCCTGATCCAGATTTTCCCACTGTGAAATATCCCAATCCTGAAGAAGGTGAAGGAGCTTTGGTCAGTTTTTATCTTTATATCTTGAATTGATGTTAAAATACTTAATATTTTTTCTCTTGCTATTGTTTGACTTATTCAAGTTGGTTAATCAACTCAGTTTCCAACTGCTTTTTTTTTTTTCAGTAACACTTGTTTACACATTATTTTGTATGTCTAGTTGTAAATTTTGTACATTAACCAAAAATAATAGTTGTGATTCTTCTTTTTATATGCCTGTCATTTTAAAAGTATTTTTAAATAGAAAAAGTAAGTGCTCCTTATTCAATCTTTCTGTTTTTCCCCTTGGTTTATTTCTAGAAACTAGCCATGGCCACAGCTGATAAAAATAAAAGCAAAGTGATTTTGGCAAATGATCCAGATGCAGATAGACTAGCTGTAGCAGAAAAAACAGAAAGGTAAATGTCTTACAGTCAACTTCATAACTTCATGGGTCAAAAACTGTAACAACTTGAAATAATTTTTATGGCTCCTTTTTTAAGCACTATTATTATTAACATCCGCTTTACTTTCTTGTGTATCTGTAAAACAGTAAGTACCAACAAATGAATGTAAAACAAATGAATAACCTTTGCTTACAGTGGCTGGAGAATTTTCTCTGGCAATGAAACTGGTGCTCTCCTTGGTTGGTGGTGCTGGACAACATGGCGACAAAAGAACCCTAAAGAGGACTGTTAGTATTTTTTCTTATGAATAGGCTCTCTGAATTTAAAAACATTCAAATACCACAGTGTTGTTTTATTTTTCATCTACAAACGCAATATAAATTTCCTTGTAAATTTGGTGGAAATATTGCTAATACTGAACAAAGATAGAATTGTACACTCATCATTCTTTTTTAACCCCCAACACAAATTGTACATTTTTTTTGTTGTTTCTCCACATTTTTAAATCTCTGACATGAAATGAAAATCTTTTATCTGTTTCAGTATCTAAAGTGTACATGCTCGCCAGTACAGTATCTTCTAAAATTCTTGAAGCTATAGCCAAGAAGGAAGGTTTTAACTTTATTGTAAGTTGTTTTTACTCAAGTGTGTCTTTTTTTAACTTGAATGTTTATGTGATATATTTAAGAATATGGTTCTACAGTTTTTAGCTTTAGTAACTAAACTAACACATTTTTGTTTAGATGATTTTGTGGCAGTTACTGATTAAAAAACATATTACTCATACATTTTTTTTAAAACTTGTAATTTTGCTTTAGAGCTTAATATATAAGTGGGTGTGGAACTATAAATTTTCTATAGCTCACATTTCACAACATTTTGATTTCTAGCTATTCAGCAATTTATTTAAAAAAATGTTCAATTTATTTAAATATTTAAATTTACCTCCCTTGGTAGGAAACGCTAACAGGCTTCAAATGGATGGGGAATGAGACGGACCAACTGTTACAGTATGGGAATAAAGTCTTGTTTGCGTTTGAAGAGGCAATTGGTAATTTTAACTTTTTAAACACAAATATAAATCAATAGTAAATATATTAAACCTACCCACTATTTAAAATTGAGACCTTAAAATCCCATAACTAAAATAATCTAATTTTTCTAAGATTAGAATATATTAGTATTACTATAAAAAGTAGTTATTTTCAAATAAAAAGATATAAACTGCCCACTTTGTTTTTACTGTAATTTTACTCTCCAACAGTTTCTAAGTTTAACAAGTAGAGGCACTTTTTTAAAAGTATGGGCTAAATAAGATGTATTTAGAGTAAAGACTGTGTCATATCTTTTCTGATTGATATTTTATAGTAGTTTTCATGTGCCAGGTTTCATGTGTGGCTCAGTTGTGTTGGATAAAGATGGGGTCTCAGCTGCTGCTGTGATGGCAGAACTAGCCAATCATGTTTACTCATCCAACTCAACACTCTCTGAACAGTTGGAAATTATCTACAAACAGTGAGTAACTTTTGCAGTGATAGCAGACATGAAAAGTTTTGGAGTTGGTTGGGAGTGAGTCTACGGTTTGCACATCCAGAAATGTTTTAGTCTGAAGAACAGAAGCCAGTTCAACAATTGTTCCCTAGCTTTTATAAAATGTGCTGCTTTTTATTTTATTTCAATATTTTAGAAAAAATTACTGCACATAAAAATAATATCTTTCATTTTAAAAACTTTAAAAAAGTAATTTCCTGTTAAAGTTTGGTCTTCAATAAAAAAAAAAGTATATTCATATGGGTTTATATAATAAGATTAATACTGCGTCCTGGGAACAAATAGACTGAGTCTCTTGAATAGAAATACATGACATTTTAACTGAAGATCAAATTTGGTTGTTATAAGCTGAAAAATAAAATAAAAAAAGGTTTATTAACTTCTTTATTGTCTTATTTAAGATGTTTAAGAAACAACCATTCATGTGGATTTCCTTTTTTTTAAAATAATGTGTTGAAATCTTTTCTTCCCATTTTATTAAAGAAATATACTATTTAAGTTTTAATTTGTATACTTTTTCTAAAATGTTTGGTAAAATATTTTATCATGTCCTTAACAGGTATGGATATCACATTAGTCAGAATTCCTACTTTATTTGTCATGATGCTAAAACCATTAAGAACATGTTTGACAGACTTCGTGATTATGATGGAAAGAAGCAAGTAAGTTGAGTTCAAGCACTAACCTTTCTATGTATATCAACATTTCTTTCTAGCACATGTGTAAAGAATGTAGAGATCTTGTTTTTAAATATGGTTATAATAGTCTAATAAAAGTTTTTTTTTGATGTTTTATACTGTATATAAATCTATTGCTTTTTTTTCCACGATGTCCAAAATCTGTTGTTAATATTTATGTTAGATCATTGATGAAAAAATCTAAACTCATTTAGATCTATACCTTAAAAAAGTTTCTAGTACATTCCTATTTAGTTAATTTGTTTGCTCAAACTCTAAATTTACAGTAAACTTATATTTATTAGGTTAGCTTATAACTGCTGGCAAAAAGTTTTGTTAACATTGTCTTAAAAAAATCTGCCAACAGTATCCATCTAAGTGTGGTGACTATGAAATTGTTCATGTTAGAGACCTAACTGTGGGCTATGACTCCGAAACTCCAGACAAGAAGCCTGTAAGTAAAATAATGGAAATAAAAGAATTTTAAATCTGTTTTGTTTAAGGGTTTTTTTTTAAATATTTAAATTTTTTTGCTGTATACACATTTTAGCTGTCTTAGAATGCTTTAAGCGTTATTAAGAGTTTCCATTTAATTTTTAGAAACTTCTAACTACTTCTTAAAAGTCCAAAGTCTTTCATTTTTCTTTGTGACTCCTCACAACTTCAACCTTTTCAATAATAAAAACCATCTTCAAACAAAACAAAACCTTTTTTTTTTGTTAAATTAGAAACTCCCAACGAGTAAATCAAGCCAGATGATTACCTTTAAATTTGCTAATGGCTGTGTTGCCACTCTGCGAACAAGTGGAACAGAGCCAAAGATCAAGTACTATGCTGAACACAGGCCAAATCCCAAGCTAGGGTGAGAATATTTTTAAAAATGTTTGAATTCACTAACAACCTTTATAGTTATACCTGGTTTATTTTTTATAAAATAGTTCCTGCTGCATTAAAAAATTTAATTTGGTTTCAAATTTGGATCTATGTTAGATAAGTATAAGGCATCTGCCAAATACTTGGGTACAAGAGTAAAGAGAGCTGATCACAATCCTTTTCAATTACATTTGTTTTGAGTTCATCTTTTTAAAATCTTTTAATTGTTAAACTATTATCAAAGTAACATCTTTAGTTTTTTTAAATATAGATCTAGTATTAAAGACGAAAACATTATTTAACAATTTTATTTGAAGAATGCATCGTTTTAATATATACATCTATCTCTGCCAGGCTTGGTTTTGATGAAGTGAAACTACAGCTTCAGGAGATAGTCAAGAATATTGAGAATCATTTTTACAACCGGACATTATTCCCTGAGATCAAACCTAGAGAGACTTAAAACTTGCAGGTGTTTTCCAGCTTGAGAGTGCCAGTGCCAGAACTGCTGCTGCGTCAGAGCTTTGAGAGATTTAAAATTCTGAATGCCACTGTGATGTGTTGGGGAGGTGGACTAGTACATCTTAAAACATCAAAATTCTAAAAATTCTCAATGTATTTTTTTTACAATAAAGAAAAATGTACCGAAAATGCATTTAGAAATTTTTTTGTTGTAAAATATTTATTCTACATTTTAAAAATATTTTATTCATGTCTTTTTTTTCGGGGGATGTTGTTAACATTTGTTTATTATAGTTTGATTTTTAAATTAATTTTTTTCAAGCCTCATTGAAATCCTCTTGGGTGAAGCTTCCTTTTTTCTTGTTAGAAAACTATATACAGCTGGTAACATCTGTATATCAGCTCAACTGATTTTAAACTGCTGGTATTGTTTTGTTTTTGTGATTTTCTTTAAGACCGATACTAACCTACAACTAGCCTATTGATTGTCATAGTTACTTAACACTTAACATTGTGCAGAGTTCCTCCTAGACTGTGATAGTGATGTAAAGTTAAGCCGATAAAATTATCTCTTGTATGGCTATACTTTGTTAAGAATGTTAATCTTTTGAGTATTATCTTTAAGGTCATTATTATCAGTAATTAATAACTTAACCGTTTATTTTTGTTTTACTAAAATATAAAAGCTGTGGTTTATTTATTTGTTTTTATATTTATTATCCATGTGTTGTATATTACACATGTTTACCTAGATAAATAATTAAAGAGTAATTATTTTTATAAAAATTTATATCTATATAACTATACATGTATCCCAGGATTTTCTGAAGAATTTATTGTAGCACCTGGCTCCTTATTTTACTTTCATATCAATGTTTTTTTTTTGTTTTTTTAAGCAAACAGCTTTAGTAAATTCATTATAGTTTTTACAAGTTTAAAATTTTTTTTCTAGCTTTACATGGCCACATTCCTGTTGAAGTGTATTGCATGTGGTTGAGTATTTGTTTTTACTGCGAAGTGTTTTCAGTCTGTTTGGTATTTATATTTCAATTGTATACATAAGCACATCTAATATACTTTGTTATTTAAATAGATTGGGCCGGGCTCAATCACACCTGGGGTTATGATCTCCTAGCTTTGTTTTGTGAATGCAAAAGTGATCAAAGTAGAGTTCAATCCAGAGCTACTGATAGTAATTTGCTTATTATACTCACCATCAAGAATGTAAAATAAAAAACATATCACTCTCATATCTTAGGATCAAAGTAATTTACTACTATGTCATCTCACATTTTTATAAAATAAAAGGTTCAATTAAAATCAAGAGAGCTTATGTTGCTAGGTATAATAGTAGCCTTTTTTTTCAATGAGTTACATCAAACTTACTTAAATCACCTGAAGTTGTTTTTGTTTGTTGACTTTTTTTTGTGTTTGAAAGCATAGTTTATAGAATATAGATCTTAACTTTTTCTTAGCATATTTTTCAGGATTTTGTCTTATATTTTTGTTCTGATGAATTCATTTCTATATTCTTAATATTTGCTTCTAGGTTTTATTTACTATAGAATCTTAGGATATATCACAAAACATATTGCATGTTCAGACATGTCTTTGTGTAGCACACAGTTAAGCAAAACACACACACTGCACTTTGGTAAATCCATGAAGTGAAATAAGTTATATATCATGTACAGCTGTAACTTTAAAAATTTTATTGTATTAGATTTTACCTCTTTTAAATGTAGTGAACAAATTTTATACCAGGTAATGCTGTTTGTAAAAATCAGTTATTTAATGAATCTCTGTTACAGGTAGTGATATAAAAGTAAAAAAAAAACTACTTACTGTTGCTGTAGGCCTACTCAATATTAAAAATAAAAAGTTGCATCTTTGTCAAGATTTGTTTGTTTTTTTGCATCCACTTAAAGTAAGAAATATGCTGCCTTAGTTGTGTCTAAATTCTTAAAATTTATCCTTTTATAACATTCGATGATTTGACTCGTATTTATCAGACTTTTTTATATTGCTTCTTTCAGTACATTTTCTGTTACTCATACAAAGTAAGGAAAAACTCAATATAACTAAACAACTTAATAGTTATCACTTATTTAGAATATTTTTGTTTTTTAAAAATTCTCTTGAAAATAAAAAAAAAATGCTTTCAAATTATTTTACAATTTTCAGCATTGCATCATGTGTTTTCTTCTCTTCTATGCTTTCTATTGGATGACTCAATAATTGGTTTAACTTTTTCTTTTATTTTTTTTCCATAATATAGATCTAATTTCAATATTACAGGTTAATTTCATGTGTATGTCCAAATTAAAAACGCGCCTGAAATATCAGCAGTGTTTGTCTTCTGTTTGTAGTCTAAATGAGCACGGGCATATGAAGTCTGGTTTAAACATAAAATAGTTCAAGATTGTTTACTACTTATTTTTGCAAGAAGATCCTTAAATATGGGGTCATCCATAAATGATTAAATGATGTCTCCCTTTTTTTTAAAAACAATTTTACCCCCCCCCTCCCCTCCGCCACACATCGTCACAAAAAGCCAGACCCCCCTAAAATGATACACCTCAGCCTACAACCCCCCCCCCCCCCTCATAATTGCAGTTGAATTTTTCTTATAATAGGATATTTTTCCAAAATATTGTCTGAACTCTGTCAGCATAGAGTATTTTAATCAATTCCTAATACAATTTGTTAAAACAGTTTTCTTAAACGCAAAATAACGGCTAAAATTAGTTATCTAACAAGGTTTTTTTATAATGCAAAAGTGTGACGTCACACCATCTGAACACCCTCCCCCCTCATCACACACGTCACAAAATTACGGACCCCCTCCCCCCTACGAGTGTGACGTCAGTTATGGACGACCTCTATCCACTTTTACCATTAATTTAGGCTTAGCTAGGCTTTCTTGTCTAGATCTAGATCTAGATTTGTCGTTTTTTAAAACAAAGTATGGCGGCATTATAACACTACTTAGACTAGAATGTTTTGGTATTTAGCTTAACAATATAAAATATAAAAATAAACATTTTCCGGATCAAATATCTAGAATATAAACGACATCACTCACATGTAGGTACAAAAAATACAGTTATGGATGGCTGAAATGTTTGTGTTGATGTTATAATATGAAGTCTGTTTAGCCTAGATTATATCAAATTATGTTACTGTAACTTTCGTAGCCATATCATTGTAATTCAAAGGTCAATATGAATATCATTCATTATCATCGAAAGTCGGAATCACCGGAATGTCTGGTCTCACTCACACTGCCGAGTGACTGCCGGTGTCATCACCATAAAAAAAAAGTCTAGATTCTAGACGTCTAGATTCTACTAGAATCTAGATAAAATGATTAAATCATATCATAATATCAGTAAAATAATAAAAATTTATGAGTATTATATGAGACATCTAGATCTAGTCACATTCACTCAACACTCAGTCATAGTCATAGTTTTTGTCAGTTTCTGAGTTTTGTGATGCAACGAATTGCAATATAATCATATATCCCTTTTTCAGATGATTATAAATAATATAATTTTTAATTATATTGATATAATTTATATCATTATAGATACTGGTGTCCGATAATGGAATCTTCTTTAAATAAGGAGTGTTGGGTTGTTAGTAGTAGAAGTAGTAATAGTAGTATTGTAATCTCGACTAATTTTATGGGTAGAAATAATTATTAGGGTTAGGCGTATGCTAGGACCAGTTAGGGACAGGGTTAACATTGACATTAGCCAGCCATGTGTGTATTTAGTTAACTACCAGTAACCTAACACCCCTTTTTTAAAGAAGATTCCATTATCGGACACTTGTGTAAACATTCTCCCCCTTTTTCATATTTTGTGAATGCGACACTACCCATACCAATGCTACGACTGAAAATATTTTGCTTTAAAATACTATCAGTAGCTAGTGAAGGACGATTATCCTCACCCTCACTTTCCACACCTCTCCCCCTTTAAAGCAGCCATCCGTGATGACAGTTTACAGACAATAATGAAAATGAAAAGATCTAGCAGAACATATTATTACCTCCCCTTAGTTTCAAATCCCCTAATAGCCGTCACTAATTCAACATGATAGTAAACAGCTCACCAGGCTGGTGGGGGTGGTAGCGATATGGTCTGTTGAGTTTACTTCTTGGTGGTGTCTTGCATGGTCCCCATGAATAGAATTGTATAGACAGAGGATTCCTATTTAAACTATTTTTCAGTAATTCATATTTTGTGAATTCAACACTGCGACTGAAAATATTTTGCTTTAAAACACTATCAGTACCTAGTAAAGGACAATAATCCTCCCCTCACTTTCCACTCCTCAAGATTTGCTAGCGGTCATCTGTAAATAAGAGTGGTTTCCCCTGAATCTCTAACTTTAATTTAGCCAAAAAAAAACTTAAACCAGATGGCTGCCATAAAGTAAACAAGCTTGGTTACATCTGAGGAAAACCTCGCTAATCTTTGTTTATTATTGAAAAGTTTTAATACATTTGTTTAAAAACAAGTGCGTGAAACATTTAAAGCATAAATCCTCCTAATAGGGTGAAATAATTACTAAAACTTAATGTGTCACCTTTCTTTCACATTACTAGCCGCGGACGATTTTATGTACCTGAAACAATAGATTACCAGTAATCTTTAATCTGTACTTGTTTTGTTTACATGACTTTTATTTTTCATTCAACCCAAAACTGAAGAAGAGTAATCTTTTTTTTTTTTTGCATATATTATAAAGAAACATTACTTTCCTAAAAAGTAATGTTTGCTGTAGTTAAATGCTGTGGTTATAAGGCCATATCAGCATAAAGATTCCCCACCCGTTTTCATTCATTGATCAAGTACAAAGAATTACTAATATTTTAATTGTGCAAACACTATAGAATGTGAATGTCATAAATACGAGATAACAGTTTACAATAATAAGGGCCTATAACCTAAGTAGCTATTATTTTTACTAATTTAGTTCATTAAAAACATTTGAAGTCCCTTGTTTAACTTGGAAGAATCAGTGGAAATGAATAATTTTTCTCTACAGATGGTTATCTGTTGCTTCCAAAGATCTTTTCTTAAGTCTGTTAGTTTATCGAAAAGTGTAACTTTGTTCTCCACCTCAGCGAGGAATTTTTGTCTTTTAAATAGGTTTGTAATATTTTGAGAAATCTGATAATTTATCATTTGATTTCTTTATATATTTTATATTTTATGAGGCCTAATCAAAATCAAATCATCAAAATTTTAATTTTTTTTTTACAGAATGGCAACTACTACAGATTTTGACAGATTGAAAGAGAAGCAACAATATACAGAAAAATTATTATTTGAGCTTCGCAACCAAATAGAGGCCATTAAAAAAGTAGCAGGTAAATATATTTTATACAATATTGACTGAGTTGTTATCTCTCATTATATGAGGTAACATTTATGGAATAAATTGCATATCATTTAGACATTCATAGATGAACATAAAGTCAGTAGTGAAAATTTTGTTTGACAATGCCATTCATTTTCTAGGAAATAGAACCGTAGGTAGTTGTTTAAATAGACTTAATCAAGGATTTGTGAACGTATGAATAATAACTAATTAAATATTTTTAGTGAAGCAAGCTGGTCTTCCAGAAGAAGAGAATCTAATCAAAGAAAATGAAGCATTAAGGAAAGAGATAGATTCCGTTAAAACTGCACTTTTTATTGCTGAGATTGGAAATGGAGGTATTAACACAAGATCTGTATTTTTGTTAGATTAAGTCTTACATTTAATCTTATGATGATATATTTCCAATCATAAAATAGACCATACCATTTTTATATTACTCTACAAAACGGAAAAAAGAAAGCTATTTCACTCATATACTTCTTTTTGTTAGTTCGACAGGTTCAACTTCCATCTAAAGGTGTTTTATCAACAATATTGAGTCCCAAATTAGCAACTGTTAGCTCTACGCAAGTTAAAGGGACAGCAAAGGAGTCAAGTCCTTCAGCTGCTGTGGAGAGTAAACCTAAAGAGCAGCAAGCTGAAGCTAATGGTAAAAAGACAAAAAAAGAAACAGTAAATGCTGGAGGGAAAAAAGCTAAGACTGAAGAAAATAAAGAGAAAACAGCAAAAGATGCTGGAGGTAATTAGTATTTCTTTTTTCCTAAGTGTTGTGAATTTTAAAAAATTTAAAAACCATTTATATCTTTCAATTATATAATTGAAATGTTTTATACATAGTTTTACATTTTTAGTGAAGTAAATATTGTGGCAAAAATTCATATAGCTATAGATTAGTACAATAAACAGAACAGAAAGTGATGCCATTAAATTATTATATTGTAGGAAGTTGTAAATAAAGATTTGGTGAATAAAAATAGTTGATATTGCTTGTAAATATTTTTGCTAAGTTTATATTTTGAATTGTGGTGATGGTAGCTCTAAGCACTACAATAAGTTTTTCTTATGAATAAAGGTGACGGTAGTTCCAAGAAAAAAACTGCAGCTACTGAGGGTGAGACAGCAGACAGTGCCGTTGATATCTCCAAGCTGGACTTGAGGGTGGGGAAGATTGTAGCTGTTGAAAAACATCCTGATGCTGATTCCTTGTATGTTGAACAAGTGGATGTTGGCGAAGGCAAAAACAGAACTGTTGTTAGTGGCCTAGTTAAACATGTCCCAATCAATGCTGTAAGTATAGTAATTTCTATAGAATATGGTATCCATGTTTGTTATGTATTATCAATAAACATAACCAGTTAGTTAAACACATTGGTTAAGATATTTTTGTTTTAATTAATTTAAAAAAAAAATTGAAAATGGTCATATTTCTGAAGTTCATGTAGTTTTGATCAGTTTGGTTTGTTTCAATTAAGTTTTAAACACAAATATTAGAGTTGTTTAGTAACTTAATTTGTATCAAAAGTAGTCTTAAAAAATATTTTAACATTCCATTTTTACAGATGAAAGATCGCATTGCAGTTTTTATGTGCAACTTGAAACCAGCCAAAATGAGAGGCGTGTTATCTGAGGGTATGATTATGTGTGCGGTTGGAGCTGAGAAAACTGAAATATTGGTACCCCCGACTGATTCTGTTATCGGTGATAGGGTCACATTTGATGACTACCCAGGTATTTGAAATATTTACACAAACCTTGTTCTGTATGGTGAGCCATCTTTTATACAAGTTTTGATCTATACGTAATCTAATGACCATCTATATTACAAGAAAAGTGAACCTTAAAAACATGGTGATGCAGAGTGGTAGTAAAGTTCCCTCTCAAACCTGATGACCAGAGCAGGTGACTTAGAGTTCACCTGTTTCTGTGACCTCAGCATATGAAGGCATAATGTGGTCAACACTATGCCCATCAGCCTTTGCTTTCCATTACATAAGACCCATCAGAGTTGTGTTGATTCAGGGACTATCACTCTAACCAGGAACTTTTAGGTTAGTAGTCAAATGCTCAACCATTTGACCACGCAGTCCCATAAAATGTTTTATTTCTTTGTTATCAAGAATACATTTGGTAGTGTAGAACTAGTAGTAGAAAGATTTTATGTTTCTTTACCTCTGCACAGTTGCATAAATTCTAAAAAAAAAAAATTAAATGAGGTACTAATCAGAACAGAAGGCTTTCTGTTTAGTAGTGTGCTCTACTAATCCTCCCTAAATCTTCAGTAATTTTTGATTACTGTAATCTTATCCAGGGACGCCTGAAGCCCAGCTCAATCCCAAGAAAAAAATCTGGGAAACCTTAAAGCCAGATGTAAGAACTAATGAAGACAGAGTAGCCACATACAAGGGAGCCCCTTTTGTAATTAAAGGAAAAGGATTTGTTGTTGCACCTACCTTGGCTAACTCACAGATTTCATAAAACTATATTGTCCTATATAATTATAAATTACATGTTTGGAAAGTGGATATGAGACTGTTTATGTTAGATTGTCTTTTAAAATGTACCAGTACCAGCTAAAATTGTTTTAAGTATTACAAAAAATAGTGTACTATTATACTATGCTTTCATGTTACACTGTATCCCCTATTTGAGATTTTGCTTTGTTTGAAATGTATCATTATTAAATGAAATAAACTAAAAAAAAAAACCTGTGTAATATTACAATAATTATAATTTAAAATAAAACAGTGTTCAGTTATTAATGTACAATTATTTTTTATTCAATAATAATTATTTCAAACTGGTTCAATTAAAGTGGCCTTTGATGATGACAAAATTTACAACAGTGCTGATTAAAATGCATACAATGTCTGTAGCAACCTGTGCCTCGCATCAGATGACTTTTCCAATTGTGGATGAGGTCTGAATATAAATAAAATACAAATTCAACAATCATATAAGTAAAAATATTTTTTATAGTTGAGCTTTGAAACATTGCTGTCTTCAAAAGCAGCAATCAGTTCATTTTACTACTTACTTGCTCATAAATATTTGGAGTATGTCTCTGCCAAACTTAGGGAAATAAGGTTGCTTCACCACATGTTCTAGAACTAGTAAAGGACCTGTTATGTAAGTTGGAGGCTTTAATTTTTTGTCTTCACCCTGAAGAGTTATGTGAAACAATTCAATGTTAGAGGGTTTAAAATGAATTATATATTTATAAACCAATTGAAATGTAGATAAAATCTTTCACCTTGAGTAATCCCAGCAGGACCAAAAAAGAATTAATGATAAGACTGCCAGCTTCTGGGTTTTGATTCATTACATTCTGAAGTAGGCTATCTGTTAAAGGTCAATAAAGAGTTGTCAATAATCAGAGCTTAAAAGAAAATTGCCTACAATTATACAGCACACACTTCACACACAGTATCTTTGTAGGATTATTGTGTGCTAAATGTTTTTAGGTTGTTTTAAAAAAAAAAATGCTTTATTGAACATCTCACAAATTCAAACCAACCTGCACATTCACAAGCTTTCTGCTTAGCTTCATCATCTTTGCTGATAACAAGTGACACCTGAAAAACAGTTGCATGAAAGAATTTTACCTCATTGAATGATATTTTGAAATCTTTGGGTCAGCTGATAAGTAAAGTACAAACTTACTGAAATTAAATAATTAGTATAATATTCATAAATCAGTTCAACTGGCTACCTTTATTATCATAGAGACGACCTTTTCAACATCTGTACTGTCTTCCTGCAATACAATTATAACATAACTATATTTCTTGGGCTAAAAAGCAGACTGACTATCGTTGGCTTGACAAAGTAAACAATAAACTCAATTAAAATACTTAATGGAAACATTTCAAAAGGCTTTAACTATTTGTACTGTCGCATATAAGAAAACAAGGACAATTACCCCCAGTTCCTTTAAAAACATGTCACCTCCATCTTTGCCCAACTGCAGAAGTTTGGTTGGTGATGGGAATGCTAAGAAATCTCTGGCACTTATTTGCTGAAAGCCATGATGGAAATGGAATATTAATTTGTTATGCTTTCTTCTGATCATTAATAAGATTAAACAATTGAGTTTTAAAGTAATTATGATACAAAATATCAAAGCACCTTAGGTTCAATGGAAATCTTGGGAATTTAGTTGGGTCTATCATCGCATTACAAAATGAAAGTATTTTATATCTTCAATACGAACTCTATTAAAAAGGTCATATGTTAAAACAAAATATATGCTGGTGCTGGAAACTTGTGAGGGCTCATAACTGTCATAGTTTTTGTAGGTAGGAATAAGTTAAAAAACATGAGAAAAAATGGTGACTAAATTATTTATTGACTATTGACTTCAGCACTGCAAACATCAACATGAAAGTAAAACATGTGTAAAAGTATTAATAATAAACTATGGTTAAAACTACTTGGTCTAAAATATCATAGCATTGACAGTTTAAAAGGAAACTATCAATAGATAGTGTAATAGTTTTATGTAAAACAATAAGGATAACATTAATAATTAAATCCATAAACCAGTATTACAAATCTATCAAGAATTTACTGTACTCCAAAAAATTATAGCCATTTCTATTAATATTTTTACCATTAATCAATCAATATATGACATTATTACATACAAGTATGTAATATAAAGCATAAACTAGCACTTAATTTATAGACTTATGGTATTATGCACAAGGGTCATCAATAAATGACATGAAAATTTTTTTTTATATTTTGAAGTGATCTCTTTCTAAAAACAATTTTTTTATACATTTTACAAAATAATTTTTTTGCAAAAGTATGTCATTGTCGGATGACCCCCAAGTAAAAATTTTCAGTTTAAGTTCCATTAAAAAATTATTAACTTTTAAAACTACTGTATTTTATGTACTATATTAAAATGTACATGACACTAAAAACTATGTTATTGATATATAATGTAGTTTTAACTTATTAAAAGTACTCATCACTATATCAAAAGCAATGTGCTCATGTAGAATAAAAAAAGTAAAACAAATACCCTTTTAAAAACATGTACATGAAATAACTAAGTTAAAAAAAATATTTCAGCTACAAATCTTTGAATAGCATAAAGTTTATGTTAATTTATTCAGTAACTCTATTTTTTAAAATAGAATTTCTTTTATTTATGACTTCAAATACTCTAATTTTCCCAAATTATTATAGCTTAAAAGAAGAACCTATGACAGTGCACAATATAGTAATGGCTGAAACCTTTAAACTTCTAAAACGTACATAAAAAAACATAATGAAGTAAACATTAAAATATTTATAACACTTTGCCTTAAAACTAATACTGTTTTACAATGAATAGAAAATTATGGAATGAACATCTAGAAAGTATAAATATTAAAGAAACATTTATCTTCTAAATAAAACCCGAGTTGGAATATTAATTTTGACGAAGAATTCAATGTTTCGATATATAAATCATATACAATGTGATGCACATTTAAATGACTATAAAACATTAAACACTTCAAAATGTCAGTGGCTACAGTTATGGACAGAGTAATTTAAAAAACCGGATTAACAAGTTAACAGTGCTGAGCATCAAGAGAGACTGAGCTTGTCCATTTCAGAAGTCAAATCATCAGGAGGAGACTCCTGGAATCAACAAGAAAAACAACTCTTAGAAACTTTTGATTGGAAAGAATTTCAAAAGAAAACTGGTGAAATAAACAAGCTCAGGTGAGGGATACATAAAAAAAGCGACTGAATCTGAGTGTAAAATATCTTACCGGTTTGTTAGGTGTGATTGCCACTCCTTTAATTTGAAGCTTAGAATCTGTACTGATTTCACCATCATCTTCTTCGTCAGGTTCCTTGAATTATTAGCATTGTTATTAAATGATTAAATAAAATACAATAAATAATGTTTAGGGATAGTTGCAAATAGAAGATCTATTTAACTATAAAAACAGAAGTTAAAAAAAAATATATCTAAACATGTTTTTATTTACCTCATCTTCACCGTAATCATCTCCATCCTCATCTTCATCCCCTGAGCCTTCATCACCACTGCATTAACAATATTTAAAATCAATGACAGATATTTTTTTGTGTAAATATAAACTGAAAACTCCCACAACCTACATTTTTTACAAAAAATTTAATCAGGGTAAATGTTAATATAAAAAAAATCATGTTCATACTGAGTTTAAAATATCTGAACAAGTATATTTTATATACCTCAATGATCCCAGAGCCTCTTGAAGTCCTACAGACTCCACCATAGATTTTATGTCCTCACAACCCTCTTCGCCAAAGTTATTTGCTAAAAATATTAATAAAACAAATAGCACTGCATGTATTACATTCCAAAATTATTATTTGCTTTATCTTACACTAGTCCACAAAAAAAAAAAAAATTGAAAGAAAAAACCATTAAAATGAATGAATTTAAAAAGAAAATAGTTAACATATTTGAAAAATTTTTTAATGCAAACACAACAAAGCTCACCATCCAGATCTAACTTTTTCAGAGAACTTTTATCTTCTAAGCTTTCAACAATATCAATAGCTCCAGCTTTGTTTATTTCATTTCCACTCAATATCAATTCCTGGGAAAAAAATAAAAGTTCCTTGCCAACTTGACTGTAAATGTTATTTCTTAGCCAAAATTTTTAACTTTATGAGTTTATGTAAAACAGGTTTTACTGGAAAACTGAAATAAAAAAAATCAAAATCACACCTGTAAATTTTTGTGGCCTTCCCTCAAAGCATTTGCAATGGCTTTTGCTCCTTCAGTTCGAACTAAACAGTCACCAAAATTTATAACCTCAAGATTATAAAGCTTGGGTAGTGCCTATAAAATGGTACATTATGGTTAGTTACAAACACTGCGGAGTGCATAACTTCATGGTTACAAAGAATGAGTTGCACACTATTTTACAAAATTTCATCCTAGAGTTTACAAGGTTTTAAGTAGTGCTTTTTATATGGAATTTCATTATTCTGGGGAGATGACATTTCTATAGAGGACATAGTATTACTAATTTAGTGAAGTCACCACGAGCCTCTGCAATAAAACCTTAGATTAGTGACCTAATTGATACTGACTTTTGCAATAGCTTCCGCTCCTTTAGCTGTAAAAGTGTTATCATTCAAATTTAAATGCTTCAACTGCTTGTTTGCAGCCACTGCATCTGCTAAAGCTGAAATCCCTTGATGATTAATGCCATTCTGAGGCATTGCGAGAAATTCTAGAGTCCCAATGGCCTGAAAGGAATAATAAAAAAATAAACGTATACAATATTTAATTTAAAATGTAACCTATATAGTATGAAAATCTGAAAACATGGTACTATAATTAAAATACAATGATATTTAAGGTGTTACTTCATTGATATCAAAACTAGTGAAAAATAGAACACGCTACCTTAAAGGCACTCGCCAGTGCTATAGCTCCATCATTTTCTAACCTATTTCTTCCAGAAATAAAAACACGTAGAGAAAGAGGTCGTCCAGCAGAAACACTGCTTTTGTGACATTCATTGAGGCATTCAGCTAACATCTGTAAATATATAAACAAGCTTTTTCAACGAATGAGGTTCCGAGCTTAAAAAAGAATAAAAAGATTGGTTCTCCTTAAATTTCCTAACCTTTTAGTTTTAAAAACTGGCAATAAACTAAAATTCATTAAATGGATTACTATACCTTCCCACCGCCAATCCCAAGGCCATTGTTATTTAATTTTAGTTCTTGTAAACTATAGCAGCTTTCACTTTTCAGCAAGTCAACAAGGCCCACAACACCATTTGGACCAAAAGCATTATCACTCAAGTCTATCTCAACAAGGCGGCATTTAGCTCCAATGATGGCAGCACCAAGATGTTTCTGTTATATACAATACAGAAAAATTAATTCTCTAAACAAATTGTAATTTTATAACACATGTTTATAGCCTAACAACTTTAATTAAATATTAGATCCAACTTTGTTATTAATTATTAGCTTACCAATGCAACAGGAATTTCTGTCTTTAATCTGCCTGTAAACATGTCACTCCAGAGTGCTCTCTGAGATAAAATTTTTATAAAAATCATTGAAGTTTTAGACATAACAGGAATTTTAATTAAAAAAATAAAATAAACCTAATTGAGGCATAATATCACATACCTCAAATTCTGGGTGATGGCCGAGAGCTTTAGCAATCTCTTCAGCTGCATCCACTCCTAAAGTATTGCCCTCCATACGAAGGGCTGTTAAATTACTACATTTTCTGATTGCGTCGACAATCTCTTTTGCTAGTGATAAAAAAGTAACTTATTAAAACTTTAGAAAACAGATGCAAAAGCTGTAGGCCTAATAGTAAAAAAAAATTTAAACACAAAATCAAAAGCTATTGGAATATTTTATCTTTTGCAATGCTTAAGATTTTATATATTCTCTAAATTAACTCTGTTATGTGTTGATTCAAATGGCCGTCACCAGGAATACATTCTATATACCCATATTTTGAAAATCAAGAGCAATGCTATTAAAACAAATGTAGATATACAAACTTGATTGTGTAATTTGTGCATGACTTTATACGGAATACTTAGGCTAATGCTTTAAGTATTTTCAGTAACTAGCAATCTAAGCTAGGTTATAATTTATAAATCAAAGATTGACTTACTAAATCATAAGTCAAAATGTTAGGTTCATGTAAAACTCTAATTTTTAAAAATGTAGCAGTAAAAAGTGTTTGGGCGATTCTAGTTGGAAAAAGATACGCATGCCTTCGCGGCGATGTTTTCAATGGTACTGGTATGTTTACAAACTAACCGCAGAACCCTAACCCAGCTATTAAGGTCACTGCGCATGCGCAGAACTATCTTTTGCCGACCAGATGGAGACCATAGGGCGAAAAATCTTTTTCCGAGTAGTCACTTCAAAAGTGTTTTCAAGTACTATGCATTGCAAATTTTACAGGCAGATTCCTTCGCAGCGATGTTTTCAATGGTACTGGTATGTTGGCGTGGTCGGGTCAGTTAAGCTCATGGTTACTCAGATTGAAAAGTCCAGGGTTTGAGCCCCCAGGCAGGTGAGGCTTGATAGCTGGGAACAGCAATCCAAAATAAACAATTGTTGATTATTGCTTGTGGTTTGCTCTTGAATGGCCAGAGAGAGTTATATATTTTTATTCTTCTTTGGCTGGAGACTGGAGAGTATTTCTATGCTTTGGTTTTCATTCTATGTCAAATACTATTTGAAATTAGCTTTTTCGAGCCGGAAAGGAGTCTCCGTTTTGGGCTAAGGGTGTTCGGGGCTGGTAATGTTACTCTAGTCTAGATCTAAAATCTAGATCTGAGTAGTAGATCTAGATCCTAGTAAGTAGATCTAGATTTCTAGATCTATATTCTTCAAAAGTTAAGAATTTTGAATCAAAATAAAATCTCGATACTCAAATCAATTCACTAAAAAAAATTTAAATTACCATCTTCTCGCGAATTTAATTTCAATCCTCTTCCTTTAAAACTAAGTTCAAATTTATTGTCAACTCTTGCTTTAGCAAATTTGTCGGTAACATCATCTATTGATGTCATGGTTTAGCTTTTATATTTATTATTAATAAAAATAAATAAATAAAAAACAGATCTTAAAATTGAAATAATCGCATGGAAAAATGTTAGTATAACTCTTCTGCAGAATGTAAATTGCCTCGCATCTGCATGTCCAGATTTTCACCAAGATTTAGATCAGAGTTTAAAAAAAAATTAGATCTATTTCCTAAAAGCTCAAGAGTTTTAAATCTTAAGCCTAATCAGTTTTTAAAAAGACGTTTTGTGTTTCCACTTATTGCAAAAACTATGTACATGGACTTTTTATATTTTTTTACTTCAATATTTAAAAGAATTAACCAAACTGGCAACAAAAGACAACATAGTTCATCGTTTTTTTAGTTATGGATTTCTTTATTAATTACATTTGTTGCATTCTAAGTAGATGATCAAATTAGTCACAATAGCCACATGCAATTTGATATTCCTTACTAAAATAGCAATCACATTAAATTTTAATATGATAACTAAGTCTCATACCTATAGCAAAGCTCTCCAAAATAATCTCACTTGCCGAAATTCAGTTGATGTCTTTTGCAACATACAATATATAGATCTAGATTTAGTAATACTGAGTGAATGAATAGTGTACTGCTTGAATTAATGTTTGTGGAAGTTATTAAGAATTTTGTTAATTTTGATGATAAGTCTATAATATTCTAAGAATCGGCTGTGCTGCATTTCAATGTTTTTTTAAAAATTACTAGCTGCTTTTTATAACTCAATATAACCGGCAACCTAGATTGAGACCAAGAAAGAAATAATGACTTGTTTTTTTAAATTATACATTTTTAAAAACTATTTTATTGTTTTTAAAAGTAACTTTATTGCAATGGCTGTATATGATGTCTGGGTGGTTCATACATTAAATATTTTTTCATGACATCTTGAAAAGGTTTTATTGAAAATTAAAAGGTACTATTATATTTTTTGTAGCAATGTGCATATTGGAAAAATTTAACTATTTGAAAAAGGAGGAAATATTTTTTCACAAGGTGTTGCTCAAGAAATGTGTTAAATAAGAAATGCATATAGTGAACACAAGAAATGTGTTGTTCTAATGAGGAGTGTGAAGCTGAATTGTAAACAGTATTTAAACTTTACAAAATTATTTCAAACAAATAATTATGCACTTCCATAATTCAAAGTTTTAAGAGCAAAAAGTTTCATGATGATTTAGCCAATTTATTTGAACAGGAAATCATTAAGATGTGTTGCTTAGAATACATCTCACATAGTGCAGATGTAGTAGAGTTCAAATATTTCTGTGAACTTGGGGTATGAAGGAAGAGTGTTGTGACCTGGCCAGTACCACGGTTATCAAATGACAGACCAGAGAGAAATCCCCACATGTTGATATGATCTGGACAGGTACTACCCATGACTATCAAATGATAGCGCAAGAGGATGACCACAGTGAGCAGCCCCAGGATTCTGACCCAAGGTTGACACCTTAGGTTGACCATGTCTGAACCCCCAAGGCCAGACAGACTATATATGACAGGGGGTTCAAGCCTGGGGACAACAGACTCGACCACATGTTGTGTGCTCATGTGCCTCTGTGCAAATAAACAATATATATATATATATATATATATATATATATATATATATATATATATATATATATATATATATATATATATATATATATATATATATGTACTAGTGGCTTCTGTCTTCATACATACTCAAACCATTGTTGGTATATGACCCCATGACCACCACTCACAACAAATAGTATGGTCATCACAAGTCTAGCAGCTTTCACTTTCTCTAACATGAGTGAGGTACCACTGGAGCTGGGTGGACTCAAGCCTAAGCCTTTTATCTGACCACTACATAGCATGAGTATAATACTTTTAATAGGGAACTGTATCTACATAAAGCTGCACCATAACTGGAGTTGGAATCAGTATCAAAAGTTTAAGTTAAATCTTTTAGTTTAGTGTTTAAACAAACAAACCACACAACATGTATAATAATTATAATAGTAACAAATACAACTAAACAATTGAGCACTATTTTAATTTCCAATGTAATATATATATAGCAAAGTCAGAACATTATCTTTGTGAGAACAAGCTTCAAAACACAAACACAATTTCTTAAACAATTTTAATAATAGTACCTTGGGTCATAGTTGACATTATTAGTAATTGATCAATTCCCAGTATAATTTCAATTTCCTAGATCATATTTGAAAAACCATATATCATTGCATAGGTGTATTAGCCAAAAAAAAAGATTGAAATATTTTAACTTTAGAGAAAGCAATCAATGAGATTTTTATCTTATCTAAACTGGAGAAATTAAATTGGAAAGGTAAGTAAAGGTTTAGTAAAAGATATTGTTTAAATCTTAATATCTTTATGGAACCCAGAACAGTTATTTTATTTTAAGTAAAAGTGCATGTGAAAAAATTAAGGCATGATGTATTAAAGCACAACCCAAAACAGGCATTTAATTTACATAACAGGCCATAAGTTACATACATCTATTGTGGTAATAATATTTGTTCTGAAAAGGAAATTAAAAACTGCATCAAGGTCGTATAATTTTTTACATGAGTTCTACAACTCATTTACAACATTCATTTGTAGTGTACAAAATTTTAGGGTTTCTAACCTTTGCTGCTCTTCAAAAACAAAATGGCTTAAATCAAAATGACAGTATCTTAATTATTAGTTTAAAAAACATTACTAGAACTTATATCTTTACAAAATTTTTTTCTACAATACATAACATAACTGCATTTTATTAACAATTCTATAATTGATTTATAATTTCATTCTAACAGTCAGCTATTTGCAATATTGCTACCATTCTGGTTCTTAATATTTTTACAAGAAATTGTTTTAAACAGACATTTTAAAAGTAAAATATGCACATATTTACAAAAAAATAAAGCATAAAGGGGTTTTGCAATATTTTCCCCAGACTTCAACCAAATTTATTACAAAATATGATACTGGCATCAAAAACATGTTTTAAGTTATACACACTTTTAAAATTTCAAAATGGATTTGTAAATAATATCTTAGTTTTCTTTAATTGTCTTTATTAAACATCTAAGTACTGAAAATCATAAAACATATAACAACACTATTGTCTAGCTGTTTTCTCAAAGTACTGAAAATCATAAAACATATAACAACACTATTGTCTAGCTCACTGGTTCCCAACCTGGGGGTCACGACCCCCCTGGGGGTCGCGAAGGTCTTTCTGGGGGGTCGCCAACTGGTATACTAAACCTTAGTAATTTGAAACACAACATAAATATTTAGAAGAATTTTTGAAATTCGGCTTCATTAACATCACTGGAAATGTAATTGAGAAGAAACAAAGCGCACTGTACAAAGTTGTTCTCAGTCACGAATCTATGAAATCTTCAAAACTAAAACGTTATTTGAGACAAGTCATTCGGAACACACCAGAAATATATGGAGTTCTTTCGTCGGTAAGAAGCTAGTTGCAGACGCCAGAGACTTGATCGAACAGGATGTTTTCACCAGCATTAGTGCAAGCATCAAATGAAGTCGCGATAGAAAACGCCAAGCAAAAAAAAAAAAAAAACAATTGGAGAAAATCTCACCAAACGCTTCATGTACGTAAATGTTAAATAACACATTTTTATTGAAATTAAGCTTTCACCATTGTTTGCTTTTCAAGTTGATAAATCAACAGACGTGAGTTCGTGTTCGCATTTGCTGGTCTGTGTCTATATTCATGCGGATGATAGCAAAGAAGAGTTGCACTTTTGTGAAGATAACATGGAGAAAATAAATACCTTTTTTGAAACTGGATGATTAAAATGGGTTAGAACGGCTGTGGGGGTTTGTACGGATGGCGCGCCATCTATGTTTAGCTCAAAATCGGGCTTTCAGAAAACAGAAAAGATTTAGCTCCCTAACCACTACCCTAACCAATTGACATCAAGAGTTCATTGCTAGTATAAGGCGTAAATTATATAAAATCTGGAGCCTTCAAAGAACTGAGAAAAAAACATTAATATAGATCACGAGGTTCTACTCTTCTAAACTACAGTACGCTGGCTGTCAAACGAAATGTTGTAAATTGTGTTTTTTATTGAAATCTGAAATCAAATTGTTCTTGGAAGTGCAAAGGAAACATGACTTTTTGGTATACTTAAAACGACATAGAGTGGTGGTTAGAGAGAGTACCATACCTAGCAGATGTGTTCGAACATCAAGATAAGCTTAACCTGAAGCTTCAGGTAAAATGAACGGATATTATAACTTTCCATGATAATCTCGGGGCACTTTTATCAAAACTGCAAAATCGGCGAATAAAATAAATCTTGGAAATATTGTAAATTTGAGTTATTTAAAATTTCGAAAGAAGCTATTTCTGGACATCTTGAATCTCTTGAAAACGGACTGCATCGCTATTTCTCTGAGCTGAAAAAAAGAAGAATCTGCATTTACGCATTACCTATTCTCTTCTTCCCTTGATGTTGCCAGCATTCTCGTTGAATTACAAGATGAGTTCTTTTATTTGCAGAATGATTCCGAGTAAGATGAAAAACTGCAGACACAATTTTGGTGTAGTATTCACCATTCGTACCCAAACATACGATTGATTGACTTTTCGAGAATATATTTTCAACACTATTCTTCGATTAAAAACAAAATTAAGATAATTATAATGATATAGGTTGGCGTTAACAAAAAAAAAATGTAATTAAAAAGTTAACCACGAAGGTTTAGTGAATAGTATGCAATTTTACTCATGCTATTAAAACAGTTATCAAGAGTAGTTCATATTGAAAGTCTACTAGAAAATCTTATTTTAGTGCTTATTAATTTCCATACTAATTTCGGCTTTTTAATTCTATGGGGGTCGCGGGTCACTTACTTTTTATAAAAGGGGGTCGCCACTCGAAAAAGGTTGGGAACCACTGGTCTAGCTGTTTTCTCAGTGGGTAACGTTTCTTAATCTTAGACACATTCTAGCTCTGTGTGGTGTTGGACTTTCTTTCCTAATACATCAAAAGAGACGCTAGTATGTTCTTCATGATTCACACACATTAAAAACATGAATAATAACTGCTATGTTACATTGCACAAATCAGCTACCAAGTTACAGTGACTTAGCAGAGAAGGGGGTAGTTCTCCATATCCCTTGTGGAATTTTAATGAGGCAAAATCTAGTCTGCCTACAAATATTGATATATATCTGTATCTTTATATATTTATCTAGCAATCCCTCTCTCTTTCTCTCTCTATATATGTATGCATGAAATGTGATGTACTGGCCAGATCTCTTTGCCCCATGGGCACTAACAGAGACCTTTCCAAAGTTTAAATTAGGAACCACTGAGTGTTTCCCTGGTAATTTACAAAGACCAAGACCATCCCCACAAAATTCTCACCTTCACACATGCAGATGAAGCTCTGGGTCTCATACCAATGAGTGACGGAATGACAAACTACCAAGCCATTATATATATATTGTAATAACTTTAAAAACCTACAATTCTTTGAATTTAATTATATATTTACAACATTAGTTATTAAAATAGTATAAATGAATTTGATAAAATAATATCTAGCAAGAGGTAGCAGATTGATAATAAAACCACATTTAGATTGATCAAATCAATGAATCCTGTCACAAATAAGCATTCAATCTTTAATCTGCGAATAACTGTTTAATCACTTTGATGCCTTTTGGGATCTTTTTAGCACCAGAAGGGGGATAAGCATGAAGGCACTGACCAGAATAAAAACACCATGCAAAATAAAAGATACTGTGTAGCTTCCTGTCCAGTCAAATATCCAACCTGAGGAAAAATTTGTAAATTTCAATTTAAATTAAAGTTTTGATATGTATTACAGTTTGAAAAAACAGGTGGCAAGTTTATTTAAAACTTTAAAAAATTTAGCAATTTTCAGTGCAATAACTTCTCAAATTATAATCTTATTTTTTCTTAATTTTAGTGTTGGAAGGGATTCCCTACTCCGCCAACACAATTAAGCATATTTGTCAACTGGTTATGTGCCACTGAGGTAGTTGACTCCGATTTCAGCCTGCTTTTCTTTTTGGATTTGCTTCCATAGCCTTTGTCCAACCAAGAACAATCTACAAGGCCGCAGTTGCTTGATTTTGGGTTTGTCTCTTCTAGAAGAGTTGCTGTCCTCAGCTATTGAGCCTCATCGAACACGAGACTTTTTGGTTTAGTAACTATGAGCTTTACTGACTCAACTACACCAACCCAATTTTATAATATAACAAAGACAAACTTCTTATCTATTTGTTTACACTTGTTAACCCCCCCCCCCCCCTTCCAACCTGTCTCACTCTCATGTGTTTCTCTTTAGCAGATTTATACACATGTGTGTTGTATAAGCTTATGACAACTCAACACTTACCGGCAACTGGAGTACCAAAGGCTGTTGCTATACCCATGAAACTTAACAAAAGACCAAAAGCTTCAGCTACAACAGAGACACCCATTAAATCCACAGTCACTATTGGAACCAATGTGGCATAGGCCCCTGTTTGAAAATAAAATTGTTAGTTTCTTTTTTTTTTAATTTTGTTAAACTGCGTACATTTTGAGTAAATTACTACAAGTTAAATTTTATAGTAGTTATAGAAGACAAGAAAGTAAATAAAAATCATATGGATAAGAAAAACCTACAATAAAGAAGCAAACAAAAAATATTTTACAGCTTACCTATAAAACAACCAAACACAAATGCATACACACTGTGCAGCTCATGACTTGAGCCACAGACAGGGCTGACACACGTTGAAACCCCACACACTGTGAGGCAAGCTATGTAGTAGAACAGCCTGTCCAGGAGTTCACGGTCCGCCAACCAGCCAAAGAAAAGCTTGCCAAATATGTTGCCAGCACCGTACAGGGATATGAGCATTGCTGCTTCACTTTTTTCTATTCTAAAAACAAAATCAATTCAAATATTAAATTGTGAAAATATAACTGCAAATTTTGCACAATTTTGCCAAATTAAAAAAAATAAACATAAAACACTCATGAAACATAAAAAAGTGTTTAAATTAATGAAAACAATAAAATCCATTCACCATTAATGAGCAAAACTCAACAAATTATATTAACATGGGAAAAAAATGGTATTTAGATTTATAAATTTTATAATAATAAAAATACATTTTTATAACTTATAACATTTTCAAAATGTATTTATAAAAACACTTGAAAAAGTATCTTATGACACTTCAATATGTTACTAATATGGCCAAATTGGGAATTTCTAGAAAATTGGAGTATATTGTTTTTAAAAATTCTCAAGAATCAATCAACTTCTTAATTGATTTTTAAAATAAATTTAAATAAAGAAAATGAGTTGAAATGTCATTTCTTGCATATACTTGTAATTTGATTGTACTATATTATCAGGCCTCATTTAGGGCATATAATATTATTTTTTACTTACCCACTATCTAGCGCACGGTCAACCATGTACAAGACAGGCATGAAAAAGGATAGATTTGTCAAAAAATTGCTGATGCCGAACAATAGAAAGGTAGGATTCTGCAACAGCTTCAGGTAGGTTTGAAGTGAAGCTGTTACTTTGTTACAACAAGACTGCACTTGGATCTCTAGGAAACAAAAAGATTGTTCATATTTATTTTGCTTACAATATGATTAATATTCAAGTTATCTATAAAGTATTTAGACTTAATATTACAGAAGTTACCATGGTATATTTACACATTTAGGAAACAGATCTTCTAGCTTATCTAGCTTTATTTCTAATTTTCTCCAAGTTACATTACTAAAGTGGGAACCAGAAATTACTTTGATTATAAATAGGGCAATACTTTGTGAATTTTGCAGATATATTCAGCATTTCTAAATGTAAAATTAATTGATGAAAAATATAGTTCATTTATGATTGTATTCAATAAGATGACTCATGTGAGTTTTATAAGTAAAAAAAGTATATTAAAAAAAAGTACAAGCTTACCTTCATCCTCTGCTGCAGCTTCCTCAATATTTGTTAATGACAAGAGAGAAGAAGAAACTAAATTTTGTTGCAGGTGACTTGATGTGTTTCTACTGTAAACACTTTGTTTAGAAGATGACTCCTTAAATGCTGTATCCATGAACACAAGGCTACTCACACTACCAGATAGCATCATTTGCATGCCGTTAAGTGATGGGTATGGATATAAACTTTTATAAGCTTTATCTGTAGTCCTTGGCCGGAGCTCAATTTCACTTTTATAAAGTTTTTTGGAATGAACAGATGAATGTTTTAATGAGTTTAGAATTTCTAAACTACTTCCTTTGGTTTTGCCTAGAAGGTTCGACCTGTCAAACTCAACAAAATCTTGGTCATTCAAAAGACTGAGCAATTTTTCTTCATGGAGACAAGATGGATGCTTGTACCTATCTAGGCTTTGTGTTTTCACAGAGAAGAGTTCACAGTTTGACTGCGGCCCTGTGGTCAATGGTAATTCTTCCTTCTCCCCCTTTTTGTGGGGTAAATCTGTATGATGTACAACCACCGGATGGGCGGGGAAGTTATAGGCTATAGGTGCCATACCCGGGTTCATTTCTCTGGCTGGCAAGTTGCAATAGACATGAATATTTGGTTTCCTGCACGTCCTAATCAGGCTGTTCACCTGTCTGTCTCTACACATCTCTTCACACTTCTCCTCACATTTCTTCAAATCTTCAGCAGACAGACCACAATCTCCCATGCCCAAGCTTTTTCTAGGCAGAGTCGGAGATTCCTGTATGGAGATGACATCCGTGTCTTTAATCATGTGACAGTTCCTGAATCTGGGGGCTTTCTCCAGTGGTCGCATTAAGGCACCAAGCACGCACATGTTCAACGATATCCCTGAGAGTATCAACATGCACCCCCGCCAGCCATAAAAGTCAACAATCCAGTTCAGAAATGGGGCCATAAAAAATGCCCCTGCTCCTAGTCCAGAGGCTGAAATTCCCATGGCTATTGATCTCTTTGTGGTGAAATACATAGCCACCATGGAAACTGAAGGGAGATAACAGCAGCCAGCACCGGTTCCTGAAAATTTATTTCAATAGATGTTTGTCAACAAAATACTTACATTATTAAATATGCACATATTTAAAGTATATATATATATATATACACACAAAAAAAATAACCAATACATAATATAAGAATTTCTTTTATAGAAATACATACCTGCAACTACCCCAATAGTTATAACCAAATAATAAACATTCATGGCAAAGAAACTGACAAAGAATCCAAGGGACATCACTATGCTTCCAACCACAACAACAGCCCTGTTTCCTATCTTTTTACTCAAAAAACCAGGGATTGGACCTGTAGAAACAAACAAAAAAATGGGTTAAAACTTGTTTTTGTTTATTTTAAAAGCTCACATGTGTATAAATAAAATTGTTTTTATATATAAGTTCAAAAGAGCCCTGTAATCATGCTAATCACTGCCTTATGATAACTTGGTATATTTAGAAACATAAGAATGTGGTCACACAGAAGAAAGCATTGCTTTTCAGCTCTAAACATGCATATGCACTTTAAATATTAACTACTGGTATAGCACAGGGGTCGGCAACCTGCGGCTCGCGAGCCGCATGCGGCTCTTTTGATAGCAAGATGCGGCTCTCCAGCTCCTTGCACAAATACTAATAATCTTAATCAAAAAATGAAATATTTGAAATAAAAAAATGTTAGTGGCTCTTTGAAACCAAGGAAATTTTGAAAATTGTAACTTTTGGCTCCTCCGCTTCAAAAGGTTGCCGACCCCTGGTATAGCATCTTTAACAACACTCCTGTTTGTAAAGTTTTCTAGCCAAGTGTTGGCATTTTAAACTTCTCCTTTATTGTACAGCTTATTTGATTTCATTGTTAGCACTTTATTATTTAAAAAAAATAAAATAGTTTTAAATTCTAGCACTTTTTTAATTACATGATACATTCTCGTCACCCAGAACAGCCAACATAAAAAAACAAACGAAGAAAGTACACCTAAACTTAAAGTGGCAGAGTCAGCATATATTTTTTTTTACTAAAAGTTCTAAGGCACACGATATTTGGTCTGGATTTTTCAAACTGATTAACCTTTTAATTTTTCCGTTCAAGTGTGATAGTTCTAAGCATTTTGGTTGATAATAATTCCTGGCATCACTTATGCTATATGGGACGGAGTGGTCTAGCGGTAGAGAGCTGGACTGCTAACCCGTTAGTCTCGAGTTCGAATCCGGGTTCGTTAGTAGACCGTCCCTGAGTCCACCCAACTCTGATGGGTACCTAACTCATGTTAGGGAAAGTAAAGGCGGCTGGGCATAGTGCTGACCACACTATCTCTTCATATGCCGAGGTCACAGAAACAAGTGAACTCTACTTCACTTGCCCCATAGACCGTAAGGTTTGAAAGGGAACTTTACTTACTTACTTACTTATGCTATACATCTTTTGTTATTGTGTGATTAGATTATCAGGTATAGATAATATGCCACTCACCTTATCCAGATTTAAAAAACTAAGTTTCAAATAACCTGTTTTCAAATCATCCGATTCTAGTAAGATAATAAGTGCTAAGCCCGATTTTAGTTACCATTTTGGCCTTGGAAAGTTTTTTAAATTAAAAAAAATATTCCAAATTTGACTTTGTGGGATACCATAAAGTACAGATTGTTGTCCTTGAGGACGCAGACTACTTTGGAAAATTACACTTTAAAATTTTTTCCATTGTGTGTGTGTGTGCATGTCTAAAGCTTAATCATAGTGAAAGCCTGCTTATCATATATATGAGGAGGGGTGCTAAACTGAAACAAGCACCCCATCAATTCAAACTCACCAATCCCAAACATGATCAAGCTGGTTGCACCTTCCCCACCCCATCAAACTCACCAATCCCAAACATGATCCAGCTATTGCACCTTCCCCACCCCATCAAACTCACCAATCCCAAACATGATCCAGCTGGTAGCACCTTCCCCACCCCATCAAACTCACCAATCCCAAACATGACAGCCACAGCCAGGGATATGATCCAGCTAGTTGCACCTTTCCCACTGTCGAACTGGTCCAACCAGGCAACATAGAGCACACTGAGGGAGTACATGGTCCCCACCACAAACATGTGGATCAGGAAAGAGCAAGTGACTATGACCCAGCCCCAGCCTCCATCTGGAATGTACACCTCTGCACTCTGGGCCATTGTACAGTCTGAAAGGAAAGAGAGAAAAGTTTGAATTAATTTACTCTTAAAATATTTTTTTAAAATCCATTTTTACTTTCTCGTATATACGTAGTATAGAGAAAGTATTGTAATCGTGCAAAAAAAAAAAAATCGAGATTTTTACAAATCTCGACGTTTTACACCTCACTGATACGGAAAAACATAATTTTGCAATCTTGTCCGTATGTCTGTGTGTGTGTGTGTCTGTCTGTCTGTCTGTCCGTGTGTAAACACGATAACTTGAGTACCGTTACAGCTAGGTTGATGAAATTTCATATATAAGTATTTTATCAAAATCGTAGATCCGTATCAACTTTTGAGCGATTTCCGATAACCGGAAGTGGTACTTTTCCTACTTTGAATTTTTCAAAAGCCTATAACTTGAGTACTATTTCAGATAGATAAATGAAATTTCACATGTAAGTAAAAGATCTAATTCTCTACCTTCTGTTAAATTTTGAGTAATTTCCGTTGACTGGAAGTAGTAATTTACGCTACTTCCGATTTCTCAAAAAACTAATGTAAATTTTTAAAGTACTAATAATATTGCGCACTATTATACGCGTTTTTATTCGGCGTTTGCTTGGTGCGCAATGTTTTTTTTATGAGATTCTATTCTATTTTTAAAAGTTTAAGTATTTAAAATGGATTAAAAATCATAACTATATCCCCAGTTACCATCCCCTGTTGTTTTATATAAGAATATTCGAGAAAGTTTAGGGGAGATCACTCCCGGTTTATTAAGTATATCTACATGTGTACACAAGGCCCTTAACAATTACAAGTGGCCCAGCCGGTTCTCAAAGTTTTAAATTGCAGCAATTAAAAATGAAAACAAATAAACTTAATTTGATAATTGATCTAAAAATAAATAACAGAGCATGGGCATTTCATGTTACTGCTATCTGCATTTCCTCAAACATATTTGAGAGAACTGGATAAGCAACCATAAAAGTGGTTAAATTAACCTGCCTTGGTGTTCATAAATATATTTTTTTAAATGTATGTCTGTTGCTTATCAAGTTCCTACTTGAAGGTAATGACGGTAATGTCACAATAGTCAGAAACGCCCCCCCCCCCACTCCACACAGCCACCCACACGTGTGAAGCCATACGTCCTGGGCAGTGTACGTGACGTCCTTCATGACCATCTCATGCAGGTATGAACAGGGTCTATGAACTAAAGCTACCGGCCGGCTCTCGCGTGTACTGGCCTGTTGGCTATGTTGTTTTATTTTCGTCACCATTAACGTAACGTAGCAACCCTAACTCCTACACCTAACGCAAGAACCTTAACCCCTACACCTAACATAACGCCATAACCCAAACTCCTACACCTTACCTCAACAACAGTACTCTCGCCCAACTACACTAACTTCAATTTTAAAAATTTATATCTATATCTTATATTTAACTAATACACAAGTGTAAAACCTTTAGTTGAGAGGGGGTTGTGTCCATACGTGATGTGACGTAATTTTTGGTATGGCAGGTTACACTTATTAACCCCCCCCCCTTCCCTCACATTAAGTACAAAAGCCAGAAGCTCGTTATACATCCTTCCCCTCCCCACACTTCCTAAATGCATGACGTCAAGTAAGGACGACCTCCCAATATTGAGGTCACTATATCCATTCAAGTGTATCTCCCCACCCCCCACTGACCGTTAGATTCAACGAGGTCAGCATCAGCGTTGTATGCATCTCTCGGTTGGCGGCGGGGGGCGTCTGCCCCCTTAAACAATGAGAAAAAATACCCGAAAGAAACGCTGTTAAGCTTTCTTATTTTCTTACAGAATAAAACAAAAACTTCACAAGACCACAACGGCAAGTTCACAAGCAATAAATACATGAATATTGAATGTAAATCTACATCAGTCTATGAGTAACATTCAACAAATAAAAAAAATCGAACCGTAAAAAAATCGAAATCAAATAAACATACACAGGCCTATACAGTGGCCGGCGTTGTTGAATCCACTCAGGTATAATCGCGGCCTAGTTTATTAAAGCATGGTTTAAGGTCTGCATCAATAATACTTCGGATTTTTCATCGTACTTTAATAATTTGAGAAGTAAATCAATATTTTTCTTTTCTTTTTGAACACATGGAAACTGATAGGTCGTCTAAGGCCTCACTTAGTAGGCTTACATCGTCCACAAATGACAAGCTAAGAGTGGGAAGAGGGGGTCATATTTGTGATGACGTGCGACGTGGGCAGAGGCGTAGCGACCCTTCCCGGCGCCCGGGGCGAACTTTCAATTTGGCGCCCCCCCCCGCTTATATATATATATATATATATATATATATATATATATATATATATATATATATATATATATATATATATATATATATATATACATGTGTGTGTGTGTGTATAATTATGTGTGTGTGATAGTGTGTTTATATATAAGCTTGTGTGTGGGTAAGAGTGTATTTGTGTGTGTAAGCGTGTGTGTAAGCGTGTATGCTACAGTCCGGACAAGGTTTAATAATTACATTGTATGATTTTCATTCCTTAAAACTTTACGACAATTTAATTCCCATTAAGATGCGTTTAATTTTTTTTGCGAAAGATTAGTAATGTCAGTAAAAAAAAAAAAAATAAGCCTGATCTGTGTTAGAGGGTAGTTTGTAGCTAACGCTAATATGTTTAGACCAGCCTTTTATGTTCTAGTTTTGGAACGATCTCTGTTGTGATATGGTACATAGTTGGATTCGAAGTTTGTTAGAGTAAGGACACACAAGTGACATACAAGAAGAAGTTATCAGAAATATTTATTGTTCACATTGGAATACGACATGGGTATTTCGTTGATTGGTTGATGGTATGACAAAACAAGCTAGAGAAAACAAACTGGAATCCAACGGATGTTAACAGCTCGTAGTCTTGGATTTCGCAGATTTGCCCTGCCTTCTCGCACACAGAGTTTCTTCCAGGCATCTCTTCGGGGGGGGGGGGGGGCAAAGCCCCCCGAAATTTTTTTACCGCCCCCCCCCCCCCCCCTCGAACGAAATGAAATTTATATAATTTATATATAGAAAATATATACGTTTAACAGTGTCCGCCCCCCCCCCGAAGAAAGTCTACCGCACTCCCCCCCCCCCCCCGAGAAAATTTCAAGTGCCCCCCCCCGGAGAAAAAAAGTCTGAAAGAAACTGCTCGCACAACGTCAACAACAAATGCAGAACTAATTGTATTGATTGAAGAAGCAGTAACAATCAATTTAATGATAGCCCATGACGTTCTGATTATAATCAGCAGCAATAAAACGCGTTTTAACACTCTAAGAAAATGTAGAATTCAAATGCATTGTCAAAAAAATTCAATCAGGATCTATAACTAAATGTGGTCTCTTTTACTGTATGGCTTGGAGCTAGATTACAGACAGTGGAGAATGAAATAAGAGCATGGAAAAAAGTGGTGGTTAGTGGCTTAGGGATTCAAGAATCCGTGATATTTAGTTCTCTTTAATATAGTTCAGTGATCCAGGTAAGATGTAATGCAATCAATCAAAAGTATCTGATCTCTCACGTTGAAGTTGAGAGAATCGTAAGAATCTTACAAAGAACTAGTCGCGTCTTTTTTTTAAACAAAACTGGCTATTGAAATTGTACATTACGCGTTAATACACTTGGTTTCTTTACTAAGTGTTAAGAGAGTTATCTACTCACCAATCCAGTACAAATACTTGCGATTTTTGTTAGCGAAAAAAGCGCCCCCCACACACACTCATCACAACCATCTTGGACAAAGTTTGTAGAGCGGTTTTTAACGTAACTAACTTTTTTTAAAAATGTTACACAATTATACAATGCACAGTACAATTCGTTTCTTTCTGAGAGCTAAAGGTTGTTTACTCAGAATCCTGTGTAATTTCGCTATTTTATTAAGCCTAAAAGCGCCCCCCCTGCACCATCTTGATAAAAGCCACTAACGTATTTTACAGTTCAACAATCGTACAATACGTTTTAATACAATTGGTTTCTTTTAATAGCGGTAACGTTTATCGACTCAACAATCTAGTGTAAATTCTTCCGTTTTAAGTCTCGAAAAAGCGCCCCCCCCCCCCCATCTAGGAAAAGCTTCAAAGCGGTTTTGCCGGTCACTGTTTCTTAAGAGTATATGTTTTACATTAAGAAATCAAGGTAGAAAACAGTTAAATCAGTATGTAAAGGCGTGTAGCCATTACATTTCTTAACTTAGACAGTTTATAATTCAAAACTGCAGCATAAAATCAGCTTTAAAATTTTTTTCCCACCCCTTTTGGCGCCCCCATAGGGTCGGCGCCCGGGGCGGCCGCCCCCCCGCCCCCCCCCCCTAGCTACGCCTCTGGACGTGGGGAGAGGGCGAGTGGTTTAGGAAATGGGAGATAGAGCATTGATCCAGTGGGTAATTCTCAAGGACGAGATCGACGGGAGACAAGTTATTTTGCGTTATAACTTTTTTTTGGGGGGGGGGGGGGGGAAGGTGTGGTGGTAAATGTAATGTGGGGGAATCGGACTTTTTGTGACATCGTTAACAAGTGGGATGGGGGGAGGGGTTGTTACAAAAATCAACTAACATGCGTGACGTCATGTGAATCACCTTAGTTCTTGAAACTTTGGGGGGGGGGGGGGGGGGGGAGGTGGGAGAGAGAGAAGGGGGGGACTGGTTAAATTATATATTTTCTATTAAAAGTATAGGTTTTTCTATTTATTCCGGGGAGGGGGGGGGGGCAGTGCCGAACAGAAACCCGAAAGAAACTCTAGTCACTAGACACAGGGTTCTTATAGCCACATCAGCAACACCAAACCCCCTTACAAATTAAAAAAGCTGACTTAAAATTTTGCACGGGGCAAAACGATTTAATCAATTTCAGGTAACCTGCCACGATCAAAGTTTAAGCTGACTTCAGCTTTTTTTTTAAACCAACCATTTAACGAGGGTACAGATATGTAAATGAGCTAGAAATTAGGGGGAAAAAAGCTTAACAAAGGTGGGTTTAGTTACGGGTCTCGTACACCATAAACACTTGTTAGGATGGCTGACATTTAGTTCAACTACGATCTGTCATGTACCACTTCAACCCCTAAGGTTAAACCTCGATCTTTGACAAAGAATTAGTTTAACTACTACACTTAATGTTAAGCGGTGGTAGTTTAGATATGATTGATAAAGAGAACGAATTGGTTTTAGAAAAAAATACCTACCTAGACAAATAGTATAAATAAAAAGGATTAGTAAAATCTCAACCACTTATGAAATCATTGTGCGAACTCTAGTTCTGATTAGAATAAAATTTGGTGCTTTTCTGATAAGACTAAGACGACAGAGTGAAGTCTAGCGTTGAGGTTAGATAGGCTTAGGGTTGTGTTAAGCATTGCCCTTCACGATTTAGAAGATGCCGAAAAAAAATTATCGTTACTCTATATCTAGAATTGACAGGAACGTACCGAATATATCTCAACAACCCCCAACCCCATGCCAATATATACATTCGACATTAGTGATTTCTAAAGGAAAATTCTTTTGCGGCTTTTTCTTTTTGTGTTATGATTCCAGCTGCCAAAAAAAAAAAAGAAAAAAAAAAGAAGAAGAAGGGTAGGGTAGGCACACCTTCAGCAGATGTGAGCCTTAAAAGTGCACGTTTACACCTGTCAAGGCTAAACAAACAACTATGGAACAAAGAAGGGGGGGCGTGGCGGGAAGGGAGTTTACGTAAACCAAAATACAAAAAAAGAAAGAATTAAAATTTTAAATGTGCAATTTCTTAGCACTGTATTCTATGTATTAGATACGAAATAAGCGTTGCATAATATTAATTAATGTGGTATCCATTGTGAAAATAATTGAAAGCAAGAATTTCTGTAGTAATCCTAAAAATGTAATTAAAAAATCACTGTAATAAATACCTCAATCTTGACAAACCAGTACGCCGGCTATTAAATGGATTATGAGAGAGAGAAAATAATGCTGATATGTTGGTACAGCTGATATTTTATACTGCTGTAATACCGTACGCACTTTATGGGGTGAAGGTTAACCACTTACACAAGGCCACCACGGCGCACTGTCTGCAGCACGAGACAGCCAGGGGATCTCAAAGTGGCATTACGACGAGGGCAAACAAGGACGATGTCTGTACTTTTATAAAGACTATAAACATGAGCCGGTATGCATGATAGTCGCATTGGCTATTTATCGACTTTAAAATTATTTATTTACAATGAAGTTTCGACAAAGACTGTCAGTCTAAATAGAGACCAAACATTTGTTTTTCCACAAAGAAACTGATCCTTTTTTTTTTGCCTGAACATATTGCAAGAAAAAAAAAGTCTCTTCATACTGCGCACAACGTATAATTATTTAGTGAAAGTTCATTCAACAAGGTAGAATGTTAGCACGCAGAAATTAATCGCGTTACGGTAGATATCGAATGGGGGGGGGGGTGGTCCCCGAGCTCTTGTCTATAGGACGTTCCTGACTCCACCCACCTCTGATGAGTACCTGACTCACGTTAGGGAAGCATGAACTCTATTTTTAGCTGCTCCATGTGTCTTGGGCGCCAACGGAAAATGAGGACAGTTTAAAGAATTGCTGACCTACGGAGACCAAAGTTTGAATCTTCTATTTAATGTGAGTTTTTTCTTCAGGTTAGCATTTTAATAACTTTTCAAAAGGTTAATACTATACTAGCTTTTACTTAGGACTACATTGGTACAGTTAAGTCGGTTGGGATTAAATCCTGTAACTTAATTTAACCGATTTCTAATGGCGCACTTTCTTTTCAGACAAGTGCATCTCTGGTGACAATGCAAGAAGATATAATTTTCAACTAAATTAAATACATTTTAAAATGTAGGCCTACTTAAAAATACTTTAGGCCCTAAAGATTATTTTTTTAATAACATAAGGGGAGATAACAGAGTAGATTCTAGTAGAGATCACTCGATCAGCTGGTGACTGGATGCTATTATCACCGGACGCAAATAGGGGCAGCTACTGATCAGAGGCGTAGAGAATGGGGGTGGGGACATATGTCCCCTAGGGGCGCCAAAATAGATTGAAAAAAAAAAGCTCTTTTAGCTGCAGTTTTAAATAATAAACATACAAAATATATGAGGGGGGGGGGGGGGAGTGGCAAATTGAAAGTTTGTTCCCCGGGCGCCGGAAGGGGTCGCTACGCCTCTGCTACTGATTGAGTACAAAGCAAAATATTTTTAGTCGCGTGGGGGTGTACACATGAGTGAAAACTAACCGCTTAGAACAAAATGGAAAGAATACATACGGTACTAATAATAGTTACATAAATCTTGAATTTTTGCTTACTTCTATGTTTTTAAGTTGAAAACTTATTATAAAGGTGTTTGAATACAAGTTATTATGTCAACTTTTACTGGCAGGTAATCCTACTAGTTAAACATATTTTTAAAAAGCAGGAGATGGGGCGAGCAAGGGGAGCTAATGACGTGAACACAGTCAAGTGTAACTCCGAGCTAGCGGCTGTCGCAGTTATCTGGTGGCTTACTTTTTTTTCTCTCTCATGCAACTCTCTGGATTTCACGGATCAGTGAGTTTTAGGCATGACTGAACAACCATTTGCAACTGTTTGAATTCATTATCTATTAATAGCTTAATGTCTAACTCATAAGTTATGTAATAGTGCAACAGACTATCTCTGTTTCCCTCTCTTTATCTATCTATCTGTCTGTCAGTCAGTCAGTCAGTCAGTCAGTTTACCTACCTACCTACCTACCTACCTACCTACCTACCTACCTACCTACCTACCTACCTACATACCTACCTACCTACCTACCTACCTATTTATCTATCTGTTTATCAATCTATCAATCAATCAATCACTCAATCAATCAATCTTTCTATCTATCTGTCTATCTCTCTATATATTTAGGTGTGTATAACCCATATATATATATATATGTATATATATATATATATATATATATATATATATATATATATATCCTCAACATACAGCAATATATTGTTGACTATGTATGTGAAACATGGAAACAAAACAACTAAATTTGATGAAATAGGAATAAACAACATTTCAAAAGTGTATTAACAAATGCAAAGCAAGCAAGCCAGTATTTCTACGAACTCTATCACTAAAATTTGTAACAGTACTTTTCTATATAGATCTAGACACTATGCCTACTACTGGTAACTAAAATTAATTTAATCAAAGATTATCAGACAAGCCACATGTAACGAAAAATCCACACTAACCTTATTTGTGGACGACAAAAAGAAAACGTGTAGGGTGGGGAATTCAAATATCCATCCAAGGATGAGACATCAAGGTGAGCACTGCACTCGCCAAAGATCGATGAGCACGAGGCACGTGCCACGGGGACAGGAGCGGGCTGATTGGTATTGACATGGCACACTCAGCTCTTCACTTCAGCACTGTGCCAAATCCGCGGAAGATCGTCGGCTTGTGGGCGATAAGGCTTGTCAGCTTATTCTCCGCATTGTCAACAGCGACCTACTTTTGATGAGAGAGAAACGTGCTAAAAATAGAAGACTGTTTACAAGTTTCTATCTTTGGGCTACTTAGTTCGAGGCCGAAATGAATATTAAAGAAATTTTGATCATAATATTGTAAATAGGTAAAAAAATAAAATACAGGTTGACGTGAATTGTAGGGCACATAGACCCAGTTTTAAATGATTAAAAACAACGTAGCAATTTAAAAATAATGTGCCATTTCAAACTGAGATTATCTGTAAAAAAAAATAGCGACATTAATATGTTAGTAGCGAAGTAGACCACGAGTAGTTATTATTAAAACTAACCTTAACAACTGTATCCATAATCTAATCCTAAAACGTATCCCAAATCTGACGATACAACTAGCGATAATACTTATATGTGGTGCTACGAAGGCGAGATAACCGATCTTCATACAGGATAACAACAGACTGGGGGGAAAAAACTTAGGAGATAAACAATCGTTGGTCTGCGTGTTACTGTTTGGCAGGTTAAATCAGGTAGCCATCCCATTCTACATTTTAAAACCCCATTCCGTTGGTTTAGCAGGTTAAAGCAAGTAGGCCAACCCATATCATTCTACATTATTTAAAAACCACATCCCGTTTGTTTGGCGAGAACGTCATAGTAACACAGCGCGAAGAAGAAAATTAATTTACGATCCAAGGAGGCCACTACAGTTAAGATCTGCAAGCCTTTATAAACTTTTAACCCAATAAAAGCCAAACTGTGTTGACTGTTGTGATTTTGTAGTGCTTGGTTACTACTACTCTAAATGTCGCTAAAGAGATCATGTATCATGTTGTATAGTTCGTGAGTAGTATATTAGGTCACTTTTGGACCGCAGGCGCAACGGGATGGGGAGCAGGAGCAGGAGCAGGAGCAGGAGCAAAGGATATATAGGAAAATACTCCCCCAGCCTGGGACAATGACATATAGTAAAATACTCACCCACCAGGCGCAGCCTGCCGCAGCCTGGGACAATGAGATATAGTAAAATACTCCCTGGGGGAGCACGAGGTACACCGACATATAGCAAAATACTCACCCATCTGGGTGAGGGTGGGTGAGCAGGTGGCGCAGCCTGGGACAACGAGATATAGGAAAATACTCACCCACCTGGGTGAAGGTGGGTGAGGGTGGGTGAGCAGCCTGGGACAATGAGATATAGTAAAATACTCACCCACCCTAGGGTGGGTGAGCAGGAGGGGGAGTAGGTCAGTAGGTCACCACCGGTGACCTTGTGACGTAATTAGTAACATTATGACGTAATCATTGACCTAGTTACGTAATTTTAATGCGTTTTTTAATTAGTTTTAATGAGTTTTTTTAAATTTTAATTAATTTTTTTTTACCTAGTTACGTAATTTTAATGCGTTTTTAATTAATTTGATTTTAATTACTTTGTTTGTGTTTTGTTTGTTTATTTTTAATAAGTTTAATTAATTCGATTTTTTATTTATTTTGTATTTGTTTGATTTTAACTTTTTAATTATTTTTATTTTGTTTATTTTTAATTTAATTATTTTATTTTTAATAAGTTTAATTAATTTGATTTTTATTTATTTTGTATCTAGTTACGTAATTTTAATTTTATTTTATAATTAGTTTGAATTTTTATTGACTAGTTATGTAATTTAATTACTTTGATTATATTGTGTAATTTTTATTAACGAGTTACGTAATTTGATTATTTGTTTACTTTTTAATTATTTTTATTTTGTTTATTTTTAATTTAATTTAATTTTATAATTAGTTTAATTATTATTAACGAGTTACGTAATTTGATTTTAATTTTTTTTTTTAAATTTTTAAAATTTTTTTAAATTATTATTTTTAAATTTTATTTTTAATTGTTGTTTACTTGTTGTTTAATTTAATTACTTTGTATAATTTATTTGTTTGAAATTCATTTTAATTAGTTTGCTTTTAATTTCTTTGTTGTACGCCGTTTGAAATAAAAGACTAACACTAGCGTGTACTAGAAAGTGTCATTGTGTATAACATCCATTTAACCACAGCTGTTACTTATTAGCGACAGCTTGTACTTATCGATCCGCCCGTGAGCCTCCCCGGCGCTCCCCGTGGTTGCTTAATAGCGGACTCACTGAAGCGATCACAACAGGTAATTAATCGAAACCATTAAGTCCCTCTCCGCGTTAAGTGTGGCGACAGCTGGTGCTGTAATTAGTCACGGCTCTCGGCTTTTTTCATTAGACTTCAGCTGTACATGAACTATGTTCACATATCGTACGCCCGGTCATTCTTTGATCAAATTAAAAAATTTTGTTTCCACATGTCCTGCGAACCGTCCCTTGCTATGTATGAAAGATTAATGGTTGTAACTATTCGCTTATAGCGAGGGTCAGCGAAAACAAAAATATATTTAAGGGTCGGAATTTTCTTTCAACCACCGTTAAGTCAGGTTTTGAGACGAAACGAAGTCTCGGTAGGTTCGTGTTTTTTTAACGGGCGACAGGGCGACTTGATGCGTTGGTACGTAGGTATGCGGGGTTAAGGTTCTATAACTCTATATATTTAAATACGTTTTTTTTTTTTATTCAAATGAGTTTACTCCCCCTAACGTAAGTACATGTAAAGAGGGATTTCCTATAGATCTGTAATGAATTAGGCCTTTTTGACTATGACTTGTTGCCCAGGTGTTGACATGATACGCTTTTTTGAGATATACATACACACACACACACACACACAAACACACACACACACACACACATGCGCGCGCGCGCGAAATTCATACTAGGTCGGTAATGGCGGAGAGAACTTATAGGTATACATTATCATGGCGACAACAAAAGCGACTCTTATTTTATTTACATGAAAGCGTGTTTTCCAAAAAGTGTCACCATGCCATTGTCATTTTCGCAGCGGGGTTTATTTTAAGTGTACCCCGTGCACGGTTGTTTACATTTTAAAAGACGTGTCGCGTGTCTTCCCCTTACGGCTTCCCTAATAGAGAAACGAGAGGAAAGACAACTGTTCTAAAATTAGAACAGACTTGTCTACACACACGAGTATCGTCCCTTGTGAAAAAAAAAAAAAAATTCGCGTCAGATTCCTTAACTAAACAGTCAATTTCTTTAACAAGTTAAAAAATAATTTAGGAAGACAAGGGTTAACAACATTAGACGCTACCGTTTTTGTTTCCTGTGACGACAAGGCACAATACACTTTTGTATTTTATGTCTCAAGTAGAGGGTGGGATATTTTTTCTTTGTAAGCGTGTTGTAAACAATGGGTAGAGGAAGCGATTACTAGGTAAGAGGGGAGAGAACGTGACGTACATCGCGATATTTGAAAACATGGCGATGTTTAACCTCAACCAAAAAAAAAAAAAGGCAATGAACCTAGAAGGAAGACGAATATATATATCTTAGTCTTGCAGCAGATTACCTCCCCATGTTCGCTTTAGTATTACACTTTTCATCAAACTTCTTTTTGACTTGAACTTCGTTAATTTTTAAGAAAGTTTACTTATACATAATACACTACGTCTAATGACAAGTTTTTATTTTTACCACTCAATGTATTTTCTTTTTCTATACCTTACATTGTCATCTTAATTTTTGATCACCTTAGTAAAAATTTGCTTAAGATTATAAACTTCAAGTTTTAAAAAACAACAACGTCGTGTCAAATGACACACCGTTTAAAATGTCTACATTTAAAGTTCACCAAAATAATGACGTAAAAACTAAATATCATATGACATTAGCATACATATCATTCAATCTAATCACTCTAAAGTACAAATCAATAATTTTTATTGATTAAGGGGCTGGGTGAGTTATTTTTTATTCGGGTGCCCAGGGAAGGTTTGGAGTTGGCTAGGGGCACCGTTCATACTAGAGTCGGTGACGTTTTCACCGAGGCAGGGTTCGAAGCTAGACCATACATGTTTTGGAATCGTTAGGGGTCGAGTCTATAGTAGGGTCGCGGGAGTTTTGTTAACACAGAGGGATGTTTCGAAGTTGATACATCCATGTTTTAGAATTGATAGGTAGAGAGTCCATACTAGGGTCGGTGAAGTTTTCACCGAGGCAGGTTACAAAGTTGGGACATGCATGTTTAGGAATTGTTGGCACTCGCGTTCATACTAGGGTCGGGGAGTTTTGCTAACACTGAGGCAGGTTGTAAAGTTGGTACAGGCATCCTTGGAATTGTTAGGGGCCGTGTTCATACTAGGGTCGGTGAAGGTTGGTTTTGAACTCGGAACATGTATGTTTTGGAATCGGTAGGGCTAGAGTTCATACTAGTGTCGGTGAAGGATGGTTTTGAACTCGGAACATGCATGTTTTGGAATCGGTAGGTGTAGAGTCCATACTAAGTCTGTTCTAATTTTAGAACAGTTGTCTTTCCTCTCGTTTCTCTATTAGGGAAGCCGTAAGGGGAAGACACGCGACACGTCTTTTAAAATGTAAACAACCGTGCACGGGGTACACTTAAAATAAACCCCGCTGCGAAAATGACAATGGCATGGTGACACTTTTTGGAAAACACGCTTTCATGTAAATAAAATAAGAGTCGCTTTTGTTGTCGCCATGATAATGTATACCTATAAGTTCTCTCCGCCATTACCGACCTAGTATGAATTTCGCGCGCGCGCGCATGTGTGTGTTTGTGTGTGTGTGTGTGTGTATGTATATCTCAAAAAAGCGTATCATGTCAACACCTGGGCAACAAGTCATAGTCAAAAAGGCCTAATTCATTACAGATCTATAGGAAATCCCTCTTTACATGTACTTACGTTAGGGGGAGTAAACTCATTTGAATAAAAAAAAAAACGTATTTAAATATATAGAGTTATAGAACCTTAACCCCGCATACCTACGTACCAACGCATCAAGTCGCCCTGTCGCCCGTTAAAAAAACACGAACCTACCGAGACTTCGTTTCGTCTCAAAACCTGACTTAACGGTGGTTGAAAGAAAATTCCGACCCTTAAATATATTTTTGTTTTCGCTGACCCTCGCTATA